TATAAAGTTTTTAATTCTCAAATATGAGCATAATTCATTATTTGGGAGAGAAAATTCTATTTGCAGTCAGGGGAATGATTTGATATTAATACCATCCATATGTTGGTTTATCTTTTTTATGCCATGTCTTATACAGTCTCTTAACAAAATATTTTCTATGTTCTCTTCGATTATCTCAATTAAAAAAAATCTTTTAATTATTTGTTTTAGCTTCAGCTTATTCTTTAACATTTCCCACTCTTCCATTAGATTATTTACAATAAGGTTGTTTTCCCAACTCTGTTTTAGGTTGTTAGGGTCTTTAAAGTTCTATATATTGCTGTTTCCCAATTATTCATACTAGTCATATCACATTCAACTTGATACCAGAATTCTCTCTTATTATTTTGTAATTGAGATCTATATATATATGTGTTAAGATATTAGCTTTATACAGATCTTCTACTAAAGGCATATTAATTCCACCTTTTTAGTTTTCAATGCTAAGTTATTTCTCCTTATTCTCGGGGGTCTGCCTCCAGGAAAGGTTAACTTACCAGGAAAGGTTAAATGATCTTAACATGTATAGCTTGGAGCAAAGAAGAGACAGGGGGGATATGATAGAAACATTTAGGGAATCAACACAGTAAAGGAGGAGATTATATTTAAAAGAAGAAAAACTACCACAACAAGAGGACATAGTCTTAAATTAGAGGGACAAAGGTTTAAAAATAATATCAGGAAGTATTACTTTACTGAGAGGGTAATGGATGCATGGAATAGCCTTCCAGCTGAAGTGGTAGAGGTTAACACAGTAAAGGAGTTTAAGCATGCGTGGGATAGGCATAAGGCTATCCTAACTATAAGATAAGGACAGGGACTTATGAAAGTATTTAGAAAATTGGGCAGACTAGATGGGCCGAATGGTTCTTATCTGCCGTCACATTCTATGTTTCTATGCCTTTCCATACAAAGCCATCTAAACTTCTCTGGATCATTGTTATCCATGGGGATGTTACCTTTAAAGGGATCATCTGGAAGAGGTAAGAGGTAATTTTGACAGAACATAGTTTCTGATAGTATTTACTCTTCCCCACCAAGATATTTTGTGCATTCTCCATTCTTTTAACATTTTATTTGTCTGTCTCAAAAGCCTTAAAAAGTTCACCTCCATCGTCCTCTGGACCTCTCTCACCTCTTTAAGACCTGAGTATTCTATACTCTGTTTAGCCCAAATGAATTCATAATCATTTTGAATTTGATCTATATCTGTTGTTGTAACATTAGAGGCCATTATTACTGATTTATTATTTAACTTGAAATGAGATACTAGACTGTATTCCTTAATTTCTCTCATTAGTGTTACCATAGATTCATTCGGTGATGTCATGTTAATTAAGCTATCATTAGCGTAAAGGCTAATTTTAGCCTCCACGCTGTTGATCCTAAGTCCCTTTATATAATTAAAATGTTGCATATTGGTTGCTTATGGCTCTTTGGACAAGATAAAAAGAAGAGGAGAGAGGGGACACCCCTGTCTCGTTCCATTAGTGAGGCCGAACCAAGGGGAGCAGATGTAAGGGCCTATTATTCTAGCTGAAGGCTTATCATATAAAGCCATTATTGCTTGTAAAAATTTCCCTGGTTTACCAAACTTCTCCAGTACCAAAGCGAGGAAATCCCACCCGACTCTGACAGAGTCAGGTAGGGGATCCCCTTCTCATTCACATAATCTAAAATATCAATAATCCTCCTAAAATTTGATGTTGAAGTTCTTTCCGGGACAAAACCCACTTGAGCTGGATGGATCAGCTCTCTAATGATAGTTTTCATTTGAGCGGAGAGCACTGTAGCATATATTTTCATATCAACATTAATCAGTGATGATGGGTGATAATTGGTGATCTCTGTTGGATTCTTACCCTGCTTTATTATTGGTATAATGTTTACTCTTAATGTCATCTATTCCCAGAATCCATCCCCCTCTAATATGTCATTAAATACCCTAGTCAGGGCCTCCAAGATCCTTGAAACGTATATCTTATAAAAAAACTTCATTGGGACCTGGGAACTTATATTTTTTCAGATCCTTTATGGCACTTCCTATCTCATCCTTTGTGATAGGTCTATTTGTAATTTTTTTAGGGCGGGGAGAGAGGTCCTAGAGAGATACTTCTTTATTAGTTCTATTCCAGGTTTAGAGTCTACATTATATAGTTTAAAATAATCATTAAATGCTCGGCCAATTTCTTCAGGGTTAACATATGTTCTTGAGTTAATCATTAATTTGTGTACTCTATTATCTGTTTGTTTTTTTCTTCATTTTTCTAGTGAGCATTTTATCTTCCCTATTTCCTCTATAATAGTAGTTTATTTTCATTTATTTTGAGATTTGCTGTTATTCTTTCCATAATTTAATCTTTAATTAGCGCTTTATTTTTAATAAGTTTGTCTAGAATATCTTGATTTCTTTTATACTCTCTAGTCAGTTGATATTGTTCCTGATGTAGATTTGATAGCAGTTGTCCGGCTTGCTTCTTTAGTCTACTTTGCATTTTTATACAATGGCCGCAAATTACGGCCTTAAAGGCGCACCAAAGGGTGCCCGAAGTAGTGTCTGGCTTATTATTTTCCAGAAAAAAATCTAATATTTTTTGTTCTATAAAATTGCAATTGTCTGTATTTTCTGATAAAGATTCCCTCAGCCTCCAAGTTGTTCTGTTAAAAAAGGCATAATCACTGGTCATCTCCATTTGCATTATACTGTGGTCGGACAACGCATTATCAATAATTTCTATCCTTTTGACCTTTTCTATTAACATATGGTTACCCCATATCATATCTATTCTTGATAAAGAATAATGGACCCTGGAAAGGTGAGTATATTCCCTTTCCTCCAGATGGAACACCTTCCATATATCAAATAAAATGTTCAAATTAAGAATATTCATTAATGATTTTGCTTTTTTACAGAATGTCTACTAATAGAAGCTCCTGCTTGAATTTTTTTTATCCTGTATTGGATCTAAAATTTAGTTAAAATCCCCTGCTATCCCAAGGATACCTTCCTTTACCTCCTCCACTCTTTCCAAAATTTTCTTAAATACTGTAAAGTAATTGGTGCGACATTTGGGAGGTATATATTTACCCAAGTATACTTAATATTGTTTACTTTAGTTACCAATATCATGTTTCGTCCATCTTTGTCTAAGAATTCATATAAGATCTCTACTTGGATAGCACTAGAGGAGATTGTAGCTACTCTGCCTTTTTTTTTATCTGTTCTTGAGGCATGAATTACCAAAGGAAAACCCTTTGGATTCCATTGTCGATTGTCTTTCACTCGCCAGTGAGTCTTCTGGAGAAAGCATATACCTGCATGTACTTTTCTTACATGGTTCAACACCGTTATCCTCTTAATAGGTAAATTAAGAACCTGCACAGACACCAATTTAAAGGCATACTCCAGGCACCCAGACCACTTCTGCCCATTGGAATGGTCTGGGTGCAAACTCCCACTACCCTTAACCCTGCAAGTGTAACTATTGCGGTTTTCATAAACTGCAATATATACCTTGCAGGGTTAAGTCCGTGTTCATAGAACACGAAAAATGTTTTAAGACGTCCTTATGCTATGATAGAGAGCAGTAAGCAGTGAGCAGTAAGCAGTGATAGAGAGCAGTGGCAGGGAGCAGTAAGCAGTGATAGAGAGCAGTGGCAGTGAGCAGTAAGCAGTGATAGAGAGCAGTGGCAGTAAGTAGGAGCAGTAAGCAGTGAGCAGTGATACAGAGCAGTGGCAGTGAGCAGTAAGCAGTGATAGAGGGCAGTGGCAGGGAGCAGTAGGCAGTGATAGAGAGCAGTGGCAGTAGGTAGTGGCATTGAGCAGTAAGTAGTGATAGAGGGGAGTGGCAGGGAGCAGTAAGCAGTGATAGAGAGCAGTGGCAGTAAGTAGTGGCAGTGAGCAGTGATAGAGAGCAGTGGCAGTAAGTAGTGGCAGTGAGCAGTAAGCAGTGAGCAGTGATAGAGAGCAGTGGCAGTAAGCAGTGATAGAGAGCAGTGGCAGTGAGCAGTAAGCAGTGATAGAGGGCAGTGGCAGTGAGCAGTAAGCGTGATAGAGAGCGGTGGCAGTGAGCAGTAAGCAGTGATAGAGAGCAGTGGCAGGGAGCAGTGATAGAGAGCACTGAGCAGGGAGCAGTAAGCAGTGATTTAGGGCAGTGGCAGTGAGTCGTGATAGAGAGCAGTGGCAGTGAACAGTGGCAGTAAGTAGTGGCAGTGAGCAGTAAGCAGTGATAGAGAGCAGTGGCAGTGAGCAGTGATAGAGAGCAGTGGCAGTGAACAGTAAGCAGTGATAGAGGGCAGTGGCAGGGAGCAGTGGCAGGGAGCAGTAGGCAGTGATAGAGAGCAGTGGCAGTAGGTAGTGGCAGTGAGCAGTAAGTAGTGATAGAGGGGAGTGGCAGGGAGCAGTAAGCAGTGATAGAGAGCAGTGGCAGTAAGTAGTGGCAGTGAGCAGTGATAGAGAGCAGTGGCAGTAAGTAGTGGCAGTGAGCAGTAAGCAGTGAGCAGTGATAGAGAGCAGTGGCAGTAAGCAGTGATAGAGAGCAGTGGCAGTGAGCAGTAAGCAGTGATAGAGGGCAGTGGCAGTGAGCAGTAAGCGTGATAGAGAGCGGTGGCAGTGAGCAGTAAGCAGTGATAGAGAGCAGTGGCAGGGAGCAGTGATAGAGAGAACTGAGCAGGGAGCAGTAAGCAGTGATTTAGGGCAGTGGCAGTGAGTCGTGATAGAGAGCAGTGGCAGTGAACAGTGGCAGTAAGTAGTGGCAGTGAGCAGTAATCAGTGATAGAGAGCAGTGGCAGTGAGCAGTGATAGAGAGCAGTGGCAGTGAACAGTAAGCAGTGATAGAGAGCAGTGGCAGTGAGCAGTGTTAGAGGGCAGTGGCAGTGAGCAGTGATAGAGAGCAGTGGCAGCAGGGACAGACTGAGACCCTTTGGGGCCCCCAGGCAAAATTAGATCCCAGGCCCTTTGAAGGGGGGTGACCAGTGACAGAGGAGGGAGGGAGTGGGTGACCAGTGACAGAGGGAGGGGTGACACAGTGACAGAGTGATGGAGGGGGTGACTAGTGACAGAGTGAGGGAGGTGGTGACTGTCACTAGTCACCACCTCCCTCACTCTGTCCCTAGTCACCCCTCCCTCTGTCACTAGTCATCCCCTTCCTCACTCTGTCACTAGTCACCCCCTCACTCACTCTGTCACTAGTCACCCCATCCCTCTCTCTGTCACTAGTCACCCCATGCCTCTCTCTGTCACTAGTCACTCCCTCCCTAACTCTGTCACTGTGAAGGAAGGAAGGGGTGACTGGTGATAGAGTGAGGGGATGACTGGTGACAGAGTGAGGGAAGGCATGACTAGTGGCAGAGTGAGGGAAGGAAGGGATGACTGGTGACAGAGTGAGAGAGGGGGTGACTAGTGACAGAGTGGGTGACTAGTGACAGAGTGAGGGAGGGAGTGGGTGACTAGTGACAGAGTGAGGAAGGGGGTGACACAGTGACAGAGTGAGAAAGGGGGTGACACAGTGACAGAGTGAGGGAAGGGGTGACTGGTGACAGAGTGAAGGAGGAGGTGACTGTCACTAGTCACCCCATCCCTCCCTCTGTCACTAATCACCACTTCCCTCACTCTGTCACTAGTCACCCCCTCCCTCTCTCTGTCACTAGTCACACCCTCCCTCACTCTGTCACTTGTCACACCTTTTCTCACTGTCACTAGTCACACCCTCTCTCACTCTATCACTAGAGTGAGGGGGTGACTAGTTGCAGAGTGAGGGAAGGAAGGGGGTTACTAGTGACAGAGTGAGGGGATGACTGGTGACAAAGTGAGGGAGGGAGTGGGTGACCAGTGACGGAGGGAGGGAGGGAGTGGGTGACCAGTGACAGAGGAAGGGGTGACACAGTGACAGAGTGAGGTAGGGGGTGACTAGTGACAGAGTGAGGGAGGTGGTGACTGTCACTAGTCACCACATCCCTCACTCTGTCCCTAGTCACCCCTCCCTCTGTCACTAGTCACCCCCTTCCTCACTCTGTCACTAGTCACCCCTTCCCTCCCTAACTCTGTCACTAGTCACCCCCTCCCTCACTCTGTCACTAGAGTGAGGGGGTGACTAGTGGCAGAGTGAGGGAAGGAAGGGGTGACTAGTGACAGAGTGAGGGAGGTGGTGACTGTCACTAGTCACCACCTTCCTCACTCTGTCACTACTCCCTCCCTCCTTCTGTCACTAGTCACCCCCTCCGTCCCTTACTCTGTCACTAGTCACCCCCTCCCTCACTCGGTCACCAGTCATCCCCTCCCTCTGTCACCTGTCACGCCCTCACTCTGGTGACAGAGGGAGGGAGGGTGGGACTAGTGACAGAGAGAGGGAGGGGGTGACTAGTGACAGTAAGGAAGGGGATGAGTAGTGACAGAGTGAGAGTGGGGGTGACTAGTGACAGAGTGAGGGAGGGAGTGGGTGACTAGTGACAGAGTGAGGAAGGGGTGACACAATGACAGAGTGAGGGAGGGGGTGACTAGTGACAGAGTGAAAGAGGTGGTGACTGTCACTAGTCACCTCATCCCTCCCTCTGTCACTAATCACACCGTCCCTCACTCTGTCACTAGAGTGAGGGGGTGACAGGTGACAGAGTGAGGGAAGGGGTGACTAGTGACAGAGAGAGGGAGGGGGTGACTAGTGACAGTGGGGGGGAGGGGTGATTAGTGATTGGTAAAGGGAGGGGTGATTAGTGACATTGGGGTGACTAGTGACAGTGGGGTGACTAGTGACGGGGAGGGGTGATTAGTGACAGTGGGGGGGAGGGGTGATTAGGTGACAGTGGGGAGTGGATGATTAGTACAGCGGGGTGACTATGACAGTGGGGGAGGGATGATTAGTGACAGGGGGTGACTACTGACGGGACCAGTGACAGTGGGGGTGATTAGTGACAGTGATTAGTGACAGTGGGGGTGTGACTAGTGACAGTGGGGAGGGGTGATTAGTGACAGTGGGGGTGGGGTGATTTCAGTGACAGTGGGGGGTAAAGCGGACTCACTGACGCGGGCACAGCACAGCGGGGACCAGTGACAGTGGGGGTGACATGACAGTGGGGGGTGACTAGTGACAGTGGGGGAGGGTGATTAGCGACAGTGGGGGGGTGGGGTGATTAGTGACAGTGGGGGGGAGGGGTGATTAGTGACAGTTGGAGGTGATTAGTGACAGGGAGGGGGGGTGACTAGTGACAGTGGAGGGGAGGAGGGGTAACTAGTGCCTACCTGTCTCTCTGCTTCCTCTTCTCTCCCAGGGTGCTGCTCCTTCCCCTGCTGGGCTCTGTGTGAGAGGAGTAAACAGGAAGTGAGGTCACTTCCTAGCCCCGCCTCTCCCATCACACAGAGCACAGGGAGAAGGAGACCTGGCAGAGACCTGGCTGGTGAAGCTGCCAGGTCTCATGGGGGGGAGGGAGGGAGGATGGATTTAGAGAGGGTAGTTTGTGGTGCCCGGCGCTGCATCTGGGGCCCCGCGCTGCATCAGGGGCCCCACAACCTATCAATTAAAAAGTTTTATTTATTTATTTTTTTGCCGTTCCAGTTGGAGAGATAAATGATCTCTGATCTCTCCAGCTGGAGCATGGCTGTGCGGCCGGGCCCCTGACTGCCTCGGCCCACGGTCCATGACCGAAGTGCCCAAGTGGTCAGTCCGCCCCTGAGTGGCAGTGAGCAGTAAGCAGTGATAGAGGACAGTGGCAGTAAGCAGTGATAGAGAGCAGTGATAGTGACAGTGAGCAGTGATATAGTGGCAGTGAAAGAGTGGTAGAGAGCAGTAAGTAGTGACAGTGCTATAGGTGGCAGTGACATAGTGACAGTGCTATAGGTGGCAGTGACATAGTGAGCAGTGATATAGTGGCAGGGGCAGTGATATAGTGACAGTGAGCAGTGATAGAGAGCAGTAAGTAGTGACAGTGATATCGTGAAAATGATATAGTGAGCAGTGGCAGTGATATAGTGACAGTGGCAGAGATATAGTGAGCAGTGATATAGTGGCAGTGATGTAGTGACAGTGAGCAGTGATATAGTGAGCAGTGATACAAAGGCAGTGGCAGTGATACAGTGGCAGTGAGCAGTGATACAATGGGCAGTGAGCAGTGATACAGTGGCAGTGAGCAGTGATACAATGGGCAGTGAGCAGTGATACAGTGGCAGTGATATAGTGGCAGTATTATAGTGGCAGTGAGCAGTGATACAATGGGCAGTGAGCAGTGATACAGTGATACAATGGGCAGTGAGCAGTGATACAGTGATACAATGGGCAGTGAGCAGTGATACAGTGATATAGTGGCAGTCATACAGTGAGCAGTGATACAGTGATACAATGGACAGTGAGCAGTGATACAGTGATACAATGGGCAGTGATACAATGGGCAGTGAGCAGTGATACAGTGATATAGTGGCAGTCATACAGTGATACAATGGGCAGTGAGCAGTGATATAGTGGCAGTCATACAGTGAGCAGTGATACAGTGATACAATGGACAGTGAGCAGTGATACAGTGATACAATGGGCAGTGAGCAGTGATACAGTGATACAATGGGCAGTGAGCAGTGATACAGTGATATAGTGGCAGTCATACAGTGAGCAGTGATACAGTGATACAATGGGCAGTGAGCAGTGATACAGTGATATAGTGGCAGTCATACAGTGAGCAGTGATACAGTGATACAATGGGCAGTGAGCAGTGATACAGTGGGCAGTGATACAGTGAGCAGTGATATAGTGGCAGTCATACAGTGAGCAGTGATACAGTGATATAGTGGCAGTCATACAGTGAGCGGTGATACAGTGATACAATGGGCAGTGAGCAGTGATACAGTGACAGTCATACAGTGAGCAGTGATACAGTGATACAATGGGCAGTGAGCAGTGATACAGTGGGCAGTGAGCAGTGATACAGTGAGCAGTGATATAGTGGCAGTCATACAGTGATATAGTGGCAGTCATACAGTGAGCAGTGATACAGTGATATAGTGGCAGTCATACAGTGATACAGTGAGCAGTGATACAGTGATATAGTGGCAGTCATGCAGTGATACAGTGAGCAGTGATATAGTGAGCAGTGATATAGTGGCAGTCATACAGTGATACAGTGAGCAGTGATATAGTGAGCAGTGATATAGTGGCAGTCATACAGTGATACAGTGATATAGTGGCAGTCATACAGTGATACAGTGAGCAGTGATACAGTGATATAGTGGCAGTCATACAGTGATACAGTGAGCAGTGATACAGTGAGGGCGGTTGTGGAGGAGCAGCTGCTTTGTCTCAGGATTCAGTCTACAACCGGCCAGGCATTGGCTCCCTGCTCTTATTAATGGGGTTGCCCGTGGGAACACTGCCTTCCTCTGATTGGTTGTAGACGGACAGAGGGCGGGTCTCCCTGCGTATCTGTGCTGTGATTGGCTGCCGGGGGAGCACGGCCAGTCTCCCCATCCCTGTGCAGCGCCGGTTCCTGGGCTGATCCGAGCTCGCTGCTGCCGGGGCGGCCGGTGTTCTCCTCTCCATGTAGCAGCGGCTGAAGGTCGCCGAGGCGAACACCGCGTGTGACAATGCTGGGGATCATCAGCCTGCAGGGGCTCACCAGGGACCTGTCCCTCTACCTCGAAAACCAAGTCCGAGTGGGGCTGTTCGGCTCCGGGGTGGGACTGTCATTGGTGCTGGGCTTCGGTGCAGCCTATGCCTGCTATTACCTGAGTGTCATTGCCAAGGTAAGCCTGGGGTGGGGGCGCTGGGGGGTACTGGTCACCGATACTCTGCTAGGCTGGAGTGTGAGTGGGGTTCAGGCTGGAGTATGAGTGGGGATCAGGCTGGAGTATGAGTGAGGATCAGGCTGGAGTGTGAGTGGGGATCAGGCTGGAGTGTGAGTGGAGTTCAGGCTGGAGTATGAGTGGGGATCAGGCTGGAGTATGAGTGAGGATCAGGCTGGAGTGTGAGTGGGGATCAGGCTGGAGTATGAGTGAGGATCAGGCTGGAGTGTGAGTGGGGATCAGGCTGGAGTATGAGTGAGGATCAGGCTGGAGTGTGAGTGGGGATCAGGCTGGAGTATGAGTGAGGATCAGGCTGGAGTGTGAGTGGGGATCAGGCTGGAGTATGAGTGAGGATCAGGCTGGAGTGTGAGTGGGGATCAGGCTGGAGTATGAGTGAGGATCAGGCTGGAGTGTGAGTGGGGATCAGGCTGGAGTGTGAGTGGGGATCAGGCTGGAGTGTGAGTGGGGATCAGGCTGGAGTATGAGTGGGGATCAGGGTGGAGTGTGAGTGGGGTTCAGGGTGGAGTGTGAGTGGGGTTCAGGCTGGAGTGTGAGTAGGACCAGGCTGGAGATTGAGTGGGATCAATTTGGGGTGTCAGTGGTGCCAGGGTGGAGGGTGAGTGGGATCATGAGTCAGGGTGGAGGGTGAGTGGTTCCAAGCTGGGTCAGGTGAGTACATTAACTCATGCATGTCTCACACCGACAGCCCCAGATGTAATATGTGTATGATTCTCTATCGCTGTCACGACAATGTATCAAGGAAAACAGGAGCTATTGTGTGGCAAACTTCTAAATTCTATTGGTTTCCATGGTGACTGCGTTTCATTCAGCAGGTGGCACCAAAACAGCACCTGACATACCATGATATGTCTTCCTCTGGGTTTTCCAATGTCACTGTAAGCCTGTCATTGCTGTGGTCTGCCCACATTTTCTCTCCAATGTACATATTACAGCATACGTGCTCGCAATGTGGGAGGCAAGTTCTAACCAGCTACAAATTGAAACATGGAAACAAAAATGTGTAAGATCCGCCTGTGAACGAGAAATGTGCAGCAAGCATCATTCCACCTATTTCTTCATATTCGTGCATTCAGCACTTTAAATTAAAATAATGAGTATGTACTACTGCTGCAGGAAAAATCAGGAAGTATTGCAAACAAAATATCACGTGCAAGAAATGGTGTTTAAAAAGGACAGCATGTATTTTTTGAAGTGTAGTCAGCTAGAACAAAGATTCACTTGTCAGCATATAGATTATGTTAGCAAATGCATCATTGATTTGTATTACTATATGATCAAATACAAGCTTTAAAGGTACACTCTGGGCTTGAGCTGACCCTAAGTTTTAATGCATCACATAAATATTGCATGGGATAAAATATAACATAAATATTGCATGGGATAAAATATAACATAAATATTGCATGGGATAAAATATAACATAAATGAGTTTCAAACTTTTGTTATTGACATGAAGCAATCTGATACATTTAGTATAATGTAGACAGAAATGTTTGTAAAACAAGTTAGAAGTTATGTACTTGGCTTTATCCATGACATTTTGTTTACAAGAGTGGAAAAGAAAATTAAATGATACAATAGTGAAAACAATAAAGAAAACTAATCTAAACAAGTTCTCCTCCAAGCGCCCTGGGCATTGGAGCTCGGAGTGGGTTCAATATCCGGGATAACTAGCTTGATGTGTCTTGTTTCGGGAAGGTGATGTTATTGTCCTGTTGTGTTTTACACCCCACCTCCTATAGACTGTAAGCTTGTTTGAGCAGGGTCCTCTTCAACCTATCGTTCCTGTAAGTTTTCTTGTAATTGTCCTATTTATAGTTAAATCCCTCCCCTCTCATAATATTGTAAAGGCTACGGAATCTGTTGGCGCTATATAAATGACAATAATAATAATAATAATAATAATAATAATTGAACTATGGGGGATGGCTGGCCTGCCCCGACTCTGGTCAAATACCAGTCTGTAAATTCAAATGTGGATTTAAGTTTTGATTAGGTAATTCTGTCTAATGTGCTGATATATGGTTGCCATGTCCAAAGGAATTTCTTTGTTAGGGTACTTTTTATTTAACAAGTTTCCTACCCAGTGCATGTGGAATAGGAAAGTAATTTTTGTGTGTAGTGGTGCTAGTGCGGGGGGATCTATCCATTGACACAGTATAGCTTAGCGATCTGCAGCTAAGACCATATGGGTTCATTTTCTAACCAGATCTGAGTGCTCTGTCGTTACCTCCAGTACTGCCAATAGTGGCGAGATACTTTACCTAGTAATTGTTATATAATGTGTACTACCTGTCTCCAGAATGCTTCGATTCCCACACTTCTCCAGAAGCAATGGTCTCTCCCACATTTTATACAACTCTACGAATCTCTAAGTTTTAGGGAGAATTGTTTTTGAGGGTAATAATACGCATGATGCACAAAAGCTGCTTGCCAAGTGAATTTTTTGGCAGGTAGCTGTTGGGAGCAGTTTAAACAGCTTGATGGTTAAATGTTCATGAGTCAGTGTTTGGAAGCGTGTTATCCACCTTGACAGGCCCAACTGCACAATTGTGTAATCCAATAGCAAACCTAAATCAAATAGGATTTAAATTAAAAGAGATTCTGTTAACAAGACTCTATCACCGCTTCTGCAGTGAGTTCACTCCACACAAGGACAATGCTGGAAACTCTCAACCAATGCCGGTGTTCTCATTTTATTCTACTGGAGTGCTGATCCTTTGCTTTAGATTTCTTACCCAACACATTGGAAGAGTGAGCATGAATCTGTGCCCAATGAAACTTTCCTTGAGTGTTGATGTAAATGTCATAGTGGCACAAGCGTCTGTACAAGACTTGTATGAGGGACATAGAGCTATTTGTGACATGGCTGAACCCCTTGCAAGGATCACAGGTTGCTTGAAGTACATTGTCCCTTTTAAGATAATATGTATAGCTATATAGATCTATTTCTACTATTTATTTAGAAAGTGTTATATCAGGAAAAATCCATTGAGATTTTTCCAGCATGTTCTGGGACACTCAAACATTACAATTTTGCCACAGTTTACACAGAATTAAGTGGAGAGAGAGGCAGACAGTCCATTTCAGAGATTGCTTGCTTGTGAAATATTTGGTGATTTTTAGTGGATTATTTTAGAGTTGCAGAGCTCTATGTGAGAGGACTGCAGAATCCACGTCCATTTTGTAATGTGGTGTTAGGGGCTGGAAGTGGACATCAAGTACATAGAGGCTGTGGAAAGCGGATTTAGGTTATAAACAATTTATTAGATATAAGGGTATGATAGATGTTTATTATCTGTTTTGGTTCTCTTAATATATCAAATTGTGTTATTTATACATATCTGTTTTTATTAATAGCACTCTGGTTACTGTGGATTGAGACCTGTGAGTTCCATATAATTATTCACTAACTTTTGTCTTGTTTGGATTTCCAAATTAATTCCACGTTTAATACACAGATCCATATTCTCAGATGGTAGCACATACTCCCAGATATACATACACAAAGACACACACACACACAGATCTGTACTCCCAGATACACAGTCAGATCCCCACAAGCTCCAAAACACATGCAACTGCAACACTAACCCCTCACTAGAAACATAGAATGTGACGGCAGATAACCATTCGACCCATCTAGTCTGCCCAATTTTCTAAATAATTTCATTAGTCCCTAGCTTATCTTATAGTTAGGATAGCCTTATGCTTATCCCACGCATGCTTAAACTCCTTTACTGTGTTAACCGCTACCACTTCAGCTGGAAGGCTATTCCATGCATCCACTACCCTCTCAGTAAAGTAATACTTCCTGATATTATTTTTAAACCTTTGTCCCTCTAATTTAAGACTATGTCCTCTTGTTGTGGTAGTTTTTCTTCTTTTAAATATAGTCTCCTACTTTACTGTGTTGATTCCCTTTATATATTTAAATGTTTCTATCATATCCCCCCTGTCTCGTCTTTTCTCCAAGCTATACATGTTAAGATCCTTTAACCTTTCCTATGATGCTTTAATATCACACTTGCAATTTAAATCCCAAACTAGCAGCATTAAACCTGTACCTACAGCATTAATACTATACCGAATGCATTAACCTTCACATACAATTACACACACACACACAGTCACACCTATATAGCACCACAGATACAGTCATGGACACACACACACACACACACACACACACAAAAAGCAGTAAGATGTGCAAGCTGCTTCTGCTCCATCTTCCATCCCTCCTGCCCCTAATGGAGTGTAGCCAAATGGCTTCCTGAGAGGGAGAGCTCGTTCTTATGACTAATGACTGCACTATGGATTCATTGCTCAAAGTGTGGAAGGAGAGTGGGGAGCTTTGTCAGATCCCCTTCACACATAAGTACAACTGGTGTGTAATTAAACCTCATTGGATAGTCCTGCTGCGCTATGTTAAAGGAACACTATAGGGTCAGGATCACAAACATGTATTCCTGACCATTAGATGACAGTTCATCAATAAGTCAAAATGAGAGGTCAGAGTCTAATTCTCATGCCATTTTTCTATGGTCGGGGATAAATGTATTTTTTTTTTTTTTTCTCTGTAAAGATACTAATAGCGTATATATTCTGGGATATATCTTAATTTTAGAAGTCAACATGTTAACTTCCTTCCCATACAGCAATATAGACATACAGTAATGTTTAGTTTTCTTTGCATAACAGGTTGAACTTGATGGACAATAGTTGTTTTTCCACCAAGACAAATATGTAACAAAATATACCAAAGTCTACTTACTTTTCTTGTTGTGCTTTTCACACAACAAACTACTGTCATGGCTCTGCTGTGGCCCTCTGAAGGAAATTGTGTAGCATTAACAATGTATACATTGTGGCCTTCACTCAAACGGCCACTAGATGTGTTTTCTGGGCTAGTGCTGCACAATGTGCAGCACTAACGTCAGCGTCTCCACAGTCTGCATGGAGATGCTGAATGTTCCGCATTGATTCATTGATATTACAATGTGAGCACACTTAGTGCTCTGCTCTTGTCTCAGGACACACTTTGTTTTCTCAACTTCACCTTTTTTTTCTCACATGACAGAAGCCTCAGTTGGTGATTGGAGGAGAAGCTTTCTGCTGTTTCCTGAAGCAACACTGCCCAGCGCTGACTGAAACATACTACCCCACATTGTGGTGCTGGGAAGGCAGAGTACAGACATTGCTGAGACCCTTCATCACTGTCAAACCACTGGTTCATTACAACAAGTGAGTATCTGCTGCTAGTCAATCATGTTAATTACAACCAGGTAATTACAACTAGTAATTGACATGACCTAGTTCACCCTCCCTGAACTAGACTCTTCAGTTAGGGAGTTTCCATAATCACAGCGCATGTACTGTGGTTTCTATGGTTGGATAGTAGAGGGACCTCCTGTGGGATAAGGGTAGGCAACCTTTTGCACTCCAGATGTTATGGACTATATATCCCCTAATGCTTTCCCAGCATCAGGGCCGGCCTTAGGGGTGTGCGAGCTGTGCGGCCGCTTAGGGCGCCATGCCAACAGGGGCGCCGGGCAACCGACACAGCTCGCACAACCAGGCCCTGTCCTACCTCAGAGCGCTCTTGTGGGTGAAAGATTGCGCCCCAGCTGGCCGACCCTTAGAGAGTGAGCTCTGCTTTGGTATTGGCCGGTGAGGAAATTGGGGACCTCCCTCACCGGCCCGCTGTTTGCACAATGGGGAGGAGCGAGCAGTGAGCACTTTGATTCTGCCCTCCTCTCGCGAGCTCGGCATTCGGAGTGTTGCCGCGGTGTTACCACGGCAACGCACTCATACTATCAAAGCAGAGCTCGCAAGAGGAGTGCTCCTGTTCTGCAAGGTGCAGCACTTCAAGAGCTGGCAGAGACCGCTGGACCACCAGGTCATCAGTATTCCCCCATTCCTGCCCAAAGGTATGCAAGAGGGAGGGAAGAAGAAGGGGGGAATCAACATGAATTAATGTAAGAAAACAAAACATGAAATTGCTCTCCCACCTCCTCATTTAAAGCCTTATGTCACCCCTCCTACCCACAAATCATCACTATCCCACCCTTATTTTGTTACCTACACACACACAACATCCCCATACACACACTACACAATCTACTCACACACAACATCCCCTATACACACTACATAATCTACTCACATACACACACTCAGTGGCGTACATACCAGGGTCACGGTTGTGACCGGGCCCAGCCCACCAGGGGGCCCGGCCACCCCTGCGAACCAGTGGGGGGCCCAGGATCTGGCCACCTCAGGGCCCCCGGAGGCTGGCCCTGCAGTCACTCCACGGCCGGTCCTGCGGGCGCGCGAGGGAGAACTCTCCCCTGAGTGCTTCCTCTTCAGCTCCCTCGCGCACCGCACTGATACCGGAGCCAGAAGATGACGTCATCTTCCGGCGCCGGCATCTCTACGTGGCGCGCAAGGGAGCTGAAGAGGAAGCACTCAGGGGAGAGTGCTTCCTCGCGTGCGCGCCAGCCTTCCTGCCCACCCACCAGGTGACTGGCCGCCCAGGAGACCACCAACACCACTGGACCCCAGGGAATCCCCCCCCAGCACTCCAAAAGGTAAGAAGGCTGGGGGAATAAATAAAAAAAATTAAAAAAAATAAAGTGTGTGTGTCTGCTTGTGAGTGTGTATGCTAGTGAGTGTTAGTGTGTTAGTGTGAGTCTGCTTGTTAGTGTCTTAGTGTGAGTGTTAGAGTGTGTGTGTCTGCTAGTGAGTGTCAGTGAGTGTGTTACTGAGTGTGTTTGTGTGTGTGTTAGGGGATCCCGCCGCCTCTCAGCTCCGAATGCACATGCGCGGCAAGAGCCGCGCGCACATTCAAACCGCCCATAGGAAAGCATTACTCAATGCTTTCCTATGGACGTTCAGTGTCTTAGAATCACGGAAGCTCCTTTAGCGGCTGTCAGTGAAACATAGTAGTTTCTCTGAAACTGCTATGTTTTCAGCTGCAGGGTTTAAACTAGAGGGATCTGACAACCAGACCACTTCATTGAGTTGATGTGATCTGGGTGTCTGTAGTGGTCCTTTCAGTGTGTGTGCCTCTGCATGCACTGGCGTACATACCGTGGTCGCAGGGGTTGCAGCCCTGCGACCTGGTGCCCGCTGCCATGTGTTGCGGCCCCCGGCCCGCGCAGAGTAAGCGTGGGGCGGGAGGGGGCCCACGGATCAATTTTCGCACCGGGGCCCCATGGGTCATGTGTATGCCACTGCACACACTACATAATCTACTCCCACACAACATCCCCTATTCACGCTACATAATCTACTCACATACACACACACACACACACACACACTTCACAATCTACTCACACACAACATCCCCTATACACACTACATAATCTACTCACACACAACACCCCCTATAAACACACTATGTACTCTACACACATTCACACTAGATAACTCACAAACACTACAAAACGTACAGACATACTATGCTCCCTATACATACACACTACATTCCCTATACACACATACTATGTTCCCTAAACACAGACACCCTACACCCCCTGTTTCCTACACACATACACATTACATCCCCTTTACACACACACCACATCCCTATCCCACACCACACTGTTTTCCCTACACACACTGCATCCCTATTCCACACACAACATAATGGCATGGCAACTTCAGGGAGACAGGACACTGTTTTTACTCCTAATGCTAGAGTGTTCATTCACATAGGTTTGTTTTTCCCAAAATTATACACGTGGGAGGAATTCTTCTAGCCCATATATATCTAGAATTTTCTGCTCTTTAAAAAGACCAGAAATTGTGTGTACCATAATAAGTACAATTTAACATGATTTCTGAGAGTAATATTTATATATACATGTATATTAATATGGGGGTATTATTATTATGTGTTATTACACCTATAATATTTACTAATGTATTAATAATATACGTGTATATGCATGATATGCCCAGAAATCACATTAATACGTAACACCTATGTAATGGAGGCATAGCACTTTTTACAAAATGGACTAGGGCATGTGACCATGGAGGGGTGCTGTGAATATTTTTCGCACAGGGCGCCTAAAGGCCCAAGGCTGGCCCTGCCCAGCATTATGATTGTAAAAGCATTATGGGAGATGTAGTGTACATCGTTTGCCTACCCATGCCCTAAGGCCTTCTTTTCACTCATAGCTATCTTCAAGGACATCTCAAGGACATCTCTCTGGAACAGTTTTAAAGTTCATGAAGACGTAAGATGGTAAAGTACGAAAGAAGATGGAGTCAAGTAATTATTGAGGGCTCTGTAGGTTAGTGTTAGCAGTTTAAATTGGCTCATGAAGGGTACATGAAACCAGTGTAATGATTGCCAAAGGGCTGAGGTTTTGGGAGTAGCAGTCAGTCAGGAAAATGAGCCTGGCAGCAGCATTTATTACAGGTTGAAGAGTGGTGACGTATTTGGAAGGCTTATGAGTAGTGAAGTTGGGCAATGATGAGTGCATGAACAAGTGCCCTAGTTGTGTCTTGAGTTAGAAAAGGGCAAATGCACTTTTAAGGTCAGATAAAGGTCATATAAAACAGAGGAGTTGGTGTAGCGCTTTGGCTGACCTTAGGAGATATATGCAACGACAAGAAGAGACAGTGCAGGAACTTTTAGTGTGGGAAGTTAAAAAAAACTTTGAGGTAAGTAAGATGTGCACTTACACTTTTTACGAGCTAAAATCCAGCACCAAGCATTTGGGCAATATGAACCGTGCCTAGGGATATGGTTTAGCACTGGTTCAGAAGGCAATCCTTGTAGTAATAAATATTCTCGTAGATATATAAACCTTGTAGTAATATCTCCCAGAACTATTCCTTTTGTTGGCCCTTTTAGCCATCCCTATGTGAAAAATTAAAGGGGGAATCTCAATTGATAATTTACCTTTGGCCCTTTGGGGTCCTAGTCCTTTTCTGAAAGCATGGGCCACTAGGATAAGTAGTTTATCCAACAAGTGCCATGCTACTCATCTCTTAGGGTGAGTTGAACTGCTTAGTAAACTGATAGCAGCCGTACCATGGTTTCAGTTTACAGATATCGTGGTTCACTCAGACCGAGTTGCTTGTGCAATGTGCTGACGCCTCGTGCAAAACTTGGATAAAACTAATCCAGCCCTCCTGGAACGCTTTCTCTGAGCTGATTGAAAGTAGCTGGAGATGGATTTACATCCTGACAAACAAACCGGTATCTTTCACACAAGCTGAAGTGGTTATGGTTAACTATTCAGTTTCTTTCACATGAACTCATATGCTGACATTTTCCACCACCAATCTTTACAATTGACTATGAATAAAGAATGCCATGATAGTACGAAACAGATCAGTATGGCTATTGAAAAACAGATTTACTGCTTGTGCATATGCATTTCCAAGGCAAAGGGCCTTTCATTCTTTCATTGGCTCTAATGAAAAAAAGGGGGGGGTTAAAGCTGAACAAATGGTACTGTGTTCTGTAAAACACAGACTGGCATATTTAAGTGTTAAGGCTCTTTGTTAATGCACAGACATAGAAGCATAGAATGTGACAGCAGATAAGAACCATTCGCCCATCTAGTCTGCCCAATTCATACAGGGAGACATTCCCTTAACAAATGAGAATGCTTTGTACACTGCTGCACTTGATACAGTAAGGAAAGGGTATCGCTTGGCTTCATTTGATACAGTTTGGGGTTTATTCATAACTCACAGAATTGTAGTGAATTGAAACTGCAAAACATAGGCTTAAAGTGTGAATATTAGTAATTTGATTTGTATAAAGCCGTAGCTGCAGTGCAGCAGAGATCCATGGGAACACAGTTCTATTAAAACATGTAAAAAGGGAACTGATTTTCCGCACTTCTTGCTGTAAATGATTTTTAAAATTGTGGGAAGCTTTTTGTTCATTTGTTGTCTAAGCAAGTTTTAAATCTTGATCGTTCTGTATATAATCCTATGCTTTTCCATTAACACAAGGCAGACATTTTGATAGATTTACACTTGAGGGTGGATCGGCCTTTTAAGAGTCAGGTACAGCCTAGAGTGAGCGAGGAGTGATTAATTTGTTGTCTTTCTATAGATGTTGAATGTGTGTAATGCTATATGCAAAAACATTTTTGCACTGATTTTTATTCAACATAATTTTTATATTCATATACATCTATAAGTGTGTTTTACACAGATGCACTTGGTCACTTTATTTATATAATATTGCACTAATTGATCCCACTTATACAAAATTTTGTGCTTAAAGGCACAGCGCAATTTCTTTGTTTATATTGTGTTATTATAGGTGATTGAGCTTTTTTCACTGTATATAGTGCTGCTTATTACAAATTACTGTTGTTTTATAATTCAGTGCCATAATATTACTTGTGTGTTTTTATCATTTTGTAATGTGAACACTGCCTTTTCTCTGAAACAAAACTGTGTTTACTGCAAAAAGCCTGAAGGGAATGCTTATACTCCCCAAAACAAATACAACAAGCTGTAATTGTTCTAGTGACTATAGTGTCCCTTTAAGGAACAAGCTGAGTTAGAATTGTGGCAGTTACCACTCGGTAGTGTAACTCACACTAAATTTAGACAGGCCAGGAGATTAGAGCCCTGGAGTGCATGAGTGATTAGAGCATTATTATCCATTCATTACAAGTAAAAATGGATTACTGGGATAGAAAATAGGTGTACCCGTTGAAATAACAGGAACATCGTGTCAGTGCTCCTCAACCCTTTCCCCAAGACACACCTAACGGTCCAGGATTTAGGGATTACCCTGGTGTGTCTGAGGTGTTTAGAAAAAGAAGGAAAAAACACTTTAGACACACGTGGGTAATCCCTAAATCCTGGACCGTTAGGTGTGTCTTGAGGAGAGGGTTGAGGAGCACTGCATCATGTAATATATTTATAACATGATAATGTCATTGAAGACATTATGGAAAAAAACAAAACACAAGATTGCATGATGTTCTGGAGCAGATTCTTTCCTTGCTCTGCACATTGTCAGTCACACCATCCCAGATTTGTAAAATACTAATGTGAGTAGAGAAACCACTATGTAGGTTTTTTGCACCGTCAGGATGACCATTTAGATTCATCAAGGTCATTGCTTTCGTGGGATAACTCATGCATGCCATGAGACAAGGAGTGTAGTCCCGTTAATATGCTGCCTCCATCCAAGCTGATTTTTAAGGTCAGCGTTCTTCTATTGTGCAAACAAGCTGGCATTCTTTCAAACAAATGGTTTTTTAATTGTTGTTGGAGACTGTTCAAGATGTAGAAATTATACTTTTACATTGCAATCACCATGCACATGCTAATATACCCACCAGCTGTTCATAAGAGTCTACCCTTCTCAGTTATCAAATAAGACATCTATAGTATTTGCTTGTACTGCGGAGAAATCCTAGCTATTTAGCAGGACCGTTTCCAATTCATCCAGCATTAGTTTGCTCTTCATATTGGAGTAAGCATCTTAAAAATGTATTTTTATTGACTGCTAATGTCTTCTTTGCATTTTACCTGTGTGTGTGTGCCTTTCATTTTCTTTCTTATTTTCTCCTTATTTGTTTTTGCAAAACCCACCAGACATCTACTTTCCTTCCAAAGTGTAGCTACTGCTGACATTGTGTCCAAAGTTTTTGGGGTTTATTTTGTCACATGAGTAGCTCTTAAAGCGTATCACCTGTTGCAATAGTCTTACATTTGTGACCAATATGTTTTTTTACAACTGTTATATATAGATATTTTATCCTCGCGTGTCTTGGAATATATTTTATATAAAACCCTTACAATTGTCGTATATTGTAAACCGATTACAATGGCTGTTTGCAGTTGGTTCTCATGTGCTTCACTATGTTCATTGGTTTTAACTTTACACTGGAGACGGCCAGTCATCTGCAGTTATCCTAAAAAAAGGCAGAGGCCATACAGGTCTGCCACTTGTCATAAGATTAAAAAAGTTATTTGTGCACTATCCCAAATTCCGATGCATATGTAAATAACTGGACGTTTTTTAGTATCACTATGACCATTCACGTGTAAGATCTCCTGCCATGTGAAGGCAAAACGTCTTAGGTGAGACGTACGTTGACAATTCACCATGCTGTCTTTAGCTAACAAGTAAAAATCTCTAATGAGACAGAAAGGGGTATTTTTCTAAACCCCTACACACTTATTAACACTTAATAGAAAACACATAGGGTTGGTAAGTGACGATTATTTTTTCCCCTGAAAAAAAGAGTTCACAGATGATAAATTCCACTGTACTATTATATCTTATGTAGTTCTGAATTCATCCTTTCATTTTATCTCTCTCTTCCTAGATTTGTTCCCTAATCTGTTTTCCCTCTCTCTGTTTTTCCTCTTACTTCCACCTAACAAAGTATCTCTTTTCTCTCATTTCTGTCACTATTTTCTCTACCTGACTCGGAGATGTAGTAGCAGATCACATGCAAGAGCTATGTTCTAATAAGCCATGCAGAGAACAGTGGTGTGTGTGTGTGTGTGTGTGTGTGTGTTCACAAATAGTGCACTTGCTGCAGGCAGTGTGTGCTCATGCTAAACAAGTTCTTGGAGAACTGAACAGGGAAGCTCTGATTCCCTGGTGAAACACTTACTTGTGTGGATTGCAAAACAAGAGTTGTGTCCTGCTACTATGCCTAATTAGTGATGTCCCGAACTGTTCGCTGGCGAATAGTTCCTGGCGAACATCGCTTGTTCGCGTTCGCCACAGAAGGCGAACATATGCGCTGTTCGGTCCGCCCCCTATTCGTCATCATTGAGTAAACTTTGACCCTGTACCTCACAGTCAGCAGACACATTCCAGCCAATCAGCAGCAGACCCTCCCTCCCAGACCCTCCCACCTCCTGGACAGCATCAATTTTACATTCATTGTGAAGCTGCATTCTTAGTGAGAGGAGGGACAGTGTAGCTGCTGCTGATTTGATAGGGAAATTGATAGCTAGGCTAGTGTATTCAGTGTCCACTACAGTCCTGAAGGACTCATCTGATCTCTGCTGTAATGACAGCACCCCAAAAAGCCCTTTTTAGTGCTAGAACATCAGTCTGCTTTTTTTTTTTCTGTGTAATGTAATTGCAGTTGCCTGCCTGCCAGCCTGTGTGTCAGGCTCACAGCATATACTGTGCCCAGTGCCACCACTCACTCACTGGTGTCCCAATAGCTTACATTTAAAAAAACAACTTTTTTGACTAATATAATAGCAGTCAGTTTCCTTAATGCGTGTGCGTTTCAGGGCCTGCCAGGGCACAGTGTCACACCAGTGCAACTCATATCTGGTGTAACAGTAGTGTACATTTAAAAAAAAAAAAATACAATTTCGACTGTAATAGATTGAATAGCAGTTAGTTGTCTGCAAGTGTGTGTGTCAGGCCTACAGCGTCTACTCTGCCAACTTCTGCCACTGCACAGTGCCACTCATATCTGTTGTCACAGTAGCTTGCACGCATAGTACCACTAATCTAAAAAAAAATGACAGGCAGAGGCAGGCCACCCCGCAGGGGCCGTCGTGGTCGTGGTGCTGTGATTCCCTTTGGCCCTAGAATAATGCCCAGTGTTCAGAGGCCACGTACCCTGAACTCGAAAAGTTCTGAGGACATAGTTGACTGGCTAACACAGGACACCCAATCTTCTATAGCTTCCGCTCGGAACCTTGACGCACCATCCTCCTCCAGCTTAGCTTCGGTCACCTCTCAAGTTACCACTCGTCCGCCTGCCGCCACCACCAACACTAGCACCACAGCAGCTTCACTTGGTATGTCAGAGGAGTTATTTACACATCAGTTGGAAGAAATGAGTGATGCGCAACATTATTGACAGAGGATGTAGATAACCGGGATATGTCTCAGTCAGGCAGCATTACACACATGGATGTACGGTGTGATGATGATGATGTACCCGCTGCTGCTTCCTTTGCTGAGTTGTCAGATACAAGTGAAACGGTTGATGACGATGCGTCCGTGGATGTCATGTGGGTGCCCGCTAGAAGAGAAGAAGAGCAGGGGGAAAGTTCAGATTGGGAGACAGAGAGGAGGAGGAGACAAGTTGGAAGCAGGGGGAGGTTGTCGCATGAGCTAGTGGCACAGTCAGACAGCATGCATCGGCACCCGGGGTCAGCCAGACAGCACGCCAATCAACGCATGCTGTTGCCACCACCAGAATGCCGTCATTGCAGAGCTCAGCAGTGTGGCATTTTTTTTTTTTGTGTGTCTGCCTCTGACAACAGCGATGCCATTTGCAACCTGTGCCAAAAGAAAGTGAGTCTTGGGAAGTCCAACACCCACCTAGGTACAACTGCTTTGCGAAGGCACATGATCGCACATCACAAACGCCTATGGGATCAACACATGAGTACAAGCAGCACACAAACTCAAAGCCGCTATCCTCCTCCTGGTCCAGCATCTTCAGCCACGTTAACCACTGCTGTCCTCCTTGCCCCCTCTCAACCATCCGCCCCTCCGTCTCTCGCCTTGAGCAGTTCCTGCTCATCTGCCCACAGTCAGGTGTCTGTCAAGGACATGTTTGAGCGTAAGAAGCCAATGTCACAAAGTCACCCCCTTGCCCGGCATCTGACAGCTGGCTTGACTGAACTCTTAGCCCGCCAGCTTTTACCATACAAGCTGGTGGAGTCTGAGGCGTTCAAAAAATTTGTAGCTATTGGGACACCGCAGTGGAAGGTACCCGGCCGAAATTTCTTTGCACAAAAGGCAATCCCCAACCTGTACTCGATTGTGCAAAAGGAAGTAATGGCATGTCTGGCACAGTGTTGGGGCAAGGGTCCATCTGACCACTGATACCTGGTCTGCAAAGCATGGTCAGGGCAGGTATATCACCTACACTGCGCATTGCGTAAACCTGCTGACGGCTGCCAAGCATGGAATGCGTGGCTCTGCAGAGGAGTTGGTGACACCGCCACGACTTGCAGGCAGGCCTGCTGCCACCTCCTCTACTCCTCCTACTCCTCTTCCATAACCTCCTCGGCTGAGTCCTCTTCTGCTGCTGCGTCTTGCTCCACATCAACGGCACCTCTCCCCCCCCAGCTCCCCAGGTACTATTCCACATCCCGGATACGGCAGTGTCACGCCGTCTTGGGGTTGACTTGCCTGAAAGCAAAGAGTCACACCGGACCAGCACTCCTGTCCGCCCTGAACGCACAGGTGGATCAGTGGCTGACTCCGCACCAACTGGAGATCGGCAAAGTGGTTTGTGACAACGGAAGAAATTTGTTGGCGGCATTGCATTTGGGCAAGTTGACACATGTGCCGTGCATGGCACATGTGTGTAATCTGATCATACAACGCTTTGTGCATAAGTACCCAGGCTTACAGGATGTCCTGAAGCAGGCCAGGAAGGTGTGTGGCCATTTCAGGCGTTCCTACACGGCCATGGCGCACTTTTCAGATATCCAGTGGCGAAAAAACATGCCAGTGAGGCGCTTGATTTGCGACAGACCGACACGTTGGAATTCAACACTCCTAATGTTCGACTGCCTGCTCCAACAAGAAAAAGACCGGGGTGCTAGGACAGCCTCTGTGGAGCTGGGAATTTTTTTGCCACGTTACTGGCTGCTCATGCGCAATGCCTGTAGGCTCATGTGTCCTTTTGAGGAGGTGACAAACCTAGTCAGTCGCACCCAAGGCACCATCAGCGAATAAGCAGAAAGTGCCTGAAATGTTACCGAATTACGGCAAGGCGGAAAGGATGCAGCAGTTCCAAAATCAATTAAAAAGTATGCTTGTCACAGCACAATGGGAATCTAACAGGGGAAGAGGTGAAAGTAATCCTCCTCCTCCCACGACCACTCCGGCAAGGACAGGACGCTTTAGACGTGTTGTTGATGGAGGACATGCGGAGCTTTTTTAAGTCCTACGCATCGCCACAGCCCTTCGGGGTCCACCCTCAGAGAACGACTCGACCGACAGGTAGCAGACTACCTCGCCTTAATTGCAGATATCGACACTCTGAGGAGCGATGAACCCCTTGACTACTGGATGTGCAGGCTTGACCTGTGGCCTGAGCTATCCCAATTTGCGATAGAACTTCTGGCCTGCCCGCTTCAAGTGTCCTGTCAGAAAGGACCTTCAGTGCAGCAGGAGGTATTGTCACTGAGAAGAGAAGTCGCCTAGGTCAAAAAAGTCTAGATTACCTCACCTTTTATTAAGATGAATGAGGGATGGATCCCGAAGGGACTGACAGTGGGCGATACATTCGACTAAAAAAGGCCTGATGAGGGGGACGTAACAGGGTGTCGCGGCTGCCGGCCCGCCGCGTGATATTTAAATCCCTAGCTCACCCCAGTACCTTGCCCTGTCGTGGTTTCCTGTTCCTGGTTTCCTGAGAGTGCTTTATCATTGTGAATCTGATTTCCTGGTATCCTGATCTTGGCTTTTCCCTGGTTATTCTGAATTCTGGTTTCCCTGACTTGGCTTGTGTAAATGGTATTGTGTATTTTCTGGCTTCCTTGACCTCGGCTTTCCCTTTGACCATTCTCTGTCTCTAGCATATTAGTCCGGCCATTCTAAGGTCCGGTTTACGCTCTGTCCTTTTATTTTCCTTTTCTTGCCTATGTATATGTTTACATAGTTTCTGCGTGCTGGACCACACTAGTAGTCGTGACATTGGGATTAAACTGATAAGAATAGTTATTTAACACACCTTATAATAACGCAGAGAGAGGAGTCTGAAGAAGAGGAGTCAGAGGAGGAAGGTGGCTTTGAGGAGGTGGAAGACCAAACACAGCAGGCATCCCAGGGGGCTTGTTGTCACCTTTTGGGGACCCTTGGTGTTGTACGTGGCTGGGTGGAGGAAGAGACCTTCAATGACATCAGTGAGGACAAGGAACGGGACATGGCTAGCTTGGTATCCAACCTTGTGCAAATGGGGAGTTTGCGGTTGTGCAAATGGACTGTTTGCGGTTGTTTGCGGTGCGTTAAACAGGGAGTTTGGTCTGTCACTGTGAAGCGGGCGTAGCCCTTACACTACCTGATCGATACAACATCATACCTGATGTTTTAAAGCCCGTTATTCCAAACAATTTAGACCGGAGCTCGGCCACGCTACACTGAGGGACTGACAGGAGGGAACGCTGTGCGCTTCCCTCCTGCCGATCCCTCTTTTCTTACGTGCCCAGGCTGGTGCACCCTCATGGACACGCCAGCCCGGGCAGTGCTGCAGCCACCTGAGTCTCTCTATAGAGCTCTCAGGCAACTGCAGCATTTAAGGGGCCGGTGCTGCCTAAGTCGCCTATTGAAAGCACCGGCCCTGCTCCCCTCTTGTCCCTTACTACTCTCCCCTCCTGTCCCTTAGTGTTCTACCCTGTCCCACTGTCCCTTAGTGATCTCCCCGCCCCCTTTCCCGTAATACTCTTCCCTCCTGTCCCGGGCAGGGCTGCAGCCGCCTGAGGCTCTCTATAGAGCTGCAGCATTTGAGGGCCGGCGCCTAAAGGAAGCGCCGGCCCTGCAGAAGAGGCTGACTAAACTACTGAGGAAACTGGACAAAACTTCTGGTACTGTATGTCTCCCCTCCAGCCCACCTAAGCTCTAAAAGCACATTAAAGGTGCTCTGCTCTCCTATAGGACATGTGCCTCCTCTGCCGAATGGGAATTCTGGCCGTGCCCTTGATATCATCTCTCTCTATCCTGTCTTCATTCTCAGGCAAAATGAAGAAATTTCTCCCACACCACAATCTGTTCAGTGGATAAAGGGTTCTTATTTGAAACTGACTAATCAGTTATTCATCAGTGACAGGATTGCTGGCAGTGCTTGTCCATAACGCCTAAAGTATTGGAGGGCAAAGAATTATTATAATTGAACACACCAGGGCCGGACTGGGAAGAAAATTCCGCCTGGGCATTTTTTATTACAGCTGCCACTGAAAAGGGGAGGCGGGGCCAGATAGGGTGTGTTTTGTTATCACCAATGACAAGCATGCCTCATCACAAATTGAGCATGTTGGTTCAATGCTCTGCTGAAGACCTCTAGCATGAGGAAAAGGCCCTGTATTTGTTCTGCACATCGCAAGCAAATATAAAGGATCACTATAGGGTCAGGAACACAAACATGTATTCCTGACCCTATCGGGTTAAAACCACCATCTAGCCATCCTGGTCCCCTCATGCCTCCCTAAATATTGTAAAATCTTACTTGTATTCAAGTCTTGAGCTGCTTGCTTTGTCACTGTTTCCTTTAGAACTGCCTGCTGACATCATCGGAAGTGATAGCCTGATCCAATCACAATGCTTCCCCATAGGATTGGCTGAGACTGACAAAGAGGCAGATTGGGGCAGAGCCAGCACAATTCAAACACAGCCCTGGCCAATCAGCATCTCCTCATAGAGATTAATTGAATCAATGCATTTCTATGAGGGAAGTTCAGTGTCTGCATGCAGAGGGAGGAGATACTGAATGTTTGGATGCATTTTAGGCAGCCATGACCCAGGAAGGGGTCTAACAGCCATCTGAGGAGTGGCCAGTGAAGTCATCACTAGGCTGTAATGTAAACACTGCATTTTCTCTGAAAAGACAGTATGTACAGCAAAAAGCCTGAAGGTAATGATTCTACTCACCAGAACAAATTCAAAAAAGCTGTAGTTGTTTTGGTGACTATAGTGTCCCTTTAATAGCATTCTTGTACCGTGTTTGCTAGAAATTTGTCTCTGGTGTCTCCATAGATGGGATACCAGGAGACAAAAATGCCAGGAAAGAGTATTGTGCAGTGTGTGTGAGGGGTGTAGGGTGTGCAAGAGAATGCAATGTGTGTGAGTGTCAGGGGTGCATTGTGTGAGGGTGCTGTGAATGTTTAAGGGTGTAGTGTGTGTGTGTGAGTGAGGGTGCTGTCAGTATCAGGGGTGCAGTGTGTGTGAGTGAGGGTGCTGGTGTGTGAATGTTTGGAGGGCTTGTGTGTTGGGGGAGCAGATTATTATTAATATACATTAATAAAAAATTGCATTGATTGTATCCCCCCTCCTTTCTTACCTTATGCCTGGGAGGGTGGACCGTGCTGCTGCCATCCCTGGTGGTCCTAGTGGTGAGTGAACTCTAGCCTGTGGGACTAGAGTTCACTCTCGTGAGACCCCGAGCGTTGCCATGACAGAGCTCCTCTGGGTCCTCTCTTGCCTGCCTCCCTGCCTGTAGGCCGGTGAGGGAGATCTTTGATCTCCCCACTGGCCCATGAAGGCACACAGCAGAGTAGGTGCTCCGATAGCACTGGCCCTTCATGGACCGGCCGGGGAGATCCTGTGATCTCCTCCTACCAGCCTTGTCCCATGGACATTGCGGCTCACCGGGCATTTGCCAGGTGTACCCAATGGCCATCCAGGCCTGGAACATACACACTTGTCTCTTGCCATTTGTAGATCGTTCAGTACATGCACCAGCTGTCTTCTAACATTGACCTGTGAGATATGTTGTTGGATTGACAGTCAGGAGTCCAGCTGGCTTGCCACATGTTTCTCAGTGTCTTGGGTTTGATTGATGCAATACGTCCAATGGTCTATTAATACAATAGTGTAGATAATGGGATTTATTTTACAAAAAAAATATTATAATTTGTTATTAGTAACCAGATGTATTACTTTCCAAAAAATTTAATTTTTCGTTTTTTCTTACTAAACCATATTAGATGAGATTATCATTAATTAAAAAAATGTTCTCTCCAGCAGTCTTGCTAATCTTTCTCTATATAATTTTCTTGCTCATTGTGTCTTGCAGCGAGCTTATTAAAACAGCAGATGGAGGGCAGATTTCTCTGGACTGGTTTAATAATGATGGTAATGCAATTTATCCAGACGCCAGTGTGAGACCTACAATCCTTCTTCTGCCTGGTCTCACGGGAACAAGTCGAGAATCCTATATACTCCACATGGTTACACATAGTGAAGGACTTGGATACAGGTACAGTTCTTTGCTGAGATAAAGATATTTATTTATAGCATCATAAATTCACAAGGACACAAAGCGACATCATTCATATATCTCACTGGTGATACTCAAAAAAGCTGGAGCAAGGGGAGCATTGCCATATTAAATGCTTCACCCCGTTACTGCTAATTATCTTGGAATACACTGTCAGGGTTATTCAATAAAGTGAGAATTGAAAATAGCCAAACTAGAAAAAAGTTAATTCTGTTTTCAATTTTCAGATTTTGGCCTTAAATTTGAATTCCTGGCAATTCTTGCTTTAGTGTATAACCCTCTGTGTGTTTCTCAGTCATTGCTGGGCTTTGACAAATATAATTATGTATTTGAAGAAGAGGAGAAAATTAGGGAAAAAAGAAAACACAAAATGGCTCGAAAACTATGGGGAAAAAAACACAAACCTCAAACCCGAATGTATTTATTTAATTAATCAATGGTGAGATCATTTATCCTGACATTGAAAAAGTCTTCTAAATTTACTTGGAAAAGGGGAAATGTCACAGTTAAAGTCTCTGTACTGCTCTCAGCACAAAGATTAAATCTTAGAGAAGGGATGTGAGGCAACATGAAAGTGTGTACAAATGTTAAGGGGTTAATTTAACAAGTCAAGAAGACTTGCTCCTATTTCAACACAGAAAAAAATGCAGCAAAGTAGAAGCCCCTGGAGGGTATGTATACTGATAGTCTATTTTGGAGATCAATCACCTTTAAAAATAGCTTTATTTCTCACCATGGCTATGAGCCAGTTATGCAGAATAGTACTTACTGATAGAAATTCCACTGACAGAATGTTAAGAGAATAGAACTTGCTGTGATACTTAAAGGACAACTCTCACCTCAACATTATTTTTTAATGTACTAAGACTTTCAGTAGGTTTTGAAAGGAAATGGTACTTATGGTTTTCAAACATTGTCTGACCGACTGGGTATGTATATGGCTAAGGGGTACTATCATATACTAATGGTAGAGATGAGTTTTTACATTTTTATTTTTTAACATAAACTTAATTTAAGAAAGAATGCTTTTTCTTTCAAGACTTTATTAAAAGATAGTGTTGCAGTGACCGTTCTCCTTTATTATCAAATATTATTTAATTTATTATTAAAAATAATACGCAAATAAATGTTTTGTGGAAAGCAACCCAAAAGGTAATTGAAAAATTTTGGGACGTCCCCTTGTGCTCTCCTCTGTCTCATTTAGCCAACTGCTATTTGTTTATGATTCTTAAACGCACACATACAAAAAAACAAGGATAAAAAAATCCCATCCTATACAAAAACTGAAATATTGTTACTTTTACTATTGTACTTTCTTGCTGAGATCACAAAATAAGCTAACATTTATATTCATTTAATGACAACTTTTGCACATTAACTTTTCTTTTTTTACAAGGACCACTATCTTTCTATGTGTAAAGTGAAACATTATATTATTTATCTTAGACACTCTAAGCACCAAAACCATCTTAATGTAGTGGTTTTAGGACAGATGCTGTACCTCTACTTGGACAACTTAAAACGACAATGTTCACTTTGACCAAAAGCACATCTCTAGCAGCTGTCATACAGAGCACTGCTAGAAACACTTCCTCACAGAGAAGCATTGTGTTCCATGCTTTTTAATGAGAAGCATCAGGTTGGACCAAAGATCATTAGACTGGTGGCTTGGCCTGCTGTAATGAGTCTATTGGTGGATTTTTCAAGAAAATTTTTACTACACCACAAAGTGGGAGCTCTGAATCTAAACTAACACTAACTAAATATATTTTTAACATTCAAGTATTTATTTAAAAAGGAAATAAACAAAAACCGCCCCTTTTAATTCTAGTCCAAATAATTTTGTATAGTTATTTTTGTTTAATGTGACATTGTGAATTATGCTTTTGCACGCGGCCATGGTTAATACAAGCTTTATAAAGCTCTTACCCCCTGACCAGCTGCTACTGCAGTATATTCTGCTTACACCTGCCACATTTGGAAGAGTGCTTGCTAAGCAATTAGCTGTGATACTGTAAAGTGCCTGATAAATGAAAACCATGTTTCCTTGCTCATAAGTAATCTTATTTAGATAATGTGGTAATCCAGATGTTTGTGCATTATCTGCTAATCTAGTGAATTCTCTGCACTTAAATAGATGGATAGGATAGAGTTAAAATGTACTTTATGGAAAAACTATAATAATCCACATGTTTGACTCCTATGATATGATTTGTGCCTGTGTTAGTCCCATGCACTTTAAAAACTGATTTCCCGTGCTGCATGGTTAGCCAGCCTCTTTCCTTAAAACTGAATTGGATATTTTTTTCAATTTGGCTAATATGGCCTTAAAGGAAAATGCTATTATAAATTTTATTTTTCAAACAATTTAGTAAATGTACCCCCAAATTAAATGTGCGGCTTGGGGAATACTCAAATTAGAGGGTTCTCATTAAAGGAATACTCTTGGCACCATAACAACTTTATTAAAATAATCTTGTTATGGTACCAGGAGGTTCCTGGCGCTAGCTTACCTTTAGAGGTTAAACAATTCATGAATTGTCTTTACACTACTCAGAAACTTGAAAGAGGAATCCAGTGGCTCCACTGATTGACTGAGAGCATCAGCTAAAAGATTTAACTTCTAAAGTTAAGCCGGCACCTGGGATCTCTTGGCACCATAACAACATAATTAACATTACGTTTTTATGGTATCCGGAGTTTTCCTTTTTCAAGCCTCTCTGTTGGAGCCGCAAGTGCATACATGCTCGTGGATGCTTCTCAATATGCTATAGCACAGGCCACTGAGAAAAAGGAGAAGCAGGTATGTGCTAGCCCAATGCACCTGACACTTCTGTGGGGCTAAAGAAAATGGAATAAAACCTTCTGGCTGTCTGACAGCTGGGAAGGTGTTTTAACAAAGTTTTAAAAAAGAGTTGATTTATATAGAAATCAGCACTTTTAAAAACTGTCACAAATATGACACTCCATACACATAAAGCACTTTAACAAGCAGACCTGCTTTATTTGTCTGGAATGTTACTTTTTCACCACAATTCACAGTTTAGCAAATAAACTGCTTTGTGTTACTCCCACTTATTTGTTGTGTATGAATAATGCAAAAACTACATCTATTCCAAGCAAAGTGATCCTTTCTAGCTTTATTCGAATACAAATTTCCCATTTTAAATATTACTAGACGTTTTTTATCAAGGAAGGACACCGGCATCACTCCCTCTTTAAAGGAGAAATTACACTTTTTAAATAACCTATAGCTTGTGTTAACCTTTATTCATGTGATGCTTCATATTCTTTTAAATGTGTATTAAGCAATTGACATTATTGTTCATTTCTGGCACAAACACAGCACATTTGTACAAGGAGAAATAAAAATAATGGTGGAAATTTTATTAAATTGTCTTGTTCTGAAAAATGGTGAAAGAAAAAAATGGTACGACAAGTTGGGCAATCGCCATGGAAACCAAGGGAACCAGCCGGTACATTTCATTAGTGACACCATTTCGCCACATTCAAAACATAATGCTTTGGTAAATTTCCATCATTGTTTCTGATTTCCTTCTCTCTTTATGCTGACTGACAGATGCAAAAGGTAACGTGTTTTTTTTTTTGTTTTTTGTTTTTTTTTTAAATTAAGATCTTAATTGAGATTTTATGTTGCTTAGCAAGACAAAAGCAAGAAATCATAAACATGTTTTCTAGTGGAGACTAACGATAACAGGTAATCGATAACCGGGACGATAATTCAAGTGTGCAAGGATGTACACTATAGGGAGAGCCAGACTGAGGGTATTTGTGTGGTTGTGGGTGTTTGTGTATGTATCTGTGCATATGTGTCAGTGTTTGAGGATCTGTGTGTGTGTCTGTGCATGTGTACTGATCTGTGTGTGTGTGAATTGGTGCAGGTGTGTAGTGTGTGGATATGTGCGTGTCGATCTGTGCATATGCATGTACCTGTGCATGTGTGCCATTGTGCGAATCTGTGCATGTTTGTCAGTGTTTGAGAATCTGATTTTGTGGATTTTTGCATGTGTTTTAATCTGTGTATGTGTGTCTTCGAGTATATCTGAGAATATGTGTCCATGTGCATCTGTGTGTTGCAGTCTGTATGTGTGTGATAGTGGATGTCTTTATGTGAATACGCTCTTGCAAGCAAACACTAACGTTTCATACAAATGCACTACTGCATGGGTGCCCAACCTTTTGGCTTCCTTGGGCCGCATTGAGCGCAGAAGAATTGCCTTGAGCCGCACATAAAATCTATAACGTAAATAATGTATATAATAAAACTAAGAAAGCACTTTTCTTAAATTTGTTTAGTAGATAACTCCCTTATTTGTTATGCTTACATGGGATTTCCATATTTAAGGAGAACAGTTTAGGGAGCTATCTACTAAACACATACACATAACCACACACACTATCACAGACCTCCACACACATATATGATCACAAACCTATACACACAGTCACATACATAAACACCCACACAATCACAAATGTACATACAATTACAGACCTATACACACATGCAAACACAGACCCACACACGGACATAGTCATTGATCTATCCACACAATCAAAAATATACACAAAGTCACAGACATACATATAGGGTGTTTGTGTGTGTGTGGGGGGGATGCTCTGAGTGTGTGAGGGGTTCAGTGTATTAAGGGTTCAGTGTGTGTATGTGAGAGGTGCTCTGTGTGTATATGAGAGGTGCAGTGTGTGTGTGTGTGTGTGTGTGTGTATATGTGAGGGTTGCTGTGTGTGTGAGGGGGGTACATAGGAATAAGGGATTTTTTTTTTTTTAAATAAATTTTTAAAAAGCTTCATGTTCTCCCTCCCCCCCACCCCCCCTTCCTACCTTTGGTGAAGGGGGGGGGGGACACTGCCAGCCCTGGTGGTCCAGTGGTGGGTAGTGATGAATAGGCCCTTTGTTAGTAAGAGACAGGACCAGGGAGGCAGTTCCTCCCACGAGCATGCTGGTCAGAGTGTTGCAATGGCAACTTTACGCCAGCTTTCTGCTCGCGGAAGAAATGAAGAAAGCCTGCAAACAGAGGCCATGGCAACACTCTGACCAACATGCTCGCGGGAGGAACCTCCTCCCAGGTCCTGCCTCTCCATTATACCCAAAAATTCACATATACATAAAAAAACACACCTTTACAGGGGTGGGGCCTAACCAGCAGGGCCTGACTGGGGATTCCAAAGCAGCCCTGGAAAAAAAAATCTATGCCAGCCCCATAAGTCATTGCGCCATAAATTGTCGCATGTAATATGTAAGGCTATGTCTTGTCACCCTAGATGATTGAGATATATATCTATATCTATATATAATTTTTTAAATTTTTTTTCCAATATAAAATATTGGTCCTTTCAGAGTAAAATTTTTAATTATACAGTAAGCATACTCAAATGCAGACACAGACAATCTCACTGAAATACATAAGGTCATTGACATAAAAACACAAGCTCACTCAGTAGCAGGCGTACACACACACACACACAAGCAAGCCCACTTACTAGCAGGCGCGCACACACACACAGCCTAATGTAGTGGCTCTGGTGTCTATAGCCTGTTCCTGCAGGCTTTTCAATGTAAACACTGACTTTTTAGAGAAAAGGCAGTGTTTACATTGCTTCCTAGTGACAGACACTCAGTCACTAGAGGTGCTTCCTGTGTCAGTGCGGATTGGCTGAGATCATCAAGCTTGATGATCTCAGCCGTAGAGGCAGGGCCAGTCGAGGGGAGTCCAGCACGATGTGGGAAAAAAAAGATGAGTAAAAACACACATACACATACCATGACACAGACAGACTGTGACACAGACACACATTACATGACACAGACACTCACCATGACGCACAGACACACACACCACGACACAGAGAAACTGTGACACAGACACACACACCGTGACACACACACACCATGACATACAGTCACACACACACCATGACACAGACAGACCGTGACACGGACACACACCATGACGCACACACACCACGACACAGAGAAACTGTGACACAGACACACACCGTGACACACACCATGACATACAGTCACACACACCATGACACAGACAGACCGTGACACAGACACACACATTACATGACAGACACACAATAACACAGACACACATTGCAGGACACAGTCGCGCACACACAATGACACAGACGCACACACAATGACACAGACAGACACACACCATGACACAGACACACACCATGACACAGACAGGAGGCTCTCCTCCTCCTAATTTAATTCTCTGAAACTATGTTTATAGAAAAAAAGGGTTAATCCTAGATGGACCTGGCACCCAGACCACTTCATTAAGCTGAAGTGGTCTGGGTGCCTATAGTGGTCCTTGAAAAAAGAGACACACAGACACACACACACACACCATGACACACACACATTACATGACACAGACAGACGCACACACCATGACGCACACACACACCACGACACAGAGACTGTGACACAGACACACACACCATGACATACAGACACACACACACCATGACACAGACCGTGACACAGACAGACACACATTACATGACAGACACACACACACAATGACACAGACACACATTGCAGGACACAGACGCACACACCATGACAGACACACACACAATGACAGACACACACCATGACACAGACACACACACCATGACACAGACACACACACACACCATGACACAGACAGACACAATTGCTACCTGTGTGCTGGCATGGGGAGCTCTTCTGGCGGACGCTGGCTGTTCTGTCTCTGCTCCCCCTCCCCAGTGCACTACAAAGAGACCGGGGCCGGAATATGATGTCATATTCCGTACCCGGTCTCATTAAGCGGCGCGCTGGGGAGGGGGAGCAGAGACAGAACAGCCAGCTCCCTCTGCAGCCGCAGGTGAGCCAGCTGCCAGCCCGGCCCCAGGTGCCGATGGCCCACCGGGAAATTTCCCAGTATCCCGGTGGGCCAGTCCGGCCCTGCTAACCAGCATGGCAGCCAAACATGCTGAATGTGAGCTCCTAACAAAAAGCCTGCAAAATCTACTTCTGAAGTGGGATTAACTTTCCAAACAACACTTTCAAACCTGTTCCTGTATGCAATGGAGCTTTGATGTGCCTGTTTGGAGCCTCACTTCCAGATATATATGGCTCAAAACTTTACCGCGGCCTACAAGCCTGGAGGGGAGAAACTGCCGATCTCCCAGCCTAGACCTGCTGGTGAATACACAGTGTGAATTGCCTGCCCAACTTGCCATCGGACCGGTGGGGTTTATCCTGGTCCCCACCAAGGGTGCAATCACTGTGGACTCTGAATTGCTACAACTTGTGGTGACTTATTCTGAAAAACCTTGTGGCGCAGTTAAAATGGCCACCACAATGACTAATCTTCCCACGGGCGACTGGGTAGCCAGATTCCAAGCAACGGATTGTTTTCCTGGCACTGGAGAGTCCCTTTAAGCATGTGCCTGGCAGTGGTTCTATGCTAGAGTGTTAGTTTTCTTTTACCGTTTGCTTTCAGATGCCTACCTTTTTGTTTTTATCACTTGGCTAACACAGCATATTTTTGCAGTCTCACAGTGGCATGCCATTTAATACTGGCATATATTTTAACTATCTACCTGGTGGATTCCCTCATGTTTTTTAGCAATGCATAGCTGAGATGTCATAGTTTATGTTGCACCTTTCTTATATACCGTTAACCAGCTGTGATAACACAGTATAGCTTGACTCTTATGTACTAATACATTGTGACTATAATATGCAATATAACATGCCATTTACCATTGTGCAGTATTCTAGCCTAAATTTTGATGTTTCTTTAAAAAAAATTTTTTTAATCGTGCTTTTTTTTTTTAATTCTTCATTTTTCGCTCTGCCATTCAAGCGTGGCTACAATAGTGCAAACAGATGTGAATACATGACCGCACAAGTGTTGTTGATTCGTAGTATAAAATACAGGGTAACAAAGTTAGTACAAGCATCTGTCACAAACTGTGCACCTTTGGTGCGTCTCTGCCAGAGTTTTCATTTACGTTGGTAATCAGATAAAGAGAAAGAAAAAGAAAAGCATTTGAAAGAAAGGAAAGAAATAACTATGTACAACTGGCGACTTATTGAGGAGTGTGCTGTGCCCTAAACTCTCAGGATGGCTAAGCGTATGTGTGTGGTATCCCAAGCTTGCCCAGGTAGTTCAGGCTTGCCCTCTCCGTCTGCCCTGTCCCTGCTCCCCACCGTGATCTGTCAATCCGTCATGTACGCAATCGGCAGGGTTAGACAGTGTTGAAGTTTTCCTCTCCTCGTGTTTGCTTACATTGTCTGAGGTATTCACCAAAGATAAAAGCAGATTGATAAAGAATAGGTAGATATAGATAAGTATAATGTTCAGTATGTTGAAGTACAAAGAGTTGGTGGTCTCCTGTGAACCGAGAATCGTGCTGTTATTTTAATGCCATGCTTATGTCTTGCTCTGTTGATCTTATTGTGCTTGCTCCTGCTGTCGTTGCAGCGCAAGCATTTTTGGTATATTATGAACAACAAATTCCTACAGAAGCAAATGGTAGCTAAACAGCTGGCAAAGCGTTGTGAGAGTTGTACAACAGTTGAGGATCTACCTTTTGACCGCTCCTGCTCTACAAGGGGGCTCAAAATGTTTTTGGTTGTGTTTTTATTTTTTTATTTTTTGCACCTGGGACATTAATTTCTTCACTGTTGTAAATATAGGAGAAATGAATATAAAACATTTAAAATCTTGGAAAGTGTCAAAATTCGCCAATATATATAGTATTAAATGTTGATACTGTACAAATAAGGGGCTGATTTATTTTGTAGTATATATTGATTTACATGTGTCAAGACACCTATTCAAGATTGTATGTATTTGGGGACATTACACTTATAAGCAATAATGCAGATCGGTAAATTGTTTGTCACATGTTGGATTTGTAGATGATCATTCACAAACAAATTCATTTCCTCTAGGTGTGTTGTGTTCAACAATCGAGGGGTCGCTGGTGAAGATCTTTTGGTAAGTCTTCATAAAGCTACATATATTTTAAATATATTTCAGAATATGCATGTTTGTTTTTGTAACTGACATTTGTTGGTATGAATGAACGCTCTGATTACATTATCACTTTTACAGACCAAAACAAAAATGTATAAAACCTGTTATTGAAGCCATAACAACAACAACACACACATTGCAATTTCTGTATTTCCATGTGATACAGTAAAGCGATTTGTAAAAGCTTTTTGCTAAACTAGATTTCATAAACTGAATGTAAAATGCATTAATTAATTGCATAAAAATGGTTGCAATCTGAGTTTACAAAAATAAGAGCAATAAATGTTATATAATGTAACTGGAGGGAGGGAAGAGAAATGCTGGTTAGTGTACTATGGGGAGAGGAAAGAGACGGTATTAACAGTTTCATATGTCTTCTTGAATTAGTCAATTATTAGATTTTTTTTTTGCAAGAATGGAGACTCGGGGCGACTGAAATAACAGTTAATGTGGAAGAAAGCATTTTTATCTGAATAACATTTTAAATACAAATACACATTGTTTCTGGATTTTTAACTATTGATCTTGAAAGTCTTGAGCAAATCCACCTTCTATGGGAAAATGTATTTTTCATTGATCTGATTTCTAATTTATTGATTTTCTTTATCGTGAATTAGAACTTTTTTAACTGAACTTTATAATAGTAATAACAATTACATTTTGGCCTCTGAGAAGCAAACAGTTTTTTCAGCTGTAGAATTGGAGCCTGGGATAGGAACAAGGATAAGGTGTCGGGTTGCGTACAAAGATTGGGGGGTAACCCCTAGAAATAGAACTAAATAAGAGAGAAAAGAAACAAAGACAGAGAAACCAGGAATAAAGAAGTATATATATCCTAAAGGTTCCCTGTGATTGTTAAGCAACCCAAAAGTAAAAGATAAAATATAACTTTTATTAAATGCCTTCTAAAAGTCAATAACTAGTAAAGTGAGTAAATAGAGTAAGTAAAAAAGGCCTACTAAAGGGAGAGGAGAATAGAGTTTCTGCAATAGCTCAGTAGTTCCAAAGAATGTAGAAAGAATAATGATCTAGTGGATGCTATAAAACATCCCATAAAGTCTAGAAAGTATTAAGCTATATAACCCTAATGTAGTAATTGCTGACTCCTAACTCCCATTAATCTAAGGCTGAAATCATCTGCCTAGTAAAGACAATCAACAAAAACCTCAAAGGAAGGTGCTAAGAGGTAGAAAATATTAAGTAATAAACTAGAGAGAGGGTGATAATGTCTAAAACATTATACTAATTCTGGCTGCAGCATCGTCCCCACAAAGTCTCTAACCACCCGCTCATAAAAAGTCCCGACGCGCGTTTCGCCACGAGGGCTTTTCAAGGGAACCGGACTGGACGCCGGACGAGGTTTAAATAACCCGCCCTCCGCTGTGACTGGTTAGAAAGGTCACCAATCACAGATAGGGGGGGCGGAGTCAAGTGCCGAAACCGGTTTGTCCGAAATCACCGGGGAAACCGGCACGGAAAGTAAATAATGGAGACACAATTAACTTATGAATCATCAAGATATTAAATAGGCAAATTGAAGCAAAATATTATGTCAGAAAAAGTACCCACAAAAATATAGTTATGAGGAGAAGAAAGACATATCCAACAAAGTAACAATAAGGCAGATTCGGATACATTAGTATCACTACATGACAAGTACATAAGTAGTGAACAGTCTATAGACAAAAAAGTATAAATAGTTATGTAAATATTGCTCTACCAGCTAACAAAATAATAAAAACAAACTTATAATGTGAATTCTGAGGGCAAAAAATGTATATATAGCCCAAGATCATTTAGGTCAATTATGTTCTTACAAAAAATTAATTAATATAGAGAAATAATGAATAGGGACAACATGTCCAAACTGATAGGACCAGAAAATCTATAGAACAAAGTAGGTCCATCAGTGTTAAAAAATGATGGATCAGGATAAAACGAAACTTACAAGAATAATATTAGAAGTAATAGAAAAACTATAAAGAAAGGGGGAGAGATATTCAGTAAGAACTGTATATAATGAGTGTAAACAATGACTAATTGCGGCTATGATACACATTGGGAACCAGCAAAGGGCCCCAATGGTAAAAGATTTTGTCAAAGATTATAAAATTAAAGAGAGAACCAGACAGACAGAACTAATCAAGTGTGGATAAAAGGAGTAAAATTAAACTCCTCATTCAACCCCTTGGGGTATAATGTTTGAAACAAATAAATCCAACGGGATTCAGCTTTCAGTAGGGCAATATTGATGTCCCCTTTTCTGTGGTTCAAAAAAACTTTTTGAATTACTTGAAATTTGAGTACATTAGGTCTGGAATCATGGTTTGTACGTACATGTCTGGCAATCGGAGTATCCAAATGTAAATTGGAAATAGAATTAATATGTTGCAGGACACGTCGACGTAACTGTTGGTACGTCTTGCCGATGTACTGTAATCCACAGTCGCATGTAATAATGTAGACAACGTTGGTAGAACCACAGTTGACAAAAGAGTTCACCTCGATGTCTTTAGCGGTTTTATGATTCCGTACTCCCTTAGATGGTAAAATGAAGTCACAAGCCTTGCAGTGCCCACATCTAAAAAGACCCTTGGTCTGAAGCCAGGTAGATTTAGTTGGTATAGGTTTCAAATGACTTTGAGTCAAAAGGTCTGCGAGGTTCTTAGCTCTTCGATAGGTTACAGAAGGTTTGATAGTAATGGTATTCTTGAGGCATTTGTCATATTGGAGTAATGGCCAATTGCGGTTGAATACCTGCAGGGTGTTGTTCCAATTTTTATCATAAGTCCCTATCAATCTGGTGACCCCAGCGTTAGGTTGAATAATCTTAGGGAGTTTATGTAAGCTCTCAGATCTGTCAACGGTTCTCGTTCTTTGGTAGGCTTTTTTTAGAATACGATTTGGGTATCCTAGACTCTTGAATCTCTGTCTGAGGGTTTTCGCCTCTCTTTCAAAATCTTCTGGATTGGAACAGTTTCTTTTTACCCTGAGGTATTGGCCATAAGGTATGTTAGCCTTTATATGAAATGGGTGAAAACTGTCCCAGTGTAATAGACTATTCGTGGCGGTAGGTTTTCTGTACAGTGAAGTGGATACTGAACCATCTTCTGTCAGAGCAATTGTGAGATCCAGAAAGACTAGGTGACTCTCATGAATAACATGAGTAAGTTTAAGATTGATATGGTTAATATTCAATACGTCAACCCAATCTTTGAATGATGAAAAAGAGCCTAACCAAAAGATTAGCACATCGTCAATGTAGCGAAACCATTTGTAGATTGACGAGGTGTACATGGCATAGGGACTGGTGAACACTATTGTTTCTTCCCACCATCCCAAAAACAGATTAGCGTAGCTGGGTGCACAAGAAGAGCCCATCGCAGTGCCCTGTATTTGTAAGTAGTATTTCCCGTTGAATGTAAAGTAATTATGAGTAAGCACAAACTGTAATAGAAGCAGGATAAACTCCTGTTCCTGTAGATTGAAGGTTTTGGCTTTTTGCAGAAAGTAGGCTACTGCTGCTAGACCCTTGTCATGTGGAATGTTGTTATATAATGCCACTACATCCAGACTAGCCAGGGATGTATAGGGGGGCACGGTAAGATGTTCCAAGGCTAGAAGTGTCTGTTTAGTGTCCCGTATGTGTGATTTTAAACCTATTACCAGGGGTTGGAGCAGCTTGTCCAAATATTGGCTTGCTCTCTCAGTTAGGCAATGGTTGCCAGAGACAATTGGTCTGCCTGGAGGGTTCAAGAGGTCTTTATGGATTTTAGGAAGACAGTAAAAAGTAGCAATAGTAATATTGGACTGAGAAACAATAAACCTAGACTCATGTTGAGTTATCACATTGTTAGTTAAAGCTTTTGATACTAGTGATTGCAATTCAGCCAAAAACGTTTTCGTAGGATCTTCCTTCAAAGCCTTGTAGACCATTTCATCCATGAGATGTTGCATACACATGTTAACATATTGTTCTCTTTGCATGAGGACAATGTTGCCTCCTTTGTCAGATTGTTTACAGACAACATCTGTTGCTAGCCTAAGCTCTTGTAAAGCCAGTTTTTCTCCTGCTTTAAGATTAGAAATGTGTGATGATGGAGGGATCTGATTTTCTAGTTCATTGGTACAAATCTGCACAAACAGATCAATACAAGGAAATTCCTTCAAATTGGGGGTAAACCAGCTCGGAGGTTTAAAGTTAGTTAGGGAGTCAGGAGTACCCTGTTCAGAGTGTAAGTCCATAAGTGTATTGAACAGTGCCATGTCCTCAGGTGAAAGGCCAAGATCTTTAAGTTTTTTTAAATTAATCTTTTCATGTAAAGCATGTAGGGCCAATTTGCGGCCAAATAAGTTCACATCTTTGGCCCAGTCAAATTGGTTACTTATAGGTGTTGGTATAAAAGAAAGACCCTTTTGAAGAAGTGATATGTGTCTTTGTTTTAGGATAAACTTAGAGAGGTTTATTATCTTATTGTCCTGTGTTTGCACAACTATTGGTAATTGGTTTTCTGTGTCTTGTATCCCCACTTGTTCCTGTCCCTTAGTCTTTCCCTTTGGGGCTGTGGCCAATCCTGATCTAAAAAAGTCAGGGAAGATTGAGTAGGGCCTGTGGATTCAAGTCTAGGATTTGTAGTAGCAGTTTGAACCACAGGGGGGTCCATAAAGGTTATGTTCCTATCAGTATTTCTCAAGATACCTTTGGTTTGTCCTGAGGCAGTATGTTGAGTAAACCGAGTGTTTTGCCTTTTATGGTACCGAGGTCTGGAATCAGATTCAGACCATTCAGTTTCATCTGAAGAGGAAAAACCTTTATTAAATGATTTGTTAACATTAAATCTCCTTTTGTTCTTATTTCTAAAGATATTCCCCTCTTGAAAGTCCCTAAAATCCCTTTGAAATTTGTAATGTTTCTTTTGTTTGATACTTCTTTTAAAACTTTCTAAGTTCTTGCTCAGCTTGCTCTCCATAGCTGGAAAGCTAGGTTCTTTATCAAAATTCCTGATATTTTTAATTTCAACGTCTAATTCTCCGTTGGTTTTATCCAAATGTTGTTGTTCTAATTGGATTAAAAACTGCATAATTTTAGCAGAGCAATCTAAAAGGATAGAATTCCATTCTGCTAACTGTTCGTCAGTCTTGACTTTGTCAGGTAGCAGAATGTCCGGTCTAAGGCCTCTGGGTACCAGTTTTTGTTCAATGTAGTGTCTTAGGCTGGCTAGTTCCCAGAATCCCCTTAATTGTGTTTGATATAGCTTTTGTATTGAGAAGAAAGCCTGATTGATATCCTTGGGTTCATTTTGTAAATTACCCAAAGGTTTATTAGAGAAGACATTATTAACGTCTTCAGATGAATAATTAGGATGCACCACCTGTTCTAGAAGGTCTGACATAATTATTAGACTTCAAAATGACTACTACCAATAAATGTACAATTAAGAGTAGTAAGTGTTAAACAAAAATGATAGTAAGAATATCCTGTCCTATAAATTGGTATTGAAACCTGATGCAAATATAGAATTGGAGCCTGGGATAGGAACAAGGATAAGGTGTCGGGTTGCGTACAAAGATTGGGGGGTAACCCCTAGAAATAGAACTAAATAAGAGAGAAAAGAAACAAAGACAGAGAAACCAGGAATAAAGAAGTATATATATCCTAAAGGTTCCCTGTGATTGTTAAGCAACCCAAAAGTAAAAGATAAAATATAACTTTTATTAAATGCCTTCTAAAAGTCAATAACTAGTAAAGTGAGTAGACATCAATATTGCCCTACTGAAAGCTGAATCCCGTTGGATTTATTTGTTTCAAACATTATACCCCAAGGGGTTGAATGAGGAGTTTAATTTTACTCCTTTTATCCACACTTGATTAGTTCTGTCTGTCTGGTTCTCTCTTTAATTTTATAATCTTTGACAAAATCTTTTACCATTGGGGCCCTTTGCTGGTTCCCAATGTGTATCATAGCCGCAATTAGTCATTGTTTACACTCATTATATACAGTTCTTACTGAATATCTCTCCCCCTTTCTTTATAGTTTTTCTATTACTTCTAATATTATTCTTGTAAGTTTCGTTTTATCCTGATCCATCATTTTTTAACACTGATGGACCTACTTTGTTCTATAGATTTTCTGGTCCTATCAGTTTGGACATGTTGTCCCTATTCATTATTTCTCTATATTAATTAATTTTTTGTAAGAACATAATTGACCTAAATGATCTTGGGCTATATATACATTTTTTGCCCTCAGAATTCACATTATAAGTTTGTTTTTATTATTTTGTTAGCTGGTAGAGCAATATTTACATAACTATTTATACTTTTTTGTCTATAGACTGTTCACTACTTATGTACTTGTCATGTAGTGATACTAATGTATCCGAATCTGCCTTATTGTTACTTTGTTGGATATGTCTTTCTTCTCCTCATAACTATATTTTTGTGGGTACTTTTTCTGACATAATATTTTGCTTCAATTTGCCTATTTAATATCTTGATGATTCATAAGTTAATTGTGTCTCCATTATTTACTTTCCGTGCCGGTTTCCCCGGTGATTTCGGACAAACCGGTTTCGGCACTTGACTCCGCCCCCCCTATCTGTGATTGGTGACCTTTCTAACCAGTCACAGCGGAGGGCGGGTTATTTAAACCTCGTCCGGCGTCCAGTCCGGTTCCCTTGAAAAGCCCTCGTGGCGAAACGCGCGTCGGGACTTTTTATGAGCGGGTGGTTAGAGACTTTGTGGGGACGATGCTGCAGCCAGAATTAGTATAATGTTTTAGACATTATCACCCTCTCTCTAGTTTATTACTTAATATTTTCTACCTCTTAGCACCTTCCTTTGAGGTTTTTGTTGATTGTCTTTACTAGGCAGATGATTTCAGCCTTAGATTAATGGGAGTTAGGAGTCAGCAATTACTACATTAGGGTTATATAGCTTAATACTTTCTAGACTTTATGGGATGTTTTATAGCATCCACTAGATCATTATTCTTTCTACATTCTTTGGAACTACTGAGCTATTGCAGAAACTCTATTCTCCTCTCCCTTTAGTAGGCCTTTTTTACTTACTCTATTTACTCACTTTACTAGTTATTGACTTTTAGAAGGCATTTAATAAAAGTTATATTTTATCTTTTACTTTTGGGTTGCTTAACAATCACAGGGAACCTTTAGGATATATATACTTCTTTATTCCTGGTTTCTCTGTCTTTGTTTCTTTTCTCTCTTATTTAGTTCTATTTCTAGGGGTTACCCCCCAATCTTTGTACGCAACCCGACACCTTATCCTTGTTCCTATCCCAGGCTCCAATTCTATATTTGCATCAGGTTTCAATACCAATTTATAGGACAGGATATTCTTACTATCATTTTTGTTTAACACTTACTACTCTTAATTGTACATTTATTGGTAGTAGTCATTTTGAAGTCTAATAATTATGTCAGACCTTCTAGAACAGGTGGTGCATCCTAATTATTCATCTGAAGACGTTAATAATGTCTTCTCTAATAAACCTTTGGGTAATTTACAAAATGAACCCAAGGATATCAATCAGGCTTTCTTCTCAATACAAAAGCTATATCAAACACAATTAAGGGGATTCTGGGAACTAGCCAGCCTAAGACACTACATTGAACAAAAACTGGTACCCAGAGGCCTTAGACCGGACATTCTGCTACCTGACAAAGTCAAGACTGACGAACAGTTAGCAGAATGGAATTCTATCCTTTTAGATTGCTCTGCTAAAATTATGCAGTTTTTAATCCAATTAGAACAACAACATTTGGATAAAACCAACGGAGAATTAGACGTTGAAATTAAAAATATCAGGAATTTTGATAAAGAACCTAGCTTTCCAGCTATGGAGAGCAAGCTGAGCAAGAACTTAGAAAGTTTTAAAAGAAGTATCAAACAAAAGAAACATTACAAATTTCAAAGGGATTTTAGGGACTTTCAAGAGGGGAATATCTTTAGAAATAAGAACAAAAGGAGATTTAATGTTAACAAATCATTTAATAAAGGTTTTTCCTCTTCAGATGAAACTGAATGGTCTGAATCTGATTCCAGACCTCGGTACCATAAAAGGCAAAACACTCGGTTTACTCAACATACTGCCTCAGGACAAACCAAAGGTATCTTGAGAAATACTGATAGGAACATAACCTTTATGGACCCCCCTGTGGTTCAAACTGCTACTACAAATCCTAGACTTGAATCCACAGGCCCTACTCAATCTTCCCTGACTTTTTTAGATCAGGATTGGCCACAGCCCCAAAGGGAAAGACTAAGGGACAGGAACAAGTGGGGATACAAGACACAGAAAACCAATTACCAATAGTTGTGCAAACACAGGACAATAAGATAATAAACCTCTCTAAGTTTATCCTAAAACAAAGACACATATCACTTCTTCAAAAGGGTCTTTCTTTTATACCAACACCTATAAGTAACCAATTTGACTGGGCCAAAGATGTGAACTTATTTGGCCGCAAATTGGCCCTACATGCTTTACATGAAAAGATTAATTTAAAAAAACTTAAAGATCTTGGCCTTTCACCTGAGGACATGGCACTGTTCAATACACTTATGGACTTACACTCTGAACAGGGTACTCCTGACTCCCTAACTAACTTTAAACCTCCGAGCTGGTTTACCCCCAATTTGAAGGAATTTCCTTGTATTGATCTGTTTGTGCAGATTTGTACCAATGAACTAGAAAATCAGATCCCTCCATCATCACACATTTCTAATCTTAAAGCAGGAGAAAAACTGGCTTTACAAGAGCTTAGGCTAGCAACAGATGTTGTCTGTAAACAATCTGACAAAGGAGGCAACATTGTCCTCATGCAAAGAGAACAATATGTTAACATGTGTATGCAACATCTCATGGATGAAATGGTCTACAAGGCTTTGAAGGAAGATCCTACGAAAACGTTTTTGGCTGAATTGCAATCACTAGTATCAAAAGCTTTAACTAACAATGTGATAACTCAACATGAGTCTAGGTTTATTGTTTCTCAGTCCAATATTACTATTGCTACTTTTTACTGTCTTCCTAAAATCCATAAAGACCTCTTGAACCCTCCAGGCAGACCAATTGTCTCTGGCAACCATTGCCTAACTGAGAGAGCAAGCCAATATTTGGACAAGCTGCTCCAACCCCTGGTAATAGGTTTAAAATCACACATACGGGACACTAAACAGACACTTCTAGCCTTGGAACATCTTACCGTGCCCCCCTATACATCCCTGGCTAGTCTGGATGTAGTGGCATTATATAACAACATTCCACATGACAAGGGTCTAGCAGCAGTAGCCTACTTTCTGCAAAAAGCCAAAACCTTCAATCTACAGGAACAGGAGTTTATCCTGCTTCTATTACAGTTTGTGCTTACTCATAATTACTTTACATTCAACGGGAAATACTACTTACAAATACAGGGCACTGCGATGGGCTCTTCTTGTGCACCCAGCTACGCTAATCTGTTTTTGGGATGGTGGGAAGAAACAATAGTGTTCACCAGTCCCTATGCCATGTACACCTCGTCAATCTACAAATGGTTTCGCTACATTGACGATGTGCTAATCTTTTGGTTAGGCTCTTTTTCATCATTCAAAGATTGGGTTGACGTATTGAATATTAACCATATCAATCTTAAACTTACTCATGTTATTCATGAGAGTCACCTAGTCTTTCTGGATCTCACAATTGCTCTGACAGAAGATGGTTCAGTATCCACTTCACTGTACAGAAAACCTACCGCCACGAATAGTCTATTACACTGGGACAGTTTTCACCCATTTCATATAAAGGCTAACATACCTTATGGCCAATACCTCAGGGTAAAAAGAAACTGTTCCAATCCAGAAGATTTTGAAAGAGAGGCGAAAACCCTCAGACAGAGATTCAAGAGTCTAGGATACCCAAATCGTATTCTAAAAAAAGCCTACCAAAGAACGAGAACCGTTGACAGATCTGAGAGCTTACATAAACTCCCTAAGATTATTCAACCTAACGCTGGGGTCACCAGATTGATAGGGACTTATGATAAAAATTGGAACAACACCCTGCAGGTATTCAACCGCAATTGGCCATTACTCCAATATGACAAATGCCTCAAGAATACCATTACTATCAAACCTTCTGTAACCTATCGAAGAGCTAAGAACCTCGCAGACCTTTTGACTCAAAGTCATTTGAAACCTATACCAACTAAATCTACCTGGCTTCAGACCAAGGGTCTTTTTAGATGTGGGCACTGCAAGGCTTGTGACTTCATTTTACCATCTAAGGGAGTACGGAATCATAAAACCGCTAAAGACATCGAGGTGAACTCTTTTGTCAACTGTGGTTCTACCAACGTTGTCTACATTATTACATGCGACTGTGGATTACAGTACATCGGCAAGACGTACCAACAGTTACGTCGACGTGTCCTGCAACATATTAATTCTATTTCCAATTTACATTTGGATACTCCGATTGCCAGACATGTACGTACAAACCATGATTCCAGACCTAATGTACTCAAATTTCAAGTAATTCAAAAAGTTTTTTTGAACCACAGAAAAGGGGACATCAATATTGCCCTACTGAAAGCTGAATCCCGTTGGATTTATTTGTTTCAAACATTATACCCCAAGGGGTTGAATGAGGAGTTTAATTTTACTCCTTTTATCCACACTTGATTAGTTCTGTCTGTCTGGTTCTCTCTTTAATTTTATAATCTTTGACAAAATCTTTTACCATTGGGGCCCTTTGCTGGTTCCCAATGTGTATCATAGCCGCAATTAGTCATTGTTTACACTCATTATATACAGTTCTTACTGAATATCTCTCCCCCTTTCTTTATAGTTTTTCTATTACTTCTAATATTATTCTTGTAAGTTTCGTTTTATCCTGATCCATCATTTTTTAACACTGATGGACCTACTTTGTTCTATAGATTTTCTGGTCCTATCAGTTTGGACATGTTGTCCCTATTCATTATTTCTCTATATTAATTAATTTTTTGTAAGAACATAATTGACCTAAATGATCTTGGGCTATATATACATTTTTTGCCCTCAGAATTCACATTATAAGTTTGTTTTTATTATTTTGTTAGCTGGTAGAGCAATATTTACATAACTATTTATACTTTTTTGTCTATAGACTGTTCACTACTTATGTACTTGTCATGTAGTGATACTAATGTATCCGAATCTGCCTTATTGTTACTTTGTTGGATATGTCTTTCTTCTCCTCATAACTATATTTTTGTGGGTACTTTTTCTGACATAATATTTTGCTTCAATTTGCCTATTTAATATCTTGATGATTCATAAGTTAATTGTGTCTCCATTATTTACTTTCCGTGCCGGTTTCCCCGGTGATTTCGGACAAACCGGTTTCGGCACTTGACTCCGCCCCCCCTATCTGTGATTGGTGACCTTTCTAACCAGTCACAGCGGAGGGCGGGTTATTTAAACCTCGTCCGGCGTCCAGTCCGGTTCCCTTGAAAAGCCCTCGTGGCGAAACGCGCGTCGGGACTTTTTATGAGCGGGTGGTTAGAGACTTTGTGGGGACGATGCTGCAGCCAGAATTAGTATAATGTTTTAGACATTATCACCCTCTCTCTAGTTTATTACTTAATATTTTCTACCTCTTAGCACCTTCCTTTGAGGTTTTTGTTGATTGTCTTTACTAGGCAGATGATTTCAGCCTTAGATTAATGGGAGTTAGGAGTCAGCAATTACTACATTAGGGTTATATAGCTTAATACTTTCTAGACTTTATGGGATGTTTTATAGCATCCACTAGATCATTATTCTTTCTACATTCTTTGGAACTACTGAGCTATTGCAGAAACTCTATTCTCCTCTCCCTTTAGTAGGCCTTTTTTACTTACTCTATTTACTCACTTTACTAGTTATTGACTTTTAGAAGGCATTTAATATAAGTTATATTTTATCTTTTACTTTTGGGTTGCTTAACAATCACAGGGAACCTTTAGGATATATATACTTCTTTATTCCTGGTTTCTCTGTCTTTGTTTCTTTTCTCTCTTATTTAGTTTTTTCAGCTGGTTTCGGACAGCCACTATATTGTAGGCAAAAGTGCTTTAGTTGGGACTAGCACCCTGTCAGTGGAGATATGTCCATAGGGTCATATTCATATGATCATATTGTCAGCTGCAAATAATGAGTCCATCAGTAACCTACTGCTTTAACCATGTGCACACTGTGTGCTGAGAGCTAATAGTGAATCAGGACTGGCCGGCATGTTTAATAGCAGCAGCGACATTTACTAGAAAGCTAAAGTTGTCGTAGCAGGATCATTAGCAGAGATGCGATCAAAAAAGAAAGATTTAGAGACGTAGAGAGCTAGAGTTGGACAGAAAGAGCTGGAGCATTATACAGAGCTATTGTATTGTGTGGGGGTCTCTGTACTGCAGCTCAGTGTAATCCATCACACTGTGGGATAGTTATGGTTGTCTTATTGTGTGCATCTCTGCATACTCTATGGGCATCTCTGTATTCTGCTCAGCTCCATGTATTGTATTGCTATCTCCATATTGCATTGGGGCGTTTGTACTGTATGGGTATCTCGGAATTGTATGTGCAGGACAGGTCACTGGTAAATTCCCAAAACTGAGAGAGTAGACTTCACATGCCAAACAGACTACGATACAGGGTACTTAATGAGTCTATTGTCACCAGGAGCAGCAGCTGTTCTCAAACCTAACACAAAAGTAGCACTAAAGTGCTTATAAGCCCACACAACTCCATGATCTTGTATAAGCAAGTGCTCAGTAATAAACTGGTGTCCAGTTATAAAGAACTACTTGTATCCTCAATCATGTACATTCACAAATAGAACAAATGCAGGTAAAAACAACCTGGTCACGAGCATGAAATATCCAGGATGTGATAAGAAGTAGGTGGACATCGTGAAGGAGCAAGATGCAGATGTTGTGTCCAATGGTGCACACAGGTGCCAAAGATGTGCTTCTCTGGAATGTGAACAAAGGAATATCTGCAATAATTTAATTGAACTTCATATAAAAGACCAAAATCATGACAGAACTTAAGAACTTCTTAGACGCTGGGCACTTGGCAGCAAAACTCCTTTTCGTTCCTTTGTTGAGTTTTGCTAGTTTTGTACCAGATATTCCTTTAGTCAGACAGCAGCTAAACATTTCTCAGAGGGTATAAATGATTCTTGTGGTAATTAACTATGGAAGAATAATATCTATCTAGTAGATATTTTGGGAATAATCAGAGTATTTCATTACTATGCTGGGTGACATGTAAAAATTATGTTAGCATTTACATGTTGTTTACTAGGTAAAATCTCATTAATTTCACTTGGAAAATTATTTCCCCCTTGGACTTGGCTACCAAATTATCATATTTACAACAAGAAATAAAAGGGAATGCATCGTTAATTAAATTACACATATGTTATATATCTATATATAAAAAAAAAAAAAAAGTTTACAAATAGATTCTCAGGGCAAAGGCATGTGCAGTGTGACTTTTTTGTTTCCATTGATTAAAATTCAGTCTATAAAAGAGGATGCAAACATGTTGCCTGGAGGTAAATTAATCATGTGTTTTGTGGTTTTGAACTCCAAAGGTGCTTATTCATAATTAATGGAAAAGAAAATATTAAGCAGTCATTGACTTTTGAATACCAAAAATAAATCTGAACATGCATTCCATACATCTCATAAAATAATATCAGTGTCTAGAAGACTTGATCATAATTCTATCATTCATTCACTCCATTGTTCCCAGCCACTCATGACTACTAAAAAGCATTATCTGACCCCCAGCTCGAGCATTCCTAAGTGACCGCTGTTAAATGGCTGGTGTGGTTTACAGAACAGCTTAGTGAAGATATTTCATGGAGCGAGATGGAAAAGATCTATAGTTTTAAAATACGCAATTTAAGCAAAAATGTGCTGCCTCACTAGATGTTGCTAGTAGCAGCCAGTCTTTTTGTACACCGGAGGTACTGAACATTTTGTGGAATCGCCCTTGGACAATCAAATCTTTCTTCAATATAAATTAGTAAACAAATTTTTTTTTTATTTTTAAAAAAAGAGTAATTCCCCTCCCACCTTTAGGATTCTCTTTAGTTTATCTGAAAAATGTTGTGCAAAGTCTAACTCTATCCTTTGGCCTGACGTGAGTATTTACATATTCCCATGTTATATCTCTGGACACATATTTACCAGTGTACCTCATTGGATGAACAGTAAAACCAACTGTTCCTGTGTGGCAGTTAGTTTTAAAGGTAGGCTTTAACGATCTTGAAATGAAATAAAACCAGCTGTGATAATCTGGAGCTAAGCATTTAATTTCATGATTTATCAACCAGACCCAGGGAGTTCTTAAAAAGTCCTTATATGAACTCTTATTTTACAATGACCTGCTACATGGTCTCTACCTGCTAAATGCCCCTGTTTTCTTAAAAGATGCACTAGCCTAATTCCACCTTTGAGATGTAAATGAACAAGTGGCAGTTTATCGTCTGTGTACTCCTTTCAATGTTGTCCAGGTTGTATGCACAAACTTGTAAGCACTGCACTGATGCACATCTTGTCTCCCTTCTGTGTTGTGTTTTGGGTGGCAAGCAGCATTTCACATAGCAGATGGATAAGTATGAGTGGTGAGCATAATTGTCTCAGAATAGTGCAACCCTTGCACTGTAATCATTATGATGTTTTTCTATAAAAAAAAAGTTAGACTGGGAATGTTCTAGAAGTCCAAGGCAGATTTATTGGACAATAAAAGGAAACAGTTTGTCTCCAAACGAGTATTTTTCAAGCTTTCATTTTTCTTTGTAATGCAATTTTTTTTTTTTTTTTTAAATGCATTAAAAATCCAGAAAAAAAAAAACCAAAACAAAACAGATCTGCAAATGTTCACTACATAATAGGTAGATTGTCTTAGAAAACGGCGACATTTGCCAACATGTCAGAGGTTTTCTAACGTGCTCCGAGATGCCCCTTTCTAATATTATGGCTGTGTAGGTTGCAAAGTCTGCCTATTCAGATGGACCTGAAGAGGATGCTCATGGCAGATTTATGGCAAAGTTCAGGCTATATAAATGTCCTCAGTGGAAAAGAAATATTCTACATATCTAAAGAGGATGTTAAGGTGCTTCTATTTGACTCGTGCCTAAATATAATGCGGGAGGTAAGTGCCATGCTGGAAGACTGTGTTAATGTCACAGAAGAAGATGCCTGTGACATATATCTGAAGCAGCCCCACACTCACATCAAAGACCAAAGTTCCCACATGACACGTCTGGTGTGGATGGTAGGTCTGAAGGACATTAGCTGCACAAAGCACATCAGACAGTCCAGTCAGCCATCATAAATGCAATAAGACTATATATATTTGAGACTTATGTATTTATTATTGTTCTACCATGTCTTTTCCTGCTTCACTCTGAGATGGATTGTTGTAGCACATACCCATATCATTGACGACAGACAAAGTTTAAGCTGTCCAATGTTTTTCTGTCTCATCCAAGACTATAGAATTATCCGTAGGGATACGCTTGGCTGGGAAGATTAGCTGCATAAACTATTTATTCCTATTCCTTGGTTTGCACAGATTATTTCATTGTATACCTGAAGAATTTCCCTTAAAGGCTTTATGTTTATGTTGGGCCATCCTTGACCGTTTTTTTTCTAAAAATGGCAAGTATAGATCATTTTTAAATTTCAGGCAGAAATTCCTTTCTTTTATACGAACACCCCTGCTACACAGATATATGAAATTTTGCCAAACCGCAAAATATGCTGATTAGAAACATGTTCCCAACAAGGACACAGGTTTCTGATCAGCAGATTAAATGCTACATAACATTTAATATAAAATAATATTAATTTTATGATGTAGAATAGCTTTTGTGCATTTGTGAATCCATCTTATAAAGTGTAAAAAGCAGCCTGGGCATGTTTGGTTACAGTAATCGTTACTTGTCTGAAGTCCAAAACACCTCAAACTAAAAGGAAGAACCTTTTTATGTATGTGATTGGACACTGTCCTTAAATCACTCTATTCTTTAGCTAACCATTGAAATGCAAATTTAATTTAATGTCTGTCAATGAAGACAATTAACTCTGTTTCCTTGTGGCACTGACCACAATGTCGTTTTGTGGAAAACTACACAAAATCCTTATAAATACTGCTCAGGTCCATTAACTAAATACATCTCCAGTGTGAGTATTTGTGTGACAGTGTGAGACATTATGTTTGTATAATCAGCTTAAACTATATTGGTATGCTAAGCTCCTGGTTGGCATTTCATTTTGTACTGTTCCAAGGTGCTAATCTTATATTAAATTTGGATTTTATTTATTTCATTATTTTCTTTCTTTCTTAAATCATTACGATGTGTAATCTTGAATTTCAATTTTCTGGTACCGCAGCAGTGACTAATCCGAATTTAGCTAGAACATTAGCATCTTACTTTTGATCCTCAGTGTAATGTTAAATCCTTAATCCTTTAATATCTGCAAAAGCATTGCACAGATTAAAAAAAGTACTATGACGGTAAAATTGTAGAGACGCAAGTTTTAAAGATGGTAGAATCATTTTGAAGAAGAACGTTCACTTCTCAGGAATTCATACCCCTGACTAAAACATGGAAAAACCACTTATAACTTGTATTAACATGATTTTCATGTGATGATTCCTTTTCTTTTAAACAACTAGTATCACAATGCCGTTCAGTCCTGGCACAACAGGGCACATGTTACATTAGAGACGGAGAAACAATGTATAAAACAAAATGTTAAATATCCCGAGAAGTGACTGTTTCCTGTAAAGAAAATTCTCTCGAGAAAAATTTGTTTTGTTACTTGCATCCTGAACTCCTTGCCCATCACAATGACGTTCCCTTATACAGAACTGAACCATGCATCATAGTGTTAGGATATAAATAAAAAGTAATTACCAGCACTAGGTGAATTCATCGTATACCAAGCATCTTTAATATATGAATTTGTGTCTCTATTGTTAGCGCTAGTACTGCATTTGGAGAAAACAAAGTTTACTGCAAAGTTTCCCTGTAAACAAACTATATTTGCTGCGTTCTCAGTTGAACATGGATGGCACTCTCATTCAGTAATTAGACCTTGGCATATTTATAAGTGGACTGGTGCAGTTAAGCATCATAATAGTATAGCAAGATAAAAAAGGCTGCCCCAAAAAATAAAAAAAACTTTACAGTCATGGGCAAAAGAAAGTACACCCACTTTGAATTCTATGGTTTTACATCTGTTTCTTATCAGATCTTAAAATTAGGTAAATACAACCTCAAATTAACAACAACACATGTACACCCTGTCTCGATTTATTTAACACAAATGAAGCCAAAATGGAGAACTATGGGTTCAATTTGCTGGAAGATCCACTGCATTATTGGCAACTGTCTTAAATGTTTTCCACTTTTCCATATACTCCCTCCCCTCTTTGAGCCTTACCTTGGGCCAGAGAGGGCAGGCATCATGAGCCCTGTTTGTCCGGTGAGAGATGAGTATGTCTGCAGACACCACCTTCCGGCCAGTGTCAATGTATGTATCAGAGCATTGCTGTGGCAAAGATCTAATACAGTGCATGTGATGGAGACCTATTACGGTTTCACAATTTGAGCGCTGGCCATGCAGGCCACACAGGACTGGCCAGTGAGGGAGGTCTTTGATCTCTTCTGCTTGCTGCCCCGATACAAATGTCTTGGTGGCCTTTTTAGAAATATTGTATTGTATAGTGATACAATGTAACACATGTATAGAGAATATTCACATATTAATTATGGTGTAATTTTTTTAAATTTTTTTTTAACAAAGATGAACTCTTTATTAGGAACAGTGGACAGTCAGAGCAAATGTGTCTGCCAAATGAAGACTTTTTTTACACTTATAAAAATGTAAAAACAAAGACTGCAAATAAAATGTGTCTAAACACAACTACAACATGAGTCAATATCTTCTTTCCTAGGGAAATGTAGCAATTATTGTTTAGATATTAATCTTCAGAACCTTAGTGACATTATCATCAGCAAATTAAAATCTGAATTTTAGATTAACCTAGATCTTAAAATGGTGTAATTTTTTTTTAATTTTATTTTTTTATGTAACTCCCTCTTATGGAGCTCCTGTTGTTGACAATGAAATGTGATATCATGAGAATATTACAACTTGGTTTTTGAAAGAATGTATGTCCAGGGAGTTCTGCAGTGGCACCTGTAATGTAATTTGCTCCTTCATGATCTGCATTGTGCTTACCATGACTTATTGCTTTAAATTCCCTCTGCAGACCCCAAGGACATACTGTGCGGCAAACACAGAGGACCTGGAGACTGTCATCCAGCATGTACACAATATGTATCCTGATGCCCCACTTATGGCTGCCGGGGTTTCAATGGGAGGGTAAGTAGGTCTACTTTTTTTTTTTTTTTTTGGAAACACCTTTTTAGCATAATCACACATTGTAAAATCAATGATTAAAATAATAATAGAATACATGGCTTACGTATTTTACTAATATTTATTTTTAATACATAGTATGAAAGTACTTCAAAATAGAACACTTTATGTATATTGTATTAAATGTGAAAACAATGGTTGATTCAATTGGTAGTCTAGCATAATACATGAATATAGCAGTTTCTTTATACTAAAGTTCAAGTGTATGCACTCCTCATACATTCGTTAAAATACAAAATGAGTAAACCTTCAAACAAATTAAAAACATGGGTATATATTACAGTGATGTCCCTTGCTGTGATGACAAACTTGCTCTAAACAAGGAAAACCCCAGGTCTCCCTCTTTAGTGCCCAACATATCATATTTAGAACCACAGCCCTCAAGTCCACACCTTCCATGTATCCCTATTTAGTACCATACGTCCCTATTTTTGACCCAAATCCGACAATCCATCTTTTTTCTCATAATGTCCCTCTTTTCTAGCAGCTATAAATTTTTGGATTTATCGTTTACGTGTATACAACAGGACTCCTAGTAATATATGTCTTTAGAAAACATATATGCGTCTGTGTGAAAAAGACGCATGGCATTACATTTTTGTTTCATGAATTGTTATCATCTGAAATTACTCAGACCAACCACGCCCCTGGCCACTTCAAACTTTGTGTTTACCCTCATTTATAATATTCCTGTTTGGTAGGAGCCCATATTTCTGAGTTGTATAAAAATACATTTTCCAAATAATAACACTTTCTGTCATATGTCTTTAGACTACAATAAATATTGTAAATAATGTATTTGAGTACAATCAACTTCAGATTGTGTAATTAGCGCCACTAAATTCAAATGTTAATGTTTAAATTTTCGCTCTCTATTCAAATCTGACTTTTCCCACAGTTTCATCTGTTACAGAAAGATGTGTCTGTGAGGAGCTTATTTGATTTTTTTTTTTTTTTTTTTTTAATAATTTGTATGGGAGTTTACCTTGAAGTCATATGGGAATTATGGGATATGTACGGTAGATTTGGGCATTTGTATTCTGACTACTGGATTTTCTGACGAATATCTGCATTTTCGTCAGTTCGTCCAAATAACGAATGGAGAGACAAACGAACAAATGAATGGACGCCCAACGTAATACTTCCATGAGCAGTTTGTTTATACGTTCGTTCTTTTGCATTACCCAGGACATATGTGAAAATGAGAGAAATCTTAATGTATCCTTCCTAGTAAAAAATATTTTATAAATAAATTATAAATAAAAAAATTACATTGTCTGTAAATCAAAGAGCCAAACTAGTAACCCAAATGAAAAAATGGCACATTCATTCTGTGCTCATTCGTTAGTTCTGCTCACTCCCATCAAATCTAAGGTGAGTGAGTCGAACTAACCAATGTGTACTGAATGAATGTGCCATTCGTTCATTTGGATTACTAGTTTGGCTTTTTGAAATACAGACAGGCAGTGAACTGTCTGTTAATGTATGTGTAAGCTGAATAGGGGTTAATATCCTGGCTATGTTTTCAGATGACATAAGGCAAGATGGATATTGCTAGCATTTACATTTAGTTAGGGTTACTCACTATAGTGTGAATTGTCAGGAATTCAATGTGAATTCAAACAGAATTTCATATTTAGAGTATAGCAGCAGAATTGGTATTAATCTCCAAATCACTCAGGCTTTCAGGTTGGTTTTATTGGCCTAAAATTTAAAAAAAAATTAACATTGAATTCACAAAATTCACACTTCAGTGAATAACCATGCATTAGAAATTTGCTATGGCTAGTTCCAATATGCATGGTCTCTTGAGCATGACTTTCTAGCTAGATTTTATTTGCTGCTTCAATGAGAAAAAAAAACCGTATTTTAAAAAAAAACATATATGTAGATATATATATATTTTGCATAGTTCTAACATTCTGCTTTGCTTTAATTTACTTTGTTTAGAATGCTGCTGCTGAATTACCTAGGTAAAACTGGGCGACAGACGCCACTAAGGGGTGCTGCAGTGTTCTCAGCTGGCTGGGAAGTTTTTGAATCTGCTGTTGTCCTAGAGAAACCTATTAATTGGATACTTTTCAATTACTATTTAACAACCTGTCTCCAGGCTTCAATTATCAGGTGAGACTGCAGTTCTTAAAGCAGCATCACATAATTTATAGCTATTAGATTTACTTGCACTAATGATTTTTACCTCCCAAACTGCTACTAGAAACTATAGGAGAGCTGAAAGATAAAGAGAGTGGTACATTTTCCAATGGTGCAATAATTCTAGTATAGGATATCTAATCAAGCTTTTATGCTTCTATTTTTGCAGTTTTTTTTTTTTTTTTGCCATACTTGTTTAATTGCTTTTCTTTTGCTTCTGTGCTGAATATATGCATCTATCTGATTGGATGCAAATAATTAGATTTTTTTTTTCTTATAATATTTATTTTATTTTTATAATTAACATTTATACAGCAGTTCACAAATACACAAAAAAATTGCATTTACCTAACAGAATTCATTGGCATAGAATTACAATACGCAAGACACACGTTACCGTAAGATCTTTTCCCCGATGCAGAGGAGATTTTGAATATTTTGTGATTTTTTTTTTACTCTTTCATGGGGCATAATATTAAGAAGCGCTAACTTGCTTAAAGCTGTTCATTCCACTTGTGGGGTTTCTGCTGATGTATCGATTGAATAGTGGGCAACATACTGGGCTCAGCCTAGTTAAGTACAGAAATGTAGGCTGAAAGCCTCTATGCTAGTTTGGCTGTACAAAAACTGCTGAAATGCAGCACAAGTAAACTACAGGTTTCACCCAAGGTATTGATTTGCCTTTTCCAGGGTACATTTATCTTGGAACCCCAGTTTACCCGTGTATTCAAATGTGGCTATTAAATTAATATAACGCATGTGTGTATGATTTTATGTATACGTTATCACTAAATAAAAAATAAATAGAAGAAATAAGCTCTTTAATTATGCCAAATGGAGTGAAAAAAATCTATTTGTTGAATTCCAGACTAGTGTTGAAAAAAGAATGAATATATAGATAGAGATCTCTAAAAAGTCCTATATGATATATCAGTGTGATTTGAATTACATATATGCACTCGTAAAGGGACATTATAGCCACTATACCATTTCACCTCATTAAATTGGTTTTGGTACCTGAAGTCCCACGGCATTGTCTTTCCACTAAGTGTTAAACCATCTTCGGGCAGTTAAATGACTGAGGAACCGTAGCCACCAATAGCTCAGACACCAGTGAAGTTATGGTTAAAGCAGTGTTTATACACTTCTTTCTAGCCATACCAATTCATACCAGCAATGGCATCTGTAATAGGCTAAAAGTGATCAGCTGATACTTTCAGCCAATCACCACTGCCCACTGTTGCTCAGGCAAAGCCTCCTCATCAGCCCAAGCTGCGCAAAGGGGTTGAGCTGCTGGGGACTCCCAATTAGCATTAAGACATTAAAAATTATTTAACACTGAACAGAAGGATGGTTTCATTTGACTCTAGACACTATAACCACTGTAGAGAGAAGAGCAGTTACAGTACCTACAGTGTCCCTTTAACTAGTACACAGTATACATGTTATTTAACTTTATTGTCCTATTAAACAGATTTGTAAAAACAAAAAACACTATGTAAAACGTTTGACGCACTTATTAAAATTGAACATATCTCAATTTTTTAGACATCGTGCCATTTTGGAGAAACAATTTGATATTGCTAACATTATGAAGGTATGATTTCTATTTTTTATTTTTTTTTTATAAAAACACAGTACTTTAACACGTTTAGACTTGCAGCTGTGAAAATAAACTGTAAAATATTATTTTATAACAGTATCCCTCAGTCTTCAGTAGATAAAATTTAATTATGTGAGTCAATGTTGTTTTTTGTTATGGAATGTATGTAAGTATTGCAGACTGAGTGTGGGAAGAACAGAGTTCGATTGGGCCAGTCTACAATTGTCTCATCAGGTTGTTTTGCTAATTTTAACATATTGTGTGTTTGTGTAAGAAGGTGGGAGTAGCGCCTTACAGTGTTCTCCGTTGGTATGTGGAACAAAAAAAGAATGACGAAAGAAATTTAGGCATGGATGCGGTACAATCCTTGTGGTACAAGGATGATTATTGTGTCCCTTGGTTCCAATTGGTAGTCTGTGGTTTCTGAAACCGAAACACAAAATGACCATATATTGTAGTATCCCAGTGGTTCCCAAACTGTGTGCCACAGGGGCGCCGCGGAATGTTTCCCCGGTGCTATGATTATAGCAGCGGGAAACATAACTGCTGAGCAGGGGCAAGTCGGGTGCCTTTAAGACCGCGCCCGGGCACCTGTAATGTCGACCGGCTATGAGGAAGTGACAGCCTGTCACTTGCTCCCAGCGTCGTGCATAGAGACAGCGTGGGAGGGAGAGGAGGCAGCCACAGCATGAAGGGAGTCCAGAGCTGCTCCAAACCCCACACACACAGCAGCCAGCAGGACTCCAAGCCACCCTCCTGGACATACAAGTTAAGCTAACAGAAGGGTGGCTGGAGATATAAACAAATATCACATGTCTGTGCGTGTGCACACATCTGTGTATGTGCATCTGTGTGTCAGGGGGTGTGTGTATGTGTCAGTGTGTATCTATGTGTGTGTATGTGTCGGTGTGTATCTATGTACCTGTGTGTTAATGTGCATGTATATCTGTGTAAGTATATATGTATGTGGTAGTGTGTGTGCATACATCCAAGCAGTCAAACACCAGCACAACATTACATTCAGACACACCCCTGCAATCAAACTAAAAACATTACATATTAACACACCCTAGTATTAAAACACACACTATATGCAAGCACCCCTTCAAACACCAACACTGTACATTACACTATAGCACCAATAAATGCCACAGCGCCATACAGATATACAACCTAGAAATTTTTACTTGGAGTGCCTTGAAAAAATATTGAAATATTAAGGGCGCCTTGAACCTAAAAAGTTTAGGAACCACTGGTATATCCAAATAGTAATGATAAAATATAATCGAATAAAATTGCACATACATGAAATGGAGTCTATGCAATGGCTCCTAAAGTGGAGCGTGGAGTGGTACAATACCCGCTCTAGGATTACTGATAGGCACAATTCTTCTTCCTCTTGTACATATGCAATAGAACAGAGGTACAAATATAGTGCACACTGTAGTATGGGTTGGTGCAAATAAATGGAAAGCTACTTACAAAAGGTAGAGGAAAGTTGGTTTAGCTCAATCCATATAGCACAGGTTGAAAAAAGGAAGCCATGTACAAAACCTATGTATGAGGCTTATTGCAAGAAAAAAAATGACATTGATTTCCATAACTTTTTAGAAGGATGAACATGCATTTGTGAGTTGTAAAAAGTGAAATTAAATATACAAACTGACACCTGTTTATCCTTTAACTGGGCACCTCCATCTTTGTGTAGCTCCCTGTCAATCATTGTTCTAAGCTCTGCCCTTTGTACGCAGTGGCGGATCCAGGGGGGGGGGGCAACGGGGCAATTGCCCCTCTCCAGAAAAAAATGACGGTCTCACTCTCCCCTAGCCCTGCAATGTGCCTGCGGACCGGAGGCACTGTGCTGACAGCCGGCAGGGGAGGGAGGGAGAGAGGACACAGGAGCTCTGCCTGCAGCTCCTCCGGGTCCTCCTCTCGCGAGCAGGGAACGCTGCCGCGGTTACCGCGGCAACGCTCCAAATTTCGCAAGAGTGAACTCTGGAGCGCGGGCTAGAGTTCACTCTCCCCACTGGGACCACCAGGGAATCCCCACCGGACCACCAGGGACTAAGAAGTGTCCCCCCTCCTCCCAGTAAAGGTAAGGAGGGAGGGGAGACATAAATATTTATTTTAATTAAATAAAAAAATATATATTTATTTTTAAAAAGCCCCCCTACCCTTATCACAGACACTCTACACACACACTGCCCCCCCATACACACACACTGCCCCCCCCATACACTGCTCCCCCATACACACACACACTGCTCCCATACACTGCCGCCCCATACACACACATTGCCCACACTCACACATACACTGCAATACTCACACACATACACTGCATTCCTTTTTTTCCAATGTATTTTATTTTTCAATTTTCATTGGTCATGCATAGTATAGAAGGGGGATTAACTAAGGAGGGGGTACACGGAGAGAAAAAGGGGGGGGGGAGGGCGACAATGCATATACAATGTATCATATTCTTACAAAAGTATCTTTAACAGCTGTACATAGAATAAGATATTAGCCACAAGTCACCAGCTTCGGAATATATTACATACATTAGTAGTTACATATACATGTTTGCCTGAAACGTTCTAAGGCACTGAATTGTTTCCGTACGCCCTAACTGTGAGGACTCTGGGGCGGGGGGAAAAGAGGGGTTGGGGGATTAGCGAAGTTGAGCTATGGCAGTAAATTTTGTACTGTATCGTAGTGAAAAGATGTTACATTGGGTAGCTCTTTTTACATAGAAGCCCTTGGAAAATATCATGTACATAATCTCAATTACATCTTACCGTACCTATAATCCACCCATCTGCGCCACCTTGTTTCATGTCTGCTCTGCCTCTCAGTGATGCGACTTGCCATACGCTCGTAATTATAAATCGAATCTAGTCTACCTAAAATCTCTGATAACGTGGGAGCTTGTGTAGATTTCCACTTCTGGGCAATCGCTGTTTTAGTTGCCATGAGGCAGTGGATCATTAAATAGTTTTCCTCTTCGTGGAGGTTGTCTGGGAAGATGTGTAATAAAAAGCATTCTGGTGTCGGAGGTACCCCGATCCCTAGGTTTTTGCAAAAAAGTGTGTGGATGTCTTGCCATAATGATGTGATCTGTGTACATTTCCAAAATATATGGTAAAGGGACCCCTCTTGATTGTGACATCTCCAACATAGTTTGTTCGCTCCTGGATATATGTGGGCCAATTTGTTGGGGACCAGGTACCAGCGCATGGTTAGTTTGCAGTACGATTCCCACTGATTAAGGCTATGTGAGGCCTGCTTTGTTAGCTTCTGAGCCCGATGCCACGTGTCTACTGGGAAATGCAGTCCCAGGTCTAATTCCCAGTTTGTCATATAGGAGGGTTTTGTTGCCGTGTATTGTGTAAGAAGTGTATTGTAGCAGAGGGATAGTGCTTTCACTTTGGGAAGCTTCCCCGTACATTTATGTACAAATGGTGATATGAGATTAGACTCTCTCAAGGTAATCCTGCTTTCCTGTATGATATTTTTTAGTCTCAGATAGGTGAATAGTTCCCTGGATGGAATATGAAAATCCCTGACCATGTCAGGGAATGGTTTGATGCCCTCTTGGGTCAACAAGGAACGAACCCCAGAGATCCCCCGGCTAAGCCAGTTTTCTAGCTGCAGGTTCATACACTGCATTCCTGACATACACTGCCGCCCTCACTCACACACTACAACCTTCACACACACACACACACACTGCTCACACACTGTCCCCCCGCACACACACACAGACTGCACCCCTTACACATTGCACCACTCACACACACCACTGCTCCTATGCCCTACTACTGCCCCATTTCCCAGCAGACCTCAAGTAAGTTGTCAAACTGTTCTTAAACTGTTCTACTCTGGGAAGGGCTCCGGCCACTATTGACACCATAACCACTACACTGAGCTGTAGTGGTTATTGTGTCTGGATTATTTCTTTAAATAATCTACAAGTGCCCCTCCCGCGATCAGGCTCTGGATCCGCCACTGTTTGTACCTTGCAGTCAACAGAGAGGAAACATGCTTTTTTCTATTTCTTCTCCTCATTTGCAATGTTTGCTTTAGCTTTGCTTTGTCTGAACAGCATTACGATTCAATTGTATGTGCAGCATTTCAGTATGAGATATTGCACATAGTGAGATTTGTATAGGCCAGCATCATTAGCCAGGATAGAACTCTTATTATAGGATACTAATGTTAAACATGTGCATAACATACATATGTCGCCAACAAATGTGTTCAATGAATTGTCTGATAGCCACCCTATGTCCTCAGCCCTGTCTCTGACCTCCTTCCCTAGTTCCCTACCATTATAGAGTGACATCACAGGAGGAAAACTGAGCTGCAGGAAGGACATTGCCCTGCATGAAATGCTTTTACTATTTTTTTCCTTAAAGAGACAGGACATGTCAGCAAGAGTTGAAATAAAAAAAAAACCTGTGCTTTTCAATGTTTATGAATAGTGTAAATTTCAGAGAAGTGACAATTCCCCTTTAATTACCTACATCAAAAGGATGGTTTAGAAGACACTATTATACATTACGTAAGTAAATGATTTCCCCCCTCGCAAATCTTTATTTTTTTATTAAAATTTTCTATTTAAGTGTTACCTGACTGCAAGGCCAAAAACAATTCTCTGCACAGACTGAAACATTCTTCAAATCACTCTATATTAAGAGTATGTACCATCACCATAGAAATATACAACAAAAAATATTGGTACCGCTGATATCATCTGAAAATAAATAAATTATTATTTATATAGCGCCATCAAATTCCGCAGCGCTTTACAATGGGTGGACGAACAGACATGTAGTTGTAACCAGACAAGTTGGACACAGGAACAGAGGGGTTGAGGGCTCTGCTCAATGAGCTTACATGCTAGATGGAGTGGGGTAAAATGACATAAAAAGGTAAGGATAGTATTAGACTAGTGACAGTTGCAGAAGAGGAATCAGTCAGGAGCTAAAACAGTTTAATTGATACGCTTTTATGAAGAAGTGGGTTTTTAACGATTTTTTTTTTTTTGAAGGAGTGGAGACTGGGTGAGTATCTAACGGAGGAGGGAAGCGAGTTCCACAAAACCTAGTGCTACACAATTAAATAAACAAAATGAACAAAACATAGTGTTATACAAATAAATAAAAAATACACACTAGGATAGATTGCACTCACAAGCATGTGAAATGAATACCGCTCCAATGGTGCCTCCCCCGATGGGGGACTTTAACCTCCTTCTTGGTTTAGTAGTCACCACTGTTATTTAGGAACCAGTCAAAACTCCAAATAGTAGGTAACTTTGACAGCTTTTTTTTATATAGCTATTTTTTTACCATCACCACCTGTCTATTATATTTATTTGTTAAAGTTAGATGAAAACATAACATGTTAAAAAACCAAACTCTACACGGCCAATCGAGACTCTATGCATGATAGCTTTATGACGGGGCCCTTGCTCATGTTTTGAGTAATTTTAGTGTTCCCATCACGGCCACACATGTCTGATACCTACAAACAGTCCATGCCAGTTATGTCTGTTTTACAGCTTTGTATTAAGTAGAGCATGTACATGTATGAGTTTATGACTCGTGGGACTGTGAGTGCGACAGAGGGTGACTCTGTGTGTGTAAGTGAACGGTGACTACACACATTCTATGCCAGTTAGCCTTGATACATAGCCTGGGATTGCGATGAAGACGTTATTAAGATGTAAAAGTACAAGTGTATATATTGTGAGAGTGTGAACGAAAGAGAGTATGAATCCAAATGTGTGTGAGGGGCTGTCTTTTGGTGTGTTATTGTTTCTCGTTGAGTCCATCACTGCTAAATATTCTAGGATACAAAATAGTGTTATGCATTGCAAGGTTAAATGATTTAGTTTAATGCCAAACAATGTGTTAGATTTGACCATGCCTGACTAGCTTGTATAATTCTACAACAAAAATACAGAATAAAAATAATAAATCTGACTTATTTCTGTTGTCATTTGATTCAAAGGCAAAATCGATCCGAGAATTTGACAGAAGGTTCACGTCTGTGATGTTTGGGTATCCTACAATTGATCACTACTATAAAGATGCAAGTCCGTGCCATCGAGTGAAATCAATTGAGATACCAGTATTGTGCCTAAATGCTGTGGATGATGTGTTTTCACCTGGGCATGGTGAGTAGAGGAATGTAAACAATGCAGCCAGGCCTAAAATAAAGCAGGGGTATTAGGGCTTAGTGGTCATACCTACTCAGTTGAGATAAAGCAAAATCACCAAAGCATCATTTAAATTTGCTATTGAAATATATGTCGGGGATGCAGTTGTTACCAGGTGAAGGATCATGAAAAACAAAACAAAAAAAAAACACATTAAATAAAGTGTATTCCCATCCCTGCTCACACTTGCAATTGAGTTTACCACAGTTTGTCAAATGTGTCTGTTTTTCATCTCCTGTCTGACTCTGTAATCTCTACACCAATGGTTCTTAATCTTAAATACTCCAATAGCTCACCGATAGTATCCAAAGAAACTAACAAACTCACACACAACCCTTAGCACCATGACATCTGTAAATAATATGCACCCAATTGCTGCTTCATCGCAAGCTGGCTGCATGATTGGCATTGAGTGCAGGGTCAGATTAAAGGAAACTTTAGTCACCAAAACAACTTTAGCTAAATGAAACCGTTTTGGGCTATATATCATGCTACTGCAGTCTCACTGCTCTATTATCTGCCATTTAACCCCTTAGCGACGAGTGATGGACGAGGTCCGTCACTCATGGGATTGCCATAACGACGAGTGACGGACCTCGTCCATCACCTGTTAAAATTAACCCTGGATCGCCGCTGTCGCGGCGATCGCAGGGTTAATGGTGCTCCGGTCTGCCTCTGTATTAGAGGCAGTCCGGGAGCACCCGATAGTGCTGCCCCAGCACATGTGCTCGCTCTGACATGCACATGTGCTTAGTATACTTACCTTCCGCCTCCCTGCACTTCTTGGTTCTGTGTGAAGTGCAGGGAGCCGCAACAGTGCTGATCCTGCCCCCTGTTAAAAAAAATAAAAATAAAGTTTATTTAAAATCCTACCCCCCTTTACTCATTTTAATTAAAAATTAACCCCATATCCTGCCAGTCGATCACTGCCTACAGTGATCAAAATACAGATCACAGTATTATACTGTGATCTAATTTTTTTTTAACCCCTGACGATTAACTTTTATTTATTTTTTAACCCTCAGGGGTTCAATTTATTTAATTAATTTAAATATTTTATAATTATATATTTTGCTAGCTGGGGTGGGTGGGAGTTATGGGAAAATGGGGAATTTACTGTTAGTGCTGCTTACTGCTAGTTAGGGTTAACGGTAAAAAAAAAGCTTAGAAAAATGTTAAATCTGTAAAAAAAGTTTTAAGAAAGTTTAGGAAAGTTTAAAAAATTAATAAGCAAAACAAAAGTTTAAGGGGGGGCGTGGCCTGGACGTTGATGGCGCCAGTCGCACACTAGCCGAGCTCCTAGGCCCAAACCGCCATAATCAGCATTCTACCCCCTTATAGCTAGCGATGGTGCGGACCAAGAAGCATTCCTGGGGGCGGTCAGACGGGATGGGGGAATCGCGGGCTTCGCCTATAAAGGTCTGGAGCAGAGAGTCGCGGCATACGCGGATGATCTCCTCTTCTTTCTGGCCAACCCACTCATCTCTCTCCCGAACCTACTAGCAAGGTTCCGGGAGTACGGCCTGCTCTCCAACCTTAAACTCAATGCTGAGAAGTCGGAAGCCTGCCCTTTAAACCTAACTACCGCAGACACGACTCACCTACGGACACAGTACCCATTTAAGTGGTGTGCGGATAAGCTCAAATACCTTGGCATATGGCTCACCGGAGACACGAAGCGCCTATTCCAGGAGAATTTTGTCCCCATTCTCCGCACACTACAGCACGACATGACGACTTGGGGCGGCCTGTGCATTTCATGGTTCGGGAGAATCAATGCCTTAAAACTAAACCTTCTTCCGCGGCTTCTTTACCTCTTCCAGACCGTTCCAATTATGATACCCAGGACCTTCTTTCAGACGCTGAATACGGCGATGATAAAATTTGTGTGGAAGACGGGACGACCTAGGGTTAACGGGGCGCTCCTGTCGCTGCCCAAGAGGATGGGGGGCTTAGCCCTCCCTTCACTAGTCCATTACTACAGGGCCACTCACCTGCTTCGGCTGGTGGACTGGCACACACTAAACTCAGACAAGCTATGGAGGGAACTAGAGAACGTACAAGTGGATCGAAGGCTGCCAGCCGCGATATGGACAGCGCACCCCCTAAAGGACCCTAGAATGACCCACAACCCGTTTATCAGGGCCACGACGCAGGTTTGGACTGCCACTCGCCTCAAGGACGGCCTCACTACAACGCCGGGTCCTCTGACCTCTATTACCCATAACCCAGATATCGCTGACGGACTGCGACCGGGGGATGTGTTGGGACTCGGGGACCCGGACTGGACGTACATGAAACAGCTATGCGCCGCAACGGGACTGAAAACACTGAGGGAACTGATCCCAGACGGCACCATCTCCCTAATGACCAGGTTCCGCCATCATCAGATTCAGCATTTCTACCGAACCACGGTAGGCAAACATTTATTTCATAGAGACCTAACCACTTTTGAGCACATGTGTGCGGCCAGGGATCGACCACTGAAAGGAATCACACGACTCTACACCCTATTGCTTACCGCCACACCACGCGCACCACCACGATATATGTCCCGCTGGGAACAAGCGACAGACCAAACACTGACGGACCAACAATGGGAGAAGATCCACGTGCTAACACACCAAGGCACGCTCAGTTCAAAACTGCAGGAACTTAACTACAAGATTATGGTCAACTGGTATAGAACCCCAGCGAAACTACATTGCATGAACCGAGAAACCCCGGACGTTTGCTGGAGGTGCGGAGCCGAGGGTGGGTCAGACTACCATATATGGTGGTCGTGCCCTACAATTCAGCAGTACTGGAAGCAAATTCATTCTAAAATCCAAAGCATCGCGGACCCGGATCTACCGTTCCAGCCCTTGCCGATGCTACTCCACCACACCACACGCCCTATAGCTACATACAAACGCTCCCTGACCAAACACCTACTAAATGCGGCAAAATCCCTCATCCCCACCAAATGGCGCACGACGGAGTCACCGTCGATGGAGCAATGGATGGAACGTGTGGAGGACATCTACAGTATGGAATCCCTCTCGGCATCGCTACACGGCACGGGAGACAAATGTGCTATCACCTGGCTCCCTTGGTGCACCTACATAGCCCAGAGAGGAACCGCAGGAACGGCTGCCACTGGGTAGCGGAGAACCAGGGAAGCTCTAGATCCGCCCCTCCAGTGATCATATGAGATACAGGAGTCCGCCTACCAGCCTACCCTCCCCCCCCCCCTCTTCCTCTCTTCTCTCTTCCTTTCCCACTGCACACCTTTCTCTTTCCCCCCAGTCAGGAGGTCATTGGCAGGACTGTGATGGTCAGGGGATAGGGGGAACCCATGGCCCGGACAGGTGGTCGGGGGTGGGGCCTGGGAGGGGGGGGACACTTTGGAGGTGGACAGCTCCTGGAGCCAAACCCTGGGTGGGGAATACAGTCAGGTCCAACGGGGGGGACAGGCGGACATCCCACACTGAGTACCCTGACCAACTCGACGAGCATGCAACCATAGCAAACTGGACGCGACGGACAGGGAGTTGACACGCCCCACCCAGCACCAGTACACCAGCGGCTTCCCACGACTGTCCACCAGCTCGGCCCCTTAACTAGAGGTCACCCCCCTAACCGGACGAACCAGAGAGAATCCCCACCAAGACACCGAACTGAACCCTGACTTGCGCTGATCAACACACTCCAACTATGTACATAGCATACACTCTTGCACACACATGAGAAAACAAGAGACAAGAAGAGCGTTCTACCAGGTTGACAGCCCAAAACTAAATGCCTCATCTCACGAAGGCGCTCATGGAGGGCTTGACACAGTTCACTAAAAGTTGCTTGTTACTATTGTTTTCTACCCAAGGTAATTGACGAGAGCATTGAGATGGGAGGTTGGATATATGGCTATATCTGAAATGTAAAACCTTGATTGTTATCCTTCTTTCCCTCTGTTACCCACGTACTTTATTATCTCAATAAAAATTGATTGGATAAAAAAAAAAAAAAAAGTTTAAAAACTAGTTTTTTAAAAGTAAAAAAAGTAAAAAAATACATTTAAAAATGTTTCACATCAAGGCCCATCAACTTCTAAATGTAGCACCGTCTGACTGCTCCCATCCTAGCACAGGATTTGGTATTCCAAATTTATGTAGATTGTAGTCGTCCCCCACCCAAGGGAGGTAGTCCCTTGGGTGGGGGACGACTACAATCTACATAAATTTGGAATACCAAATCCTGTGCTAGGATTTTTCAGTGCAGCTAAATTCAAGCCGAATGCAACTAATATTTCAACCCAGCCCTATGCCCGTTTGTGATTCACTATAGCTTATATGTGAATTCCTGAGTTTGTGAGTTTATATATTTTAAACTTTGCTTGTATAAACAAAAAATTAAATGTACTTCCATATTTAATTTGCACCTTTCTATAGTATGCGAACATGAATGCCGTTAAGTTAGGCAATAATACCATGTACTTTTCCTAGTTAAATTATTTTGATATTAAAGGACCACTATAGGCACCCAGACCACTTCAGCTTAATAAATTGGTCTGGGTGCCAGGTCCAGCTAGGTTTAACCCTTTTTTCTATAAACATAGCAGTTTCAGAGAAACTGCTATGTTTATAAATGAGTTAATCCAGCCTCTAGTGGCTGTCTCATTGACAGCCGCTAGAGGGCTTCCACGCTTCTCACTGTGATTTTCACAGTGAGAAGACGCCAGCGTCCATAGGAAAGCATTGTGAATGCTTTCCTATGGACTGGCTGAATGCGTGCGCAGCTCCTGCCGCGCATGCGCATTCAGCCGAAGAGGAGGAGAGAAGGAGGAGAGCTCCCCACCTGGTGCTGGAGAAAGAGGTAAGTTTAACCCCTTCCTCCCCCCAGAACCCGGCGGGAGGGGGACCCTGAGGGTGGGGGCACCCTCCGGGCACTTTAGTGCCAGGGAAAAAAAGTGTGTTTTCCTGGCACTATAGTGGTCCTTTAATCATGAAGATGTCATCATCCCTGTGAACTACAGGGTCTCAAAACCTTCTCTTAATTTTTAATTAATGACTTTTTCTTGCCAATAATTTTTTTCCATATTCTGTTATATATCTTGCACATAGAGGTCAGAGTAAACTGCAGAAGAATGTCAACCACATCCTCATCAAGGCCTTTGGACTAAACAATTAGCCTTACAGCAACCTGGCTGTTAGATTGAGAGTTCTGAAAACTTTTTCTGATACTGGTTGATTTCAATGAACTTTTTCCAATAGAGAAAGTGTTGCTTACAACTTGTGTTCTACAACAATAGACAAAAATGATTTAATTTAGGTGTTTGGTGATTTTATGGCTAAAGGTGAGGTGTTGGACCTAGGAGTATGAATTTTCCAGATTGAGCAGATTAGTGCCTGTCCACTTGTGAAGGCAAATACCTACTTGTGAGTACTGCCAACAATACTAAGGGATATGATTGAGCGTTCAGAGGACTTTTTCTGATACTGGCTGATTTTCGCAGAACTTTTTCCAATAGAGAAAATATGGCCTACAACTTGACCTCTTGATTCTTCCTTGCTGAAATTAAAAATATGACAGGCATTCCTAACCTGCTTGTTGCCCTCAAGAACATTTGAATGCCTTGTTCCTTTTCAATTTGACTCCACCTCACAACTGATATTGTCTGCTAGTAAATTGTCAGAACCTCTATGTGGACTGCTGTTTGGAGACCTGTAAGTCTGGAGTGGTGTTTTCCCAAATGAAAATGCCCACTTGTAGTCAGACGTTCGAATTTACACTTTTTTTTTTTTTTTTCTTGGAATTCTGAGATCTATCCTAATCCTGGTTTCCAGGTTATGTCTTTGGAAGAAACTAAATCTGTCATTCAAGAGATATCATTTTAAAGATCCAAAGTGAAAGAAAAGATTTCTGAAGGCTCTTTTCTTGGGGAAGAGCTTCTCACCATTCTGATATCTTTTAGGTCATTTAACACAGAAATCCACAATCTATCTGTCCTTCTCAAAGGGTACTTTTCATAAATTCTTATTATTTATAAACTGCCAACATTTAGGCAGCATTATACAATGGCATTCACGAGACACACAAATAAGCTCAACACAGAAGTAAGAGGGCTCTGCTTAAACAAGCTTACAATCTAAAGATTTTTTTTAAAATGCTTCATCAGTGGACCAGGATTTTAGCCAGATGGCCCGATGGTTTACAGATGCCAATCTCATCTATGTGGCAGATCATTTAAGAGTCTCTCATCAGCCGAATCACAAATAAATGTATCCACTTGCTCTTTTTTTTTGTAGTAAAGCTACAAAATTGATTCTTAGATGACTTTCCAGATGAGGCATTTTCCATCAACTGTAGCAATATATGTAGATTTTCAGCTGCTTGTAAGCAAAGACATGCAGTGACCTAAATAATCCTTCTAAAAGGTGTTTTTGTTTTTTTGTTTGTTTTTTATCAGATCTTTTTGTCCATAGGAATGGACGTTTTCTTTAAAAGTTCAGAATTGGGTACCTATTCTGTTAACTCTTCATCTTGCAATGTAAAAAGGTTCTTAAAATGTTTTGAAATGTATACTCTTTTCTCTCTGCATCATAGGAAAAAAAATAGAATGGGAAGTGAATTCTTTAGGCCTCTATGGTTTCCAAACGCCTTTATCTTCATCCATAACCCTCGTCACTTTTTTAATCAACTTGTAAATTTCCTCTGAAGAAAATTCCAAGGATTCATCAACCGGTACACTGAATGGCTGCGTCTCAAATGCGCCCCTTCAACATCCACATATCTGAAGATGCAGAACAATTATCTTACAGTAGCTCAGTTTCAGATGGAATTTGTGCCCTCTTAGAATATTTTTCTAGGCTGTCGGCAAACAGGCTGGTCAGAATCTGCGGATTGGATAGGAGCTGATTTCAAGACACGAGCAAGGACATCTACTGCTGAGATTTTGCCAACACTCCTCTTGAACATTTATTTGTAATGTTTCTTGTTGCAGCCATTGAGGAGTGCACATGCCAGGTGTTTGGATTTAGAAATATCCTTAACCCTCTCACCTGTTATATCAAGATATACCAGATGATATATCTATACAAACATTATAGATATTAATTAATCCAAAATTTATACAAATAGATTTCAAGGGTCCCTCGGACAAACGCACACAGACCTAGACCACATGGTTGATTTTCCTGTCCGCTGACGGCACAAGGAACAAACGTACCTGCTCTTCCCCTCTCAGCCCTCCCCATCCTCCCTTTTTTTTTTCTCTTTCTTCCTCTCACTCTTGATATTTCTTCTCTCCACCCAACCACCCCCTCCCCCCACCCCCTTGGCACTCTGTCACCTTCTGGTCCCCCTGCCCTGACAAGATGACCAGCTACCCAACTGACCTGACTATTTTACCTCTTAGACAGCTGACGGACACTCACCCAGAGGTACAGCGCTCTTCAGTCCTGTATCTCAGATCCAACTAGATGGGCAGGTGGGCCGCTACCATGCCCTAATAAAACTACTCCTTTTACATAGTGCAAGTTATACAAGTGTGCTACTGTGTTATTGGTTGGCTGTTACACCGATAAATTATAAAATTAAGGAATACTAGAATAGAGATTTACATTATGTTCGAGTTATGAGAACTAAAAGTGTACAATATTTAGGATTTACGAAACTGTCTACTGCCAGTTTATTTACCATACATGTTGTAATGTTGATACTTCCCCCCCCATATGCATGTAGAGTCAAACCATGCTGTATACTGTTCTTGCTTTTCTACCATGAGGCTTGCATTGATTACATATCATTGAATAATGAAAAACCGACAAAGATTGTGGAAAAAAAAACAACTAGATTTCAAAGAGTCAAGAAGAACCTTTCCTTAGAGAGGGATGGTGGTGTGACACTAGACATAGTTTCTGAGTGCAGGGGAGGGCTGGCAGCAAAACCTGGCCTCGGGGGCAAAACCAGTGAAGTGGCCCATTGCACCACCAAATCAGTTCACCATCCATGCCCACCTTTTCCTGGTTATATAACGGATATTGATGTTATGCTAATCAGTAGCTCTTTGCCATACCCGCTCCTTCACTGATCTAACTTTCAATGTTGTCAGAGCGCAGGCTGAGAATCTCTGAGCCTGTGCTCTGACTCACTAACTGAGCGTCGGAACCATGAGGGAGAGGATATAATCTGACTGCACCTACTGCTGGTGCGCACCAGTGGACCACCAGCGAATCGTTTAAATTGAATATGCTGGTGTCCCCAACTTGTGAGCTGTGTTGGCCGCCGGGCGCCTCTATTGTGATGGCACCCTTCGTGACCGCACAGCGTGCACACCCCAACGGCTGGCCCTGCTGACACACACTGATGTTACTACTTAGAAATCCCTCAATATTAATACAGACATCAGAGTAAACACCAATAAACTGTGGAAACAGAGCTGATCCCCCCAAATTTATAAAGATTTGCTTACTGGATTTGTTGTAAGATTAAATCATGCCTCCTCCTCTCTCTCCCATGCGCTGCTCTGTAGGCTGGGAGGAAGTGAAGAGTAATCACAATCTCCCAGCACAGCGGCACCTGTGGCTGCATGGGGAACAGCTGTTTAATGTAATGCTTGCAGGCCGGCCAGCTGCAGCAGAACCTCTTTGTTCCCGTCTCTGCAAAGGGCTCCAGGCACTGCTTGTTGTGAGTGTGAGCCACTGTAAATTAGGGGCAGAGGGCACTTGCACTGCGGTAAAGACGGGTCTGGGCAGGAGGAGAGTGCAGTGCAATCAGTGCACTCCTCTCCTGTGGGTCACCAGTAGACTGGTGCACCTGCCCAGGATCACACAGTGTGTGTTTACATTAAAAAGCCTGCAGGGCCCGGCTATAGACACCAGAACCACTTCATTAAGCTATAGTGTCCCTTTAATGTGAGGTAAATTATAGATTAGTGTCACTAATAATATACTAGATTGCCTACTTACAACCAGATGAGGATGATGATGGGCTGCAGTTTGGCTCCACTGGTCTGGTGTAGAAGAGGATCTCTGGAGGCTGTTTGCAACTGTGGTCACAAAATTCAATGTTCTGGGAGAATTGGAAGCAGCTCCATTTTTTGGGGGCCCCTTACACAGCCAAAGGTCTGGGCCCCAGGGCCTGATGGTGAGTATGCCCATAAGGCCCACTCAGTCCACTTATATATTCCACCCACCCATGAGTTTGTGTTATGTGTTATTGTAGAGGATCCAATATAAGTGCTTATGATATGTAGTGTATAGCGATACCAGTTAGGTGATGCAGTGTGTTTGTGTGTAGTGGAAGCAGTGTGTATTTGTGTATAAGGGATGTATTGTGTGTTTCTGGTTGTGTGTAAGGGATGCATTGTGTGAATCTGTGTTTGTGTGCATATAGGGATGCAAGGTGTATGTCTGTATGTGTGTGCATTGAGCGTAAGAGATGCATTGTGTTTCTGTGTGTATGTAAGAAAAGCAGTGTGTGTGTGTGTTTGCATGTGTGTGTAAGGGTTTGCATTGTGTGTTTCTCTGTGTGTAAGGGTTTGCATTGTGTGTTTCTCTGTGTGTAAGGGAAGCATTGTGTGTGTGTGTGTGTGTGTGTGTGTGCGCGCGTAGTGTGAAATAGCTCCATGTCTTGCCCCCTATCCTATAGAGCCTTCCCTTCTGTCCCTTAGAGCTCTCCCCTGCCCCTAAGTGGTCTCTCCTCTCCCCCACCCTCCCCTAGCGGTCTCTTCTCACACTCACCCCCACCCTCCCTGTGCTGTTCTCCTCACCCCCTCCTCCCTGTGTTCTTCTTACTTCCCCCCCTTGTTCTTCTTACTTCCCCCCCTTGTTCTTCTTACTTCCCCCCATGTTCTTCTTACTTTGATTTCTTCTTACTTCCCCAACTTGTTCTTCTTACTTTACTTGTTCTTCTTACTTTCCCCTTGTTCTTCTTACTTTCCCCTTGTTCTTCTTACTTCCCCCTTTTTATTTTCCCCTTGTTCTTCTTACTTTCTTCCCCTTGTTGTTCTCTTACTTCCTTGTTAGTCTTACTTCCTTGTTAGGTCTTACTTCCCCTTGTTGGAGTCTTACTTCCTTGTTAGTCTTACTTCCCCCTTGTTAGTCTTACTTCCTTCTTCTTCTTCTTCTTACTCCCCTTCTTCTTGCTCTTCTTACTCCCTTCTTCTTCTTCTTCTTACTCCCCTTCTTCTTCTTCTTACTTCTTCTTCTTCTTCTTCTTCTTCTCCCTCCTTCTTCTTCTTCTTCCCCCCTTCTTCTTCTTCTTCTTACTCCCCTTCTTCTTCTTCTTCTCCCGCTATTCTTACTCCCTTCCCCTCTCTTCTTCTTCTTACTCCCCCCCCTATTCTTACTCCCCCCTCTCTTTACTCTCCGCCTCTCTTTTTACTCTCCCCTCTCTTTACTCTCCGCCCCTCTTTTTACTCTCCCCTTCCCTGTAGCGTGGCCCAGCTTCTCTCCGGTCCGTGGTGCCCGGCCGGAGTGATAGGAAGGTGCACTCAGTGTGGCTGGACTGACGGGAGTAAGAGAGGAGCTCGGCCACGCTACAGGGAAGGAGAGGGAAGGGGAGAAGCTGTGCTGCAGCTGCCAGAGGCTCTTAACAGAGCGCTCAGGCGGCTGCAGCATTAGGACCGGCCCTGCAGCGGCCAATCTTAAAAGGATTTAGGGCGGCCTGGGGGGCAATTGCCTCCCAGCCCGCCCCTGTCTGAGTGGGATGGCCAATAGGCACTAAATAATACTGTATTTGTTCAGGCAGAAATTATTTAATTTAGGTGTTTGGTGGTTTTATGGCTAAAGGTGAGGTGTTGGACCTAGGATTATGAATTTTCCAGATTTAGCAGATTAGTGCCTGTCCACTTGTGAATACTGCCAACAATACCAAGGAAAAGGGAATATGGTGATTAAAACTAGTTTTCAAACGTAATTCACAGTGATGATGTCATCTTCACAATAATGTATTTAACCTGGTGTTACATTGTCATCATTGCTATAATACACCAATACAAATGATGATCTCCCTGCTATAGGAATATGTGTATATATGTATATTTGTAGCTTTATCTGTATTGCAATTTAGAACTAACAGGTTATGGATAAAAAAATATTTCAAAATAATGTTCCATATTTTGAAATGATATGACTGGAATGATTTGGAAAAAAAATTAATTAATTTAAAAGTCACACTCTGTAAAACAAGAACCTAGTTTGGATGAATAACACATTTTAGTGTTTAATGTTACCTTAAATGTAAATATCTGTTTATTTTCCAGCAATCCCTGTGGAATGTGCCAAACAAAATCCAAATGTAGCACTCGTCCTTACATCGTATGGAGGCCATATTGGTTTTCTTGAAGGAATCTGGCCACGTCAGCAAACATACATGGATAGAGTCTTTAAGCAGTTTGTCCAAGCTATATTTGAGCACGGCAATGAAATCTACAATATGTAACATAAGATTGTTGGGTTTTTTTTTTGTTGTTGGTTTTTTTTAGATTTGTCAAGTTCATTAATGTATAGCATCAGGTTCTGCTCTAGCAAATCAGCTTATGCACAAGTTAACCCACGAGTTGTTGATGAGTCTGGGATTAACCCTTCTGAACGTGAGAGAGTTGCCCAACGGCAAAACACAACCCTCTGATATTTAACAGTTTAAGCGTCTACAGAAGCATTGGGGTTAACAAAAAAGCCAAAATGCCAGTGAACTAGACGTAAGCATCTGGCATTCAAAAACTTGCACATACTGTTTTGTAGCCAGACCTTACATGTAGGAATGTTAGCCTTTTCTAATTATTATTATTTGTATGTTCTACCAAGAAAGACCTTAAAGAAAAAAAGGCTCTACATATACTGTATTGCACTCAACCAAAACCGTAATACACAGAACTACATTCCTCAGGGTTTTCATACACAATAACTTCTGCTTTGCCTAGAAATGCAAGCATTACCACATGACAGTTTGAAGGGTTAGCAAATCCTGATTTGTTTGAATGTAATGCAAGCTCATGAGGGCAATGTGGGAAAAAAAAACAATAAAATATTGAAATGAAGATGATAAAACTGCATATATTCATTCGATGCATTTGACTAGAAAGCATGGAGTATAGTGTTATTCAAATTGTTCCTCACTAATTTATTATATCCTCTGACGTAGAGGGGATAACCTATTTTATGTCCTACTAAATCACGTTTATTTACAGATTTATTTTATAACCAGCTACTTTAGAATGTACTATAATATATCTATTTTTGGTTTATTACATTAAAATAAATAATGCACTTTTAAACTTTCTTGAATGGTCCATATATCTGCTGAGTGTGTAATATATTTAGAATTTGTCTTAATTGAGTCTTCTGAGTTGATTTTAATAATACAATCTAGCACTTTTAACAGCATTCATAAAAAGATTGTCAATAGGCTATATTTACAGCATGTAATCCAATTTACACTTGGCTTATTTTGAAGATGTGGCTTCTCATTAAGGTGTGTAGATTATTAATAGGCAAAGCACTAGAGAATCATTCTGCCAGTTAATACATAGGAACATAGAAACATAGAATGTGACGGCAGATAAGAACCATTCGGCCCATCTAGTCTGCCTAATTTTATAAATACTTTAATTAGTCCCTGGCCTTATTTTATAGTTAGCATAGCCTTATGCCTATCCCACGCATGCTTAAACTCCTTTACTGTGTTAACCTCTAACACTTCAGTTGGATGGCTAAACCATGCATCCACTACCCTCTCAGTAAAGTAATACTTCCTGATATTATTTTTAAACCATTGTCCCTCTAATTTAAGACTATGTCCTCTTGTTGTGGTAGTCTTTCTTCTTTTAAATATAGTCTCCCCCTTTACTGTGTTGATTCCCTTTATGCATTTAAATGTTTCTATAATATCCCCCCTGTCTCGTCTTTCCTCCAAGCTATACATGTTAAGATCCTTTAACCTTTCCTGGTAAGTTTTATCCTGCAATCGATGAACCAGTTTAGTAGCTCTTCTCTGAACCCTCTCTAAGGTATCAATATCCTTCTGAAGATACGGTCTCTAGTACTGTGTACAATACTCCAAGTGAGGTCTCACCAGTGTTCTGTACAATGGCATGAGCACTTCCCTCTTTCTACTGCTAATACCTCTCCCTATACAACCAAACATTCTGCTGGCATTTCCTGCTGCTCTATTACATTGTCTGCCCACTTTTAAGTCATCAGAAATAATCACCCCTAAATCCCTTTCCTCAGATGTTGAGGTTAGGACTCTATCAAATATTCTGTCCTCTGCCCTTGGGTTTTTATGTCCAAGATGCATTATCTTGCACTTTTCCACATTAAATGTCAGTTGCCATAACTCTGACCATTTTTCTAGTGTACCTAAATCATTTGCCATTTGGCTTATCCCTCCTGGAACATCAACCCTGTTACATATCTTAGTATCATCAGCAAAAAGACATACCTTACCATCAAGTCCGTCTGCAATATCACTAATAAAAATATTAAAGAGAATGGGTCCAAGTACAGATCCCTGAGGTACCCCACTGGTGACAAGCCCAAGCTTCGAATATACTCCATTGACTACAACCCTCTGTTACCTGTCACTCAGTCACTGCCTTACCCATTCAACAATATTGGAATCCAAACTTAAAGATTGCAGTTTATTGATAAGCCTTCTATGTGCAACAGTGTCAAAAGCCTAACGGAAATGTAGAAATGTAGGTAACAATGTCTACTGCATCACCTTGATCTATTATTTTAGTTACCCAATCAAACAAAAATAGATACGATTAGTTTGGCATGATCTCCCTGAAGTAAACCTATGTTGTCTCCGATCTTGAAATTCATGTGATTTTAGATGTTCAACAATCCTATCCTTTAACATGGTTTTCATTACTTTCCCCACTACTGATGTAAGGTGTACTGGCCTATAGTTGCCTGACTCCTCCCTATTACCTTTCTTGTGAATGGGCACAACATTCGCTAACTTCCAATCTTCAGGGATTACTCCTGTTATCAATGATTGGTTAAAATAAATCTGTTAATGGTTTTGCTAGTACACCACTACGCTCTTTTAATAACTTTGGGTGTATTCCATCAGGTCCCATTGACTTATTTGTCTTTACTTTTGACAGTTGAAATAGAACCTCTACCTCTGTAAACTCACATGTAACAAATGACTCATTTGTCCTTTTTCATAACTTTATTTTTCATAACTTTATTTTCATCTGTAAATACTGAACAAAAATACTAATTGAGGCAGTCAGCTAGACCTTTATCCTCTTCTACATACCTTCCTTCTTTTGTTTTTTATCTAACTAATCCTTGTTTTACATTCCTTTTCTCATTTATGTATCTAAAAATGTTTTGTCCCCTTTTTTACTGTGCTATTTTCTAATCTGTGTGTGATTTGGAAGCTCTTATAACTTGCTTAGCCTATTCTACCTAAACTTATAAATCATTCTGTCTTCCTCACATATAATTATTATTACTAAATGCTAACTTTTAGGTTTTTTACTATTCTTGCCACATCTGCGGAGTATGACAGTGGTTTCTTGAATTTTTTGCTTTTACTGACAAGCCTAATGCAATTTTCTGTTGCATTCAGCACTGTAACTTTTAAATAATCCCATTTCTCTTGGACTCCTTTTAAATTGCTCCAGTCGGATAATGACTCCTTTACAGATATTCTAATTTTAGAAAAGTCTGTGTTTTTTTTTTTTGTTTTTGTTTTTTTTAAACCATACTGACTGATGATCACTGGATCCTAAACTTTCACCTACAGTAATATCTGATACCAAATCTCCATTTGTTAACACTAAATCTAGTATGGCCTCTTTACAATTTGGCTCTTCAACGACTTGTTTTAGAGACAATTCCAGTAAGGAGTTTAGAATGTGTGCTCCTGGCACAAGCAGTTATTTTGGTTTTCTAGTTCACATAAGGAAAATTAAAGTCACCCATAATGATAACTTCCCCCTTCATTGTCATTTTGTCTAACTCTCCTATTTGTCCTGGGGGCCTATAAATCACACCTACACAAGTTACTGTGTGATTACCAAATTCTAACGTAACCCAAATGGACTCTATGTTCGCCTCACTAACTTTTATTATGCTAGATTTTATGCTATCCTTCACATACAGGGCCACCCCTCCCCTTTCTTGCTTTCCCTGTCTTTAAAAAAAAGAAAGAAAAAAAAGTACCCTCGTATTGCTATGTCTCAGTCATTTTTCTTATTATACCATGTCTCAGTAACAGCGACTAAATCTACATTATCAGTTGCCATTATTGCCACAAGTTCATGGATCTTATTCCCTAAACTGCGAGCATTTGTAGACATGACTCTAAGCTTATCATTTTTAACACACTTGCTACAGGCACCTTCTGTCCTTGTTTTGGGGGGCAATTGGATTGATGTTTTATCACCCTTTTGCCCCCCCTCCTAGTTTAAATACATCCTAGCAAAACCTCTGAACTGCTCACTGAGAACATTTGTTCCCTTTTGAGAAACATGCAAACCATCTTTTTTGTACAGCTTATCTCCATTCCAAACAGAGCTACCATGAGAAATAAAGCCAAATCCTTGCTCCCGACACCATTCACCAAGCCACAAATTAAAGTCCCTAATACGCATCCGCCAGTCGTTCTGAGTGTTATGCACAGGCAGAACTTCAGAGAATGACAGTGTGGAAGCAACCTGCCGTATATCATTGGCAAAAACACAAACTTCCTTTACCTCTGAAACCTCATTGCAAGCCAAGTCATTTGTCCCTAGATGGACAAGTACATCCAATTCCTCTTCCTGCTTTGCTCGCTTAACAATATTACAAATATGTCTCCTGTCTCTGTGAGCAGTAGCTCCAGGAAGACATCTCACAAGACCACTATTGTCCAGCTCCACACCTCTTATGATAGAATCCCCCAACAACAACTGCTTTCTATTAGGCCTCACCATAGTCTCCAAGCCTGTCATAATACCACACCCTCAGTGCCTGAGACTGTCTCAACACCACCACTACACTCAGTGCCTGAGCCTGTCTCAACAACACCACTACACCAATGCCTGTAGCCATCTCACAACACCACTACCCCTGCCTGAGCCTGTCTCACAACACCATACCCTCAGCTGAGCCTGTCTCCCAACACCACTACCCTCAGTACCTGAGCCTGTCTCACAACACCACTGCCACTCAATGCCTGAGCCTGTCTCCACAACACCACTACCCTCAATGCCTGAGCCTGTCTCCACAACACCACTACCCTCAATGCCTGAGCCTTTCTCCACAACACCACTACCCTCAATGCCTGAGCCTGTCTCCACAACACCACTACCCTCAATGCCTGAGCCTGTCTCCACAACACCACTACCCTCAATGCCTGAGCCTGTCTCCACAACACCACTACCCTCAATGCCTGAGCCTGTCTCCACAACACCACTACCCTTAGTGCCTGAGCCTGTCTCCACAACACCACTACCCTTAGTGCCTGAGCCTGTCTCCACAACACCACTGCCCTTAGTGCCTGAGCCTGTCTCCATAACACCATTATACTCTGAAAGTGCTGAAAATGAATTATGTAGAGCCAGGGCCGGCCTTAGGGGTGTGCGAGCTGTGCGACCGCACAGGGCGCCATGGAACAGGGGGCGCCCTGTGGCCGACACAGCTCACTCATGGCCGGAGTGCAGGGGAGCTAAAAGAGGTACCTGGCTGGAGGATTAATTATTCTCCACCCGGGTCTATTTAAAAAAAAAAAAAAAATTGCGGCAGAGGGGGCGGGGTTTACCGAGCGGCGGAGGCGGGGCTTATCGAGAGGCGGAGACGGGGCTAATACCTCCCGAAGCTCCTGCTGTACAGGAAGAGGGAAAGATGCTTCCCCATCAGCCAACTGCATCCACTGGAAAGAGGTAAGTGTGTGTGTGTGACTGTTTGCCTGTTTGTGTGACTGTGTGTGTGTGTGACTGCCTGTGTGCGTGTGACTGTCTGTGTGTGTGTGTGTGTGTGTGTGACTGTCTGTGTGACTGCCTGTCCTTGTGTGTGTGTGTGTGACTGTCTGTCTCTGTGTGTGTGTGTGTGACTGCCTGCCTGTGACTGTCTGTGTGTGTGACTGTCTGTCTGTGTGTGTGACTGCCTGTGTGTGTGACTGCCTGTATGTGACTGCCTGCCTGCCTGTGTGTGTCTGTCTGTAACTATCTGTCTGTGTGTGACTGCCTGCCTGTGTGTGTGACTTTCTATCTGTGTGACTGCCTGCCTGTGTGTGTATAACTGTCTATGTGTGTGTTACTGTGTGTCTGTCTGTGTGTGTGACTGCCTATGTGACTGTCTGTCTGTGTGTGTCGCTGTAGCTGTGCCATTGTTTGTGCCTGTGCCTGTGCCTGTATGTGTGACTGCCTTTAACTGAGTGTGTGTGTACATGCCTGTAACCGAGTTTAAATTTCCCCCACCCCTTCCTGTCAAGGCCGCACTTTGACTGACAGACGCTCACTCACTGACAGACGCACACTCACTGACAGACACACACTCTCATATACACTGACAAACAATGACATACACACATACACTATTACTTGGACACACACTGACAGATGCACACTCTCACTGACAGACGCAAGCACTCACTGAAAGATGCACGACTCCACTGACCGACACATACACACACTGACACACACTCACTGACCGACACACACTCACTGACGACACATACACACACTGACTTACACACTCACTGACCGACACACACTCACTGACGACACATACACACTCACTGACTGACACATACACACTCACTGACTGACACATACACACTCACTGACTGACACATATACACTCACTGACCAACACACACATTCACTCACAGACACACACACATTCACTTACAGACACACACAATTACACACTTACACACACATTCACTTCAAAATAAACACTCACAGACACACACACAGACATTTCCACTAACACTCACAAACTAATATTTTTTACATTTATTTTAAATCCACCCAGCCTCCCTGGGAAAGCTGGAGTGGATTTCTTACCAGCAGTCCAGTGTGGCTGCTGGGCAGGCAGGCAGGGGGCGCACAGGCTGAGTAAGCAGCGCTTAGTGATGCCGGGAGCCGGACTGACGTCATATTCTGGCTCCCGGCTTCATTAAGCGGCGCAGAGGAAGCTGAGCAGGAAGAGCTCAGGTGAGTATGCTCCTTCGCTGCCCGCTGCCAGCCTTGGGGGGGCTCAAAAGTGGCCAGCCGGTCAGCTCTTGAGCCCCCCAGGATGCGAGGCAAGCAAGGGATCTGCCTGGGGGTTTGGAGGGATGCTTTTTTTTGCCGCCCCCTGCAAAGTGGCGCCCAAGGCAGATGCCTTGTTTGCCTCGTGATACACACGTCCCCGGTGCCTGTGTGTGTTACTGTATTCAGGCAACTTGGTGGGAGGTGGGGGGGGCGCCGTGAAGACTTTTTGCACAGGGCGCCTAATTGCCTAAGGCCGGCCCTGTGTAGAGCAACAGACTGTGCAATATGCTTTTTATCCACAATGCTAAGTCTACTAGATCCTACAGTAATCCATCTGCTATTCCTAGTACGTCTCTGCGGCAGTGGCTTTGCAGCAGTTTCAGCCTGAGTTTGTTTACCAGATAATTTACAAATCTCAGACTTCAAAAATACAATCTCCTGCCACAATATACCTGTGAATTCTAGGTATATACTTTATAAATAACCATAGTGACAAACTAAAACTATTTAATTTGTAGCATTGGTACAATATGTTACCTCTGCAGCTTCTCCATTGCATTAAGAGAAAGAATCAGCTACTTCTCATTGGATGGAATGGAAGCTATATCATCTTCATAGGCGTGTGCATGGGGTGTGCCGGGTGTGCATGGGCACACCCTAATCCCAGTGGCACACCTATGTATATTGAGACCGGCAGGGGAGATCTCAGGATCTCCCCTGTCGGCTCATGCAGAGCCGGCGCTATCCGAGCGCCGGCTCTGCTCTCAGCCTCCCTCCCCACCAACCCACATGCAGGGAGGGAGGCAGGAGAGGACCGGCGGAGCTCTTGCCAGTAGCTCTGCCAGGTTCCTCTCGCGAGATATGAGCGTTGCCACGGCAACGCTCAAATCTCGCGAGAGTGAACTCTAGCCCCATAGGGGCTAGAGTTCACTCTCCACTGGACCACCAGGGATGGAAGCAGCAGCAACAAGGATTCCCCCTCCCAGGCATAAGGTAAGAAGGGAGGGGGGATATCAAGTAATGTACCACCTTCTCCCCCACAATCACACACACACATACAACACCCACAGACATACACAGCACCAACACACACAGCACCTACACTCATACAGCACCTACAGACATACACAGCACCCACACACATACACAGCACCCTCACACACATACACAGCACCCTCACACACACACAGCACCCTCACACACACATAGCACACTAACAGTACCCTCACAAACAGCACCCTCACACGCGCACACACACAAACAGCACCCTCACACACAGTACATTAACAGCACCCTCACGCGCGCACACACACACACACACAAACAGCACCCTCACACACAGTACACTAACAGCACCCTCACACAGCACACACATATACACACACAGCAGTATGTGTGTGTGTGTGTATATATATATATATATATATATATATAATATATACGGCGTGTGCTTGTGCTTTAGGGTGCACACCCTAATGCAATAGGCTGCGCACGCCTATGATCATCTTCATTGGCAAGCTGTAGTAAGTCTGTTGTGCGACCCATAGATTTGCATTTATAGACTTGGACAGGGATTTACTTAGTGCTCTCGTTCTTCCAACTAGAGGAAGCGAACAAGGGAGGCAGTGCTACTGTGCAAACGAAGTTTGGTGGAAAAAACCACAACAGGAATTTTAGTATGAATCTCTTTCCCTGATTTAATTTTACTTTTTCAGAAAAGGTAGGATTGTGGGATACAGTTAAGCTAGACCTGGGTATACCTTCTTTGTGGAAAACAACCAACAAAACATCACTTTCTAATTTTTCTTACGAATGGAAATCTACCAAGAGGCTAAATATCAACTAGGATGGAGAGTTTTGATGTAGTTTCCTGCAGGTTACCAGTTACTGCAATCACAAAATCTCATATTCTAAAATAGTTATAACATGATATACTTGGACAGTACGATTCTACACATTTGAAATCCATATTATTTTTACATTTTAAAAATTCCCAAATATTCCAGTCCTGGATTATATTGATCAAATCAAGCAATATCTTATCAACCAGCTCTGCTCCTCATTGATGATTATAGATTATGATTAGAGGCATAAGACCAAGATGTCTAGTTTTACTGTTGTCACAGTTCCCACCGTAACTTCCAGAGTGCCAAACAAAGTTTCACTGGAGTGGTGTACCATCTAAACATAGTTTTATAAGATTGTTCTTGCATTGTGACATATATAGTTTTTTGAGTTCGCTTCACATATATCCTGCCAGTCTACCTCCTCCAGGGACTCACCAAGTTCGGATTCCCATTTACCTATGTAGTGGAGGTCACCCCAATCTTTGGTATTCGCGCCGAGGTGGGAGTAGAGTCTAGTGATCATGCCTTTTTGGTAGGATTCAGTATTACATATGCGTTCAATAAATGTAGATTGGATGAATGCAGCCGTTCTGACAGCAGATTGGCCTGCAAAGTCACGAATTTGGAGATATCTAAAGAAATCTGATGGATTCAGAGTAGTTCTAGTTTGCAGTTTTGAAAAGGGGACAATGGTTTCCCCTTGGTATACGTGACATACCCTCTGCTGCCCCGCTATTTCCATGCCCCTAAAGTCTGTCCCTCATGCCAGACAAAAGCCCTGTTTTGGGAAGTAGGGGTAAGTGGCGAGGGGAGGAGATCAGCCCGTATTTACGTGCAAATTTATCCCATATCTGTGCAAAGTAAGTCACAGAAGGGCATGCAGCCCTCAGGAGCGCTCGTTGGTCTCTGGGGGTCCAAATATAGAATTGTGGGAGGTCAGATCCCATCAATAGGGATCCCAGCTCTACCCAGCATCTGCTGTCAGGGGGGGAATGCCAAAGGGCTATTTGCATTAGTTGCGCCACCAGGTCGTAAAAATGGAGGTGGGGTAGACCCAGTCCCCCTCTGTCCTTTGGTCTATAGAGGATATTGTGAGAGACTCTGTCTATTTGAATATGGCCTGTGGCTTTTTGAAGGGGAGCCAGGTCTTGTTTCGTAATGAGAGGCAAGGCCTGAAAAAGGAAGAGTATTCAAGGGAGGACATTCATCTTAATGGAATTAATCCTACCCATCTAAAATATAGGTTTGTCTGCCCAGTTCTCCATGTCTGAGATCAATGAGTTGATCATGGGAATATAATTCAGTTGGTGGAGTTGGGAAGGGTTGGCCGGGAGGTTGATCCTGAGATATTTTATGGAGGTGTACGATATTTGGATATGATAGGAACTTTCTGTTTGTGCAATATCCGCCACGGCGAGGGTTAGGGGGAGAGCACTGGATTTACTCACATTCACTTTGTAGCCCCGAAGGAGGTTAGGAGGGGGATGAGGGCTTGCATGGATGTGACCGGGTTGATCGTGAGGAGTACATCGTCTGCATATCCTGATACAAGGAACTGCTGGTTCCCTATGTCTGCTCCCTGGATCTGGGGATGTTCACGTATCGCCTGGAGTAAGGGTTCAAATGTAAGGACGAATAACAAAGGGGATAGGTGGCAGCCCTGGTGGGTACCATTCACGAGGGAGAAGGGTTGTGGGGGGCTCCTACTATATTGACGTGTGTTCTGACATTAGTGTGTAAGGCTCGTATTGCCGTAATGAAGGGGGTGGGAAACCTAGATGGTTTAGGAATTCGAACATATACAGCCACCTCACATGATCGAACGCCTTTTCGGCATTGAGGGATAGCACTAATGAGGGGGTTCGTATGTTAGATTCCAGAGGACATCTATATTGCAGCGGGTAATTTGGAAGAGCTGTCTACCCTGAATAAAGCGTACCTGATCCGCGTGGACTAAATGGGTTAGGAAAGGGTTCAATCTCCCGCAAGTATCTTGGCTAGGATGTTGCTATCGTGGTTGATTAGTGAAATTGGGTGGTATGCCTCCGGCATATTGGTATCTTTGGCCGATTTAGGGAGGAGGACTATGTTAGCCCTGGTCATGTCTCTGTCAGGCAAGTGTCCAGACATTAGACCGTTAAAGAGGGATTGCAAGTGCGGGATTAGTTTGTCACGGAAGACTTTATAATAGCCTCCATCTGGACCCGGGGCTTTGCCTCCCTTTAGGGCCGTGATGGTCAGATTAATCTCGTCTTAGGTGATAGGGGCCCCCAGAGTCTCGATTGATTGAGTGTATAGATTTGGTAATTTAATGACAGAGAGAAAGCCTTTTATCCGCGGGAGTCCTCTGCGGTGTTGTGTTCCGTGGAATGGTTATACAGTGTTTTATAGAAGGCCGTGAAGACTTGGCAATATCGTTTGGGGATGTGTGTAATGTACCGTTGGAAGCTTTAAATGGACATGATATGGGCGTGTCTGGGTCTTGGCCTTAGGGTGCGAGCCAGCATAGTGTCCTTTTTATTGGATTTTTCATAGTAGGTGCCATCGATCAGGCGAGGGGGAGAAGAGAGGAAAGAAAAAGAAGATGAAGGACGTACAGCAGAGTAGAGAGAGATAGGGAAATCATGTAAACCATCGCAAAGTGAGTCTGGTCTTAGACATAGCCAGACTGTGGGGGGGGTGTGTATGAATCTCACCCTCCGCTGGAGACATCTCCAGAGGGAAAGAGAGGGTCATGAACCAGTACATCCGTACAATCCTCCTAATATATATATAGGTACATAATAAACATAACATTATACAAATAAGTCAACAGTAGGGAATTATGCCCTAGGACCTTCGGCCCAACAGTCGATATGCCCCATCATCTTTCCAAGAGATTGTTCACCGTGGTACACCTAACAAAGATTTGTGGCGTTTGACCCTGGTCAGGGAAAGGGAGAGTGGGGGGGAGGGGGTAGGATCACCTGTGTGTTCGTTCTGAACAGGAGAGAGATTGGGCTCCCTGCAAAGGAGTGGGGGGATGGGGAGGGTCACCTATAAACAACAACTCCAGCCTGGCTATTTGGCTAGGACAAGCCCCTAGCTATAGGAGGTGGAACCTTAGTTATTTTATGACGAAGTTTGAAATGGGAGTAACATGGCCTGCCCAGTCAAGCAGATGGTGGACGTGTCAACCTTAGGGTAGAATAATTAAACGGGCAAGAGAGAATATACAGTAAACTGTTTTTCAAACTTTGTGTGTTTTTTTTTGTTTTGTTTTTTATACATATATTTTTTTTTTCATCGTTCCCCTTTATACTCTTTGTGAGGTGTGCCAAGCCTAAGGCCATAACATAGAGGCAGCTTCTACCGGGGCATAGGTAGTAGCCATCCAGGGGTGATGGGAGGGGGGAGGCTAGTAGAGCAAGATTATTGGTTATGAGCCTGCAGGGGAGGGGGGGAATCTCCCAAGATCTATGGCGGCCGTCAGAGGGTAATGCATGGGTTATTGAACAGATAATAAAACACCTGGTACTCTGGTAACCGTAACTATTGTCCTTCAGGTGCGAAGGTGCAAGGGTCATTAAACACGTAAAGGATATGAGCAATGAGCGTAGTATCTGAAGGTCTGTGGGACTTTTGCCGCATGTCCTGGCCTCTGGGGCCGCACTTTCACACCTCGCTAGGGTCGAAGAAGCTTGAGGTAACATGAGGTAAGGTGGGAGGGGGGGGGGTCAGTCCTGCTTTGGAACCAGGAAGATGAAGGCATCAGTCCACTTCCCCTTTCCTCACCCCAAGGGAAGGTGGGGATCCCAGTGGCCCAAAGAAAAGAGGGAGGGGGAGCCCAAACAGGAACAAATAAGGACCCCTAGAATAAGGGGAGAGGGGGGGAGGAGAGGACTGAGTGCGCTCCCTTTAGGAGTTTATGAGGAGGGTAAGCACCACATCAGAGCCAGGTAGCAGAGGACGCCGAACCAGAACATGTTACCACACCACAGTGGGAGATTGGAAGCTCATTGGCTGATAAGGGAAGATCCCCAGAGTCCCGATACCTGCCTGAGCAGTCAGGACACATGAAGTCTTCCACAGGGATAGGATGAAACCCAAAAAGCAGAAGTCTACCGGGACCGGTAAGGACCTCTAGATCACGGGGAGGGGGGGCAGAACCAGCTGGCTGAGTGAAGCATGGTCGTATGGCGCCTTAGTAGTAGGAACAGGTGAGGTCTTCCACAGGTGAGGATCATCGAATTATTCGACTACAGTATTCCAGTCGCTTGGAAGGGTTGGCAGCGCTGCGGTAATTTTTTTCCGGCATGCTGAAAGTTGCTGGGGCCTTGACTCCCAGGTTTTGGAGGAAGTGAAGAGGGTCAGCGCCCGGTAGGAGCACGTGAGGACGGCCATCCCTAAAAACCATCAGCTTAAAGAGGTGGCTGCATGTGTACTTGAGAGCATTGGCCCATAGAAGGTCAGTTATGGGCTTCCACTCTCTCCTTTTCTGCAGAGTTGAAGGGGCTAGGTCTTGATAGAAGGCGAGCTCCTGGGTCCACTTCAGCACTGCCTCCCTGGTCTGGAAGTGGAGGAAGCACACGATTATATTGCGTGGTTGAAGGTTATCTATTTTCCATGCCCGGAGAGCCCTATGGACCCGTTCCACTACCCACTGATCAGGAGGCATATCTGGGAGCAAAGGCCGCAATATGGAAAGAATGGTCTCCGCTACTGGGCCCTCATCTAGCTGCTCGGGTAGGCCGCGGATGCGAAGGTTGTTGCGCCGTGATCGGTTTGCTTGGTACTCCAGTGCTGCCTATGTGGACTCCAGCCAGGTGGTAAGGTTGGTAACATGGTCCACGACCATATTGTGTGCCGCAGCCACAGTTTCCAGGTGTTGCTCCAGGGTCGCTGTCTGTGTGCCCAGGGAGTGTATCTCCACAATCACAGCCCTGGAGGACCGCTTGATCTCCCGGGCTAGGAAAGTTCTCACCTCTGCCAATGTAGCTAATATCTGCGGTGCATTCTCAGATAGGGTGCCTGGGGGTTGGGAGACCTCGGAACCTGCAGGGGAGTCCGGTGCGAAGAAGTTGTTTCGCCACCATCTCTGAAGGTTTTTTGTGTGGTCTGCGGGGAGTGCATTTGTCCATGTTGCCTCAGGAACTGTTAAACTGGTGTGGAGAAGCTGGATGTTAGCTAAAGTTAGCTTTATATTAGGAGGTTGGTGCGGCGCTCTAGGCTTGCACCTCCAGCTCAATACCCGATCAAGCCACACACCCCGCTCCTGTTACATTCCGATGGCCGCAGGGTGCATGGTAATTTTTAAACATACCTAAACTTGTCCTTTGTGGCCGCTGCCATCTTCTTCCAGGAGATACTTTTCAGCTTCTGGCATTTCATCTTCCAGAAGTGAACATCAATGTTGCATTGTTGTGCATGTGCAAGAACCAAAACACTGATATATCTATGTAGGCCAATGTGCGATCTTCCATAGAAAGAGCCCTTTTCCCCTCAGGCATCACTAGTGGCGGCTGAGGGCTTGATAAAAGGCAGCTTTTGTCTAGCATATGAAAAATACATAGGACAAAGCAGTCTCTGCTTTATATTCAAACATAGTCTTTCTGATAATTCCATGATGATTTGATCTTCAAAACTCAATCTTTTTTGGGGGGGTGGGAAGGGTTAAGGTGTGACAGAGACACTTTATTGAATCAGATATACATATTTTTTTTTACCTATCCTGTGAAGAAGCAAAAAAAAAAGGAAATATTTTTACTCTCTTCTCATGATACATTTTAGAAGATCATAGTTAAAGGGTTACTCCAACCACCAGTGGCAGATCTCGGGTGGGGGGGGCAATTCAGTGTGTATGTTTAGGTGTGTATGTATGCCAATGTGTATGTATTTGTGTGCCAGTAAGCGTATGTGTATCTGTGTGTGTAGTTATGAGTGTCAGTGTGTATGTGTATCTGTGTGTAATCTGTACCAATGTGTAAACTGCATATGTGGATCTGTGTGTGCCAATGTGTGTGTGTTTAGGTATGTGTTTGTGTGTGCATGTGCCAGTGTTTTTATGTGTAGATGTGTTTGTGTGTGTGTATGTAAAGGTATATGTGTCAGTGTCTGTATTGTAAATGTGTGTGCTGTTGTGCGTATGTGTGTCTGTGTAGGTTCATGTTTGTATTTGTGTGTGTGTGTGTATGCCAGTGTATGTGTCTGTGAATGTCATTTCATCTAATTAGAGCCCCATCCCTCCACTATAATTCCCTACCACCCAACATATCCTTCTATGCCCCACTACAGCCTCCAAATCCGCTAATTACAGGCCCAAACCCCCCACTACAGCCCCTAAACCATTACACTGCAGTACTCTGCCCCCCTCTAGAACTCCATGTCCTCCCACTGCCCCTCCCGAGATTTGGTTCTGGATCCACCACTGCCAACCACTTTTTTTTTTAAAGTAAAAGTCTGAGGTCACTTCTTCCCTCTGTGGTCCAATCAAATGCTTCTCATAGTGAAACTTTGGTTGGTCCAATATCTAGGATCAGAGTGCATGCTTGAGCTCTAAGCTGGGGAGAGGAGTGGGGGATTTTTGTTTTTTTAAAATTAAAAATAGAACCACTCACCAGGGCCACCGCAAAACTATTTTGTCTAAGAGACGCCTTAGTGGGTCTCTTCCTGCCCCCCAGCCCCTTTGTATTTCTCTTCAAAGACCCTTTTTGTGTCTCTCTTCACCCCCAGCCCCTTGGTGTGTCTTTCCGTCCACCTCAACCTGTCTGTGTGTGTCTTTGTCCCCCAAATACTTGCCTATATTTTCCTTTCCCGCCACTATGTGTGCCTCTTCCCCCAACACCTTTGTGGGCCTCTTTCTCCCCCCCAGCTCCTTTGTGTGTCTCTCTTCTTCCCCCCTTAGCACTCTGTGTGCCTACCCTCTCCCCCCTACCTGGTCTGACAGGTAGCAGTTTGGTGTTCCCTCCCTTTCAGACCAAATAGAGTACATAGAAGCTCCTCAACTGTGGACTGCAGCTTGTCTGTGCTACATGTAGTGACCAGCAGAAGGGTGCTGTGCAGTGCACTCCCCTCCTGACAGTCACCTGGAGAATGCGCCCCCGGGCTGGTGTGCCTAGTCTACCAGCCCTGGCACTCACATTGCAGAGATGCAGGGAGTTAGCACAGGGAAAAATGAAAGATCTAAGCTTCCCCATTGTCACGGAGAACCGTGACATCCAGACGGCCAGGCGTGGCCGTTCCACAGGTGCCAAAAAGGGGACTTGAACTCTGGACTCTTGCTGCCTTAGTCCTGCTGTCTTGTCTCCGAGCCACACATCTGTTCCTGTTTGTACCTGATGTCGTATCCTGCCTCGTCTGCAGCAATAGATGGCTGGACTTTACCTGTGGCTGCTCCTGTCTCTCCATGTCCACCTGAGACAGCTCATTAGCAAGGTATTTAAGCCTGCCTCTCCATGAGAACATTGTCAGTTCTTTGATTTTGGTGATCGTGTGTTGTTCCTGTTTTGTCTCCTGAAAACCTGTTCTCCAGATTGACCCCGGCTCCTGACTTTGGCTTTCCTCCTTGTTTATCCTGACTTTGGCTTATCCTTGACGATCCTTCTGCTTCTGTCCTTGTCTCTACTGTGTATTGGAGCACCTTTCATGCACAGTCTCCGTGCACAGATTCACAGTCCTGGTGCTTTCTAACCTTATCATCTTGGACTGTGTATATCTGCAATGGTGAGCACAAATCTCTACCTACCGGACTCCCACCTCAGGTAAGACCCTGACACCCATGCTGGGATGCACCCAACACCGCCTGCAAGGGTGAAGCTCAGTACATCTGTCACCAGCGCGCTGACGACAAACAGAAGTTTTTCAAAATGAAACATTGCACGTACAGATTCCTTCCTCCATGACCACTTCTAAAAGCAGAAGTGGCCATGGAAGTGGGAGTAACCCCTTTACAAAATGTTAGAATGCACAAACAAAAACAGGCGTCGCAATGGTTTTACTGTAAAACATGGTTCCTAACCTCTATCATGTATACAACAGGATCTTGAATATAAATTTTTAACAGCTATCATAAAAAGAAAATACGTGTTTCTTTTTATCATTTCCTTTTTTCTTCCATCGGCCTTTGGTAGGAATTATTTATTATGTTATTGATTTAGTGGCATGAAATTTGACCTCCAGTACATTAGGTTCCTTTATTTCCACTACACTTTGGGTACGGTCTATGCTATGACATTGTTTACTGCATTGCACTGTTTTTTTATAGTTTCTTGTCAAAACTAATGCTTTAAAAGAGTTTACAATTAAAAAAACAAACTGGAATAGTGACATAATTGTAAATACATTGTTAAAATGTAAAATTGTGCTTCATAAGGTGCAATTAAACAATGACATGTTGCAAAACCAGGATTACAACAGATGACATTAGTGGCAAATATATTTTATATAGAGGAAAATAATTATAAAACAAAGTGGGAAAATTGTTTGTTCCATTTGGAAGCCTTTTATTTCAATATGCTTGTATATAACCAAATGTACACACAAAAGGCACTTAATGTTACATGTTCAGTTTCCCAAACCGGCATTGCCCTGAACTGGAAGTGTAGGTCAGTTAGGGCAAACCTAAAGAATCTTTGATGAAACTGAAAAATATGGATATGGAAATAGGTGTCCCTGAGATCAATGGTGATGAGCCAGGAGTTTGGAGTTACTACTGACAATCTAGAAGCCAGGCATTCCATGTGATGTCTTAAGTGTTAGACCTTTGTTTAGATTTGAATGGTGTAAAACAGGATATCAACCTCCTGTTGCATTTGGAACGAGGAATGGATTCCGGAAAAGGGTTTTTGAGCTAGAACCGGGTGTTCTCTTTTGTCTGAATAAGCCAGATTCCGGGTATTTAAAAACATTTCTGTGAGGAGAAAAGAGGAAATCCAGCTAATATTCTTCTCTTAGGACTAATAGAACCAATTGGTCCTTCGTGAGATTTGCCCAGGTATCTGAAAATAGAGACAACCTTGCTCCCACATGAGCTCCCTGAGCAGAACCGCCTTCAGAATTCACATACCAACCAATGAAAGTAGGAGGAAGTCTTGCCTCTTGATTTCACTGAACAAGTCTGTTCCCCTCTTCATGCCTGAAGTACGGAATATTCCTTACCAGGGCAGTTAGGAAGCGGATTTCTTAAAGTATCTGTTCCTTGTCTGCATCTTGGGTGACGTTCTTGTGGAAGAAAGACATTTCCCCCCCCTTCACAGCCTTTTTAAATAATATCGTTGTAACCATATAACAGTTTTACAGTGCTACGGAATTTGTTCCCACTTTATAAATAATAATAAGTTACAAAACACAAATTCTAAAGCTAATGGACTTTGAGCTCCATCTGTTGGTTAAAGATTGGTTATGTGCATTGACTGGTTTGCATGTGTGAAATTCAGGTAGAATGCTCTGTGATTTGAATGCTTCCTTGTGTGACAGTTATATATTTTGTTGTCTTTATGAATTATTTGTGGGTTTTTTTATACTGTTTTAAATACCTCACAATAAGTTAAAAGTTTCACTGTTGAAGGTTGGTCCCAATTTAAAAATAAAGAGATGATCCAGATCCTTTTGGAACAGTGTCTAAGGGCCAGATTCTAAGGACCTGTTACATGGCTGCACTGCTCCATGGTGTTTGGAATCAGTTAAAGCAGGTGCAGGCAACTTTTGGTATTCTAGATGTTGTGGCAAAGCATCAGAGGAGACTACCCTCAAAGTAGTCTTCCAAGAAGACAACACTTTTCAGTGACTCCATGAAAGGGAAGATATACTTTCTCCAGATCTCTGAAAAAAATTGGAAGGTCCTGGTGGGTTCATGCATGTGAAGAGCATTTCTTATAGCTTGTATTACTAGTCTGGAGAATCTGCAGTGGTGCCTTCTGAAGATGACCCATCACCTTCCTAAGAAGGGATAGGAAATGCTCCTTTCCAGACTCCCATTCTGGAGACGTGTATTTTTTTTTACTGGAACAGTTACTGTTTTTAGAAGTGGTAATGGTGGTAGGGATCTGTAAGTGCATGAAACTCTGCGCATACAGAGATATTTGCTTCACTGTGCAATTCCAATCTTTAGTTTAGCACTTCCTGCAATAGTTAAAGGACCACTCTAGGCACCCAGACCACTTCAGCTTAATGAAGTGGTCTGGGTGCCAGGTCCCTCTAGGATTAACCCTTTTTTTTAATAAACATAGCAGTTTCAGAGAAACTATGTTTATAAATGGGTTAATCCAGCCTCTAAAGCATCTAGTGGTGGTCTCATTGACAGCCGCAAGAGGCGTTTGCGTGCTTCTCACTGTGAAAATCACAGTGAGAAGACGCCACTGCTTTCCTATGAGACTGGCTGAATGCGCGCGCAGCTCCTGCCGCGCATGCGCATTCAGCTGAAGAGGAGGATCGGAGGCGGAGAGCTCCCTGCCCGGCACTGAGGAAAGAGGTAAGTTTAACCCCTTCCTCTGCCCTGAGCCCGGTGGGAGGGGGACCCTGAGGGTGGGGGAACCCTCAGGGCACTATAGTGCCAGGAAAACGAGTGTGTTTTCCTGGCACTATAGTGGTCCTTTAATGCTCCCTCTCTCTATTGTCCACTCCATGACTCCCTCCCCAGCTCAGAGCATGCACACGTATGCTGTGAGTTGATAATGCTTAAAATAAAATGCTTTTCTATGAGAAGCATTTGACTAAACATCGTGGGTGAGGCTGTGACATCTGACGGGGGCGTGAAAAACAGCACGGAGATCTTTGCCTGGTGCTGGATTGCAGGTAAGCTTACAATTTATTTGATAGGAATTTACAGGGGGGGAGATTATTAATACCCCATAGGGCATTGTAAATTAAGATATATATATATATATATATATATATATATATTTATTTATTTTTAATGGAAATGGGTGGGAAAAATCATTTAAGCATAATATTAGCAATGTGCATGAGTTTTAAACCCGCATATTACACATCAGGATAATACAAGGTCAATGCTACTTTGCAGGGAATTCTGCACGCTGAATAGTTCATAGATAACATTGTTTTACAAGTAACAAGAAAACCGACATTTTGCATTCATGCTTGTAGTGTTCAGAAGAAAACAAGATTTTCCAAGATATTTGACAAGTGTAACATTTTATATATATATATATATATATATATATATATATAAAAATATATTTGCCTACTCTATATTGATTGTAATGTAAATAATAAAATATACCACATGTGACCTATTGCAGTGGACATATGAAAAACAGTTTGTTAATCTCCATATCTGCCACATTCCAAAATAAGATATAAAGCAAATTGTATTTACTACTAGAAGAGAATTACGCGCTTTTTTTTTTTATACATGTAGAGAATGTTCTAAAAATGTAGTTGCTATAAACTAATAAATCACCTTCCAAACGTTATGCCTAAACAGAGTTAATGAAACAAAATAAAATCACCAACTCTGAATAGACAAATAATTATTTTTAAACGTGGCTATTCTGAGTTAAAATGCAGATGCTTCTCATTCAGCCTACGGTAGATGCCATATTGTTATTTTAGGAATGAACATTTTACCATGACAACATAGGGTTTTTGATAAAGATGGGTGATTTTTGACAGAATATTGCTTCAAGCTGTTGCACATTTCCAAAGTTATCATCTCCATGAGAGCAAATACATTTCACATCTAAGAAGAACATGAAACAGTTTAGGAATTTAGTAGATTTGTGAATTTAAATGGTACCAGTCATACCAAATACAACTAAATCCTAAATGATAAGAGAATTAGATTTAATTTATACTTTGTGCTAGCAAATGTATAGATTTCTCTAAAATCAGAGATTTCAAAAAAATAGCCCTTTCCACCTCCTGTCAGTCAATTCACTATGTGCAGATTAGCACAGAAATAAGAAGGCTGTGCTCTGCGTATCTGTACCAGGTAAACCCTCCTCAGGGCATCTCTTCTGCTTGACTTCTGCCTAAGGGAAAGCAATGCCTGTAAGGGGAAATATATTCAGGCTTTATGTGAGAGCAGCACCAGCAGAGTGGAGAGAGAGCCAGAATGATTTATAGTAGGAGCTTTGAACAGGTAATCTGATAATGTTGATAGAGAGGACACTTTTTTTTTTATTTGCATACCATAAAGCAAACAAAGTATAGGGAAATTTTAATCTGTAATGAGAAGCAGAAGAAGAGGTGTATGCAGTAGGTGTATTAAAGAAAGTGTAGAACCCACTAAAACATGATTTACGCTTTAAGCAGGAGCCGGGGTAATGAAAAAAAATATTAATTTATATTAAGATGCAAACTGCAAACCTATGTTATGACTAGTTCACTTTAACAAGTAGATTTTTCTTAACTTGTGATCATTAAAAAAAATGTATTTCCCATTTAAGTATCACATTTTTGAGAAATAAATATAAGCATTTGTAAAGTGGCCTGTGGCTGTTTTACTAGAATTGAATGTTTGTGACCAAACATAAAAGACACTTTAAAAATGTCTTCATTAAAGTTATTTTATTATTGTGTCTCTTTAATGTCTCCACATAAGCATCCCCACAGCACTATTCACCACAGTCATGAATCCTTCCTGAAAATATATTATATCAATGCATTGAAGCTTTGTTGCCACCCTTTTGGATCCCTGACTTGCTGTAATCTTAAGTCTTCCTCCTCTTCTTTCTATGTCTTTTTCTTGTTTATAGTGCCTGGAATCCACTGGCACGGTCTCTTTATCCACATGGTTATTCTCGTAAGTGAATTTCAAATTTAATGCCCAAGTAGATGAATTGGAAGCACAGCTGAGGGACTGTCCCTAGTTTGGCTATGTTTCCCTTGAATTAGAGATTCACTTTGAATTATCACTTTAGTTAATAACCCTGTCATTGATAACCCATTTTTGAGCAGTTTAACACTGAAAGAGGGTCCCTGGCCAGCCACAATCTTACGGAAGACATGTCTAAGGTAGAGATGATACACTTTCTTCTATTCATACAAACTCATGGCAGCAATCTGCTTTAAGACAGACTGAAACTGGTCAGTTGACACTCCCAACCAATCCCAGCTACCCATTGCTGATCATTCTAACACTTCCTCATTAGCCCAAGCAGTACAGGGAGGGGGTGAGGGGAATTGCTGGGGAGTCTCAATTGGCCTTAAAATAGGTTCAATGCTGAATGGAAGGATGGTGCCAGGGAACTCCAGACACTATAACCATTTCAATGAGATGAATCAATTACAGTGCCTACAGTATGCCATTAAAGGATCACTATAGGGTCACAAACACAAACGTGTTCCTGACCCTATAGTGCTAACCCTACAATTTAAGTGGCTCCCCGTAGTCCCCTATAAAAGTTTAAAACGTACTTTATTTCCAGCGATGCGCGAGTCTGCTGGCGCTGGCTCCGCCCCACTTTGTGGCATCATCAAAATGGACAATTTTTAGCCAATGTCTGTTGAGATTGGATTTAGTGGGGTGCTTTCCTTCAAGAAGGTTCAGACTTTAACTCCCATAATTCAGAGAGCTTTCAATAGACCTATTCATCCATAGTACTGAATACAAACTTATCTCTAAACCAGGGGTTCCCAATTATTTTTTTCCTATGGAATCCTTTTACATAGTGTATAAACATTGTCGAAAACCCCTCCCTACCCCAAAAAAACCTTTCAATTAGCAAATGTGTGTAGAGTTGGTGTTTGTATATAATTTTAGCATTTTATACAGGGGTGTGTTTTGTAAGTAATGTTTGCATTTGCGTTTAGGGGTTTGTTTGGACGTAGTGTTGGCTTTTAAATGCATGTGTGTAGTATTTTTGTTTAAGTGAAGGGTGTGTTTGAGTCCGATACATTCAATGGCACACACATATACACATAGACACTTACACACGTACACACATACTGGCACATAGATACACTGACCCACAGATAGACACAGACACACACACAGTGACACTCAGATACACATTGACACAGATATACACAGTGACACATGCACTGACACACATACACATTTTATATATATATATATATATATATATATATATGCAGTCACCCTCCTATTAGCATACCTGCTGTCTGCAGGAGGGTGACTTGGTGCCTGAGACTGGTGTGTGGGGGGAAGCTGCTCACTCCTGGCTGCTGCCTCTCTCCCTCCAGCACAGCATTTTCTATATGAAGCTGTGAGGAAGTGACCGTCCATAACTTCCTCCCAGCATCCCATACTACGGGGATCTGGTCGCGCCATTAATCGGCAGCGGCGCTGACCAGTTCCCTGTGCAGCAATGCCCATCGGGTGGCCTTAAGTACATGGGCCACCCAATGGGCAAATCACAGCGGGAACACCAATTGGGAAACGCTGCTCTAACCCAATATTTAATGTACGTTTAGTTTTCTGTAATCATTTTAAATGTTTGTTTTATAATATCAAATAATTATTTATATACAAAATATAACAAAGTCTCCCTGGCTGCTCCACTAAGTTTTTTACTAATATGGAAAACATTGTGTACAGATCTCCTTTTCAAGCTCTTTAGACAGTCTCAATCAGTCGTGAGGGCTAAGTCTGTCTTTACATCATGTTTTAAAAAAAACAAAAAAAACACTTGTGTTCTTTATGACAATATACAATAAGCCACTGAGTTATAACACAAGAGATATTAAAGTATTTACAAATATACATAAATATGGTTTTCAACATATATTTAGAGGAGGATTTTTCTCATCTAGAAACTCCATAGAGATACAACTCAAAATATTTCCCAACACTTCCTCTGCCTTACTAGGGTTAAGTCCTTGGTGGGACTTTAGTCCTTGCAGTATATTACACGTTGCTCTCCATTTCCTTGCCAATCTCCGTTCTCGTTGCCTGTTGGATTTCATAGTTTTCTTTAACGTTTCATTTTGCCGCTGCAACTCTGCTATCTTCTTTTTAGCAGTCTCAGGGCATGCTAACGCATAGCAATGATCAGAGATCACACGCAGTCCTCCATGACACACAGAGGCACTGTCGCCTTCTTTAAAATTTCTCTTCAAAGACAGTTTAGTAACATGCTGAAGCACAAAAAAAAAAAACCACATAAAATGTATTAAACAATAAAGCTTCCTAAAAGATTTGCTTTAAATTCTAATATGCGTGTCACTAAATGTTTCAGTGCAATGTAGTGTCACTGCATATACCCATTTAAACTTTGCACAAATTAAATCTATTCAGGATTTAAAAACACTAAGCACCACAGCCACTACATCTTAGTAGTGCTTTTTATGCAAAGACCTTGTCCCTGTACTTTGACAAATGTTCTCAGAATATTTATATTCTCTTTTAGACTTTACTGTTAATACTTCCTATACAGAAGCACATGACTGAATGCTTATCTATAACAAGCATTTGATTGGCTGATTTTGATTTTAATGTTGTTTTAAAAATTTGCCCCAACCTGAAAATCAATTCTCTAAATACTGGTCCATTCTGAAATTTGATGGACTGGAAAAGAGAACCCTTCTATTAGGTGGTTCTCCTACTGTCACCGTGTCCATTAATGATGGCATTCTGTTCTGATGCAGCTGTCGACTATATCAGTATATGAGAATAACTCATATTGTATATATGTAATGGGTTAGTCTAGTATGCAAATTACCGCTATTTAAAAAGAATCCCACCTACCAAATATACTGTGCTTCCCATGTGTCTTGAAGAAAGATTCATACGCAGAACTCTGATGCAGTTAAAAAACAACAGACATTACTTATTTATGAAGATTATGTGGCTTTCATCAGCACCATTTTTGTTGGCATGCTATGGTAGCCTATAAGGAGGGAACATAATGTCACTTAGATAAAAAATGTAGCTGCAGGTTACTTAATATAGGGTATTCATTCAACTCATTAAAAAGTTCAAATTTCAAGCTTTCTAATTTCAGAATTCAGTTACAATTCTTTGCAGAGAGGTAGAAGGAAGAAAATTGGAAAAACATCTATTTAAATTGTCTCCAAGGTTTGTAATTTAGTTTCCTCGCCACTAGCTAGAAAACTGTAATAAAAATAAACATACAATGTGAACTTATTTTTATGATGTTTGTTACAGCACAATCCTAACATTATAAGGACTAAAAGAAAAGGTTTTAACAAGTAATCCATACAAATAAAGCAATTCAGCTTGCACTTGCATTTCAAGTGGTTTAATTATCTGGACTGTTTCAAGTTTTCAGTTTGAGATTTTAATAGAAATTGGCAAGAAAATACAGCTCAAATAGTAAAATGTATATCTTCAATGTCACCATAATAAAATGATTTTGTTTATGAAAAACAATTACCGTATTTTCCCATGTATAAGACAAACCCCAAAATTAAGAAATCAATATTTTAAACATCAAATAGAACAACTTTGATATTTTAGAGGTGACATCAGAGGAGAACAACACACTTCTGATTCTCATGTCTCCCCTGACGATACTCTGGGAAGTTAATGGCTCTATAGTGCATGCTGGGAGGCTACAGCTCCCACAATACAGCAAGTGGTGTGAGGGCATGCTGAAACATCACAGTAATATTCCCTCTGATCCCCATTTCCGCCACCATAAATATAAATCAGAAAGCAAGACCTACCTGAGGTGGGGCAAACCTTAATATGGCTGCTCCTTTTATGATGTGGCATGTCTCTGGAGCTCAATTGGTGGTAAGTGGCGACGTCTGCTGCAGCTCCGACACATATAGGGACCTCTTCCTCCTTGCCACAGCATTCAGAAGTGGATTGGCAGGAGGGAGGCCAGCTATGTGTGTGAAACGTGGCACACTGAAATGCGGCAGGCGCAATCTTAAGTTAGGCTTCATGTACAAGTGTTTAGTTTTTTTTAATCTCTGCAGTGACATTACCTGTATAAGACGACCCCCAATTTTAGATTAAAATAAAATTAGAAAAAAACTTATACATCTTATACATGGAAAAATACGGTATGTCACAATTCTTACTAATTAACACTATCACTACCAAGGCTGGCATTTGTAAGCTTGCCATTCTCTTAACCATACCTCAGCAAGCTGATTCCTGATCCCTCCAAAAAGTGTTGGCATGCTATCTTCTCGAAGTCTGATAGTTTGTCCTGTACGATCAAAACAATGATCTTCAAAGTGAGCTGAACAAAGTACAGTTTCTTTATTAGGAATAAAATGCTCCCGGCCAGTTAAACAAACCCATTTTGATCTCTTCACAGGGTCATTAGGAAACCTGAAAATGTAAGGGGGGAAAAAAGTTATTTTCTACAACTACATAGGTTGCATACTAAATTTCTACTCTTCATTAGCAGATGGAAATCAGCAATTCATTATAAAATTGGGGAGAGAGGTATATGGAGTTTGGGAGGAAGTAGATGCAGTGAAATTGGGAGGTAGCAATTTATAAAATGGAGAGAGACGACTAGGGAGTTTGGGAGGATGTATATGCAAGTGAAACTGGGAGGTAGCAGAAGCAGGAGAGGATATGAAAAAAGGAGATGGTTAGGGAGATGTATGAAGTAGAAAATATACAGGACAAAAAGTGGACCCAAGAAAAAGCTTGACATAGGGAGAGCTAATGAACACTGGAGATTGTGTGCCTATAGTTAGCTAGGGAATGTACCAGGCACATGGAAACAGGAATGGGAGTTTTCACAAATGGAAGAAGAGGGGTGCAAATACAACCCTGCTTTCACAGACTTATTAGTTATGATTTTATTCCTGTCATTTTGTTAGGGTATATTTCTTTTCTTCATTTGTAGTGTGTCCTGTGGCTGTGTTTATAGCTTATAGGTGATGTCAATTCCAAAGCATAACCAGTTTTCTTTAACCCCTTAAGGACGGAGCCAAATGTACACATTGTGAACAAAACAAAATGTAAACAAAACCTGCCATTTGCGCTACATGTCTGTCCAACCGTAATACACCTCTTTCATAGTAAATGCACCCACCCTTATTATATATCATTTTATTCAGGGGAAACAGGGCTTTCATTTAATATCAAATATTTAGCTATGAAACAATTTAATATGAAAAAAATGGGAGAAAATACGTTTTTTTGGGATTTTTTTCAGTTCTACATGACATTTTAACGTCAATGTCATAATACTGTTTGCTTTTACTGCAATAAAATACACATATTTATATTCAGTAAAGTCTCACGTGTAAGACAGTACCCCCTATGTACAGGTTTTATGGCGTTTTGGGAAGTTACAGGGTCAAATATAGCACGTTACATTTGAAATTGAATTTTGCCAGATTGGTTACGTTGCCTTTGAGACTGTATAGTAGCCCGGGAATGAAATTTACACCCATAATGCAGAGCCATTGTAATAGATAAACCTGCTGTGAGCAGTTCAGTTTTAGTAAAGTTATTTCGGTCACAAACACCCGGCCGTTAGCCGCTCGCATTCGCTTGTGAAAATGCAAAAATGCCACTTTGCCAAAGCTTGGTGACTAAGTGGTTACTAAAAAAGACTGGACATACCCTGCTCAAATACCTGCTGGTTCACGTCAAAATGGTATGCCATCATAGGTAATTTTCATTCTTTCTGCTACCATAGGTCTCAAGGCAACCTTAACTACCCATAATTTTAATGTGAATAATGAAATGCAAGCCTTTGGTATTTCTGATTGTAATCTTTAGAATCGAGGCTTCGATAGCCTGACATGAGGGCTAGTTATTGGATGAATACCGCCAGCCATTTTGCGTTTTCAAACAGCAATACAGCACACATTGTCCGTAATGCTGTTTGTGCTGAAAAATGCAAAAACGCCACTTTTACTGGCGATATCATCATTGTAATACATTTCACTGTTTTGAAACACTAATATTTGTGTTCAACGAAGTCCCCCGAGTAGAACAGTACCCCCCATGTACAGGTTTTATGGTGTCTTGGAAAGTTATAGGGTTAAATATAGTGCTAGCAAATTAAATTCCCTTTACTTTCGGCATGGGTTGTCAGGCAGGTCCCGCTAATTGTAATTAATTAAGATACCTAATTATGCAAAAATATTACATAAATATATATGTAGAATTAATAATATATGTATATATATAATAAGTATGTATATATATGTATATATCTATATAATTTTTTAAAATATTTTTTATTTATATATAGGTATATATATATATAGTGATATACATTTATATATATTTTATGTATATATTATATATATATTTCCGCTTCTACGAAAGTATTTTGATATATATATATATATATATATATATATATATATTAATTTCAATAAAATGCTAGGAATGAAATAAATACTAAATATCTATATATTTTTTTAATTATTTTTTTAATTTCTATTTTTTAACGTATTTACATATTTAATTTTTTTATATTATATATAAATATATATATAACAATAATTATATATATATATATATATATATATTTAATCAGTATCAGTCTACGTGTAATTTGATATTAATATATATATAATTATATATATATTAATAGTAAAATACACCTAGACGGTGTATGTGTGTGTAAGTATATGTGTATATATATACTTATATATATAATATATATATATGATCTAAGTATATATAATTATTTTTTTTTTTTACACCATTAACTTTTTTTATTTTTATTTTCAGCCAGCAGGGGGACCACCTGTCATTACAGGCAGCCCCCCTGCCGGCAATACAGAAGCCAGCTATCCCTGGCCATGTGATTGTGGGGTCCTCGCTAGGACCCCACTCTCACATGGCCGGGGGGCTTCGACGAGGACGGACGTGCCGCGGGGGGCTCCCTGGGAGTCCCCCCAACCGCGATCGCCGGCGTGGGACCGCCGGTGACCGGGTAAGTTAACAAAAACCGGAGGGCGTACAATTACGCCCGGCGGCGTTTAGAGCCGCCTATTAGAGGGCGTAATTGTACGTCCTCCGGTTTTAAGGGGTTAATATTAAGATGTAAATTATTGTTAGCATGTATATAGCGCCAACATATTCTGCAGTGCTTTACAATTATATAATGTGGACATTTGTCAACAATGAATTGACATATAAAATATTACAAAAGACAATAGGTGAAAAAGAAAAAACATGGAAATGGACTGCGTTATTTGTAAAATATAGACACCCTCTGTTTCTATTGAGTTCTTATAACAAGTATAAACAACTCATTGTAAAATGGCCAAGTTGTGATGATGGCCCAGTTGGAGAATTTATCCAGTACAGCTGTGTTTTCCTCAGCTTTGCCATTCTGCCAAAGGAACAGTTTGGGCACCATAACAACTTCATCATAATAAAGTTGTTATGGTGCCAGGAGGTCCCTGACACTTTTTTACCATTAGGGGATAAACTGTTCATGAACGGTTTAACCCCAAAGTATGCTCCAGCTCTGACCCCTGTCCTTCCCCTTTCTGAAATTCTTCAGAACAGAAGCCTGAGAAAGCTATCCGGCAGGAGCGCAGTTGATTGGCTTAGAGTGGTCAGCTGACGCTCTTATCCAAACAGTCACTCTCCAATCATAAAAACATCTTGAAAAGGTACACACCTTGCTCAAGCTGTTTTTATGAATGGGGAGCTATTGATGGGTTTAGAGCATCAGCTAACAGCTCTATGTCAATCAGTGGTGCCCCTGCCTGAGCCTCCAGTTTCGAAGAACTTCAGAAAGTGGAAGGACAGGGGGGCAGTGCACTCCGGTGCTGGAGCACAGACTTTGGGGTTAAACCGGTTGTGAACAATTTAACCTCTAGTGGCAAAGAAGTGCTAGGGATCTTCTGGCACCATGGCAACTTAATTTATTTCATGTTGTTATGGCGCCCTGTTCGTTTAATTCGCTAAAATTCAGTGTTTGGTCCATAAACCTGTATAGCGGTGTTAGGAACTTCCCCCCCACAAGCTGATATTTTTATCATTCAAATTTCAATTTATTCTAAAATACCAAATTCATGTCAGATGTAAAATTACAGATGAAATTAGTATCTCACGATACCTTTTTTATTGGACTACCAGAATTGTGGTAATTCCAAAATTCTGTTAGTCCCATTAAAATGATATTATAAGATCAGGGCCGTCTTTAACACAAGGAAAACGGTGCAGCAGCCCTGGGCCCAGTTACTCCTGGGGGGCCCAAGGCAGCTGCCCTGTGGGCCCTGCTGCCCTCAACAATTTATTTGGGCCCCGCACTCTAAGGAGGCCCACACACTTCTATCAGCAGGGGCCCAGTCGGGTGGTGTGGCCCTTTAACAGCACGACCGGACCCCTGCTTTTCGGCAATATGGGAGGAGAGCAGCTGCGTGGGAGTGAGCAGGAGGAGCAAAGTGGGAGTGAGCCAAAGGCAGTGAGGATGGGGACTCTTCACTCCCATCAGCACCACACTCTCAGGCACCACACTGGACCCCAGGAAAGCCACCCTCCAGCAAAAGGTAGGAAACTGAAGGGTGGGTTTAAAAATGTTTTTACATGTGTGTCAGTATGTCTGTATGTGTGTGTCAGTGTATTTGCCTGTCTGTGGGTCAGTATGTCAGTCAGTTTATGTATATGTATCTGTAAGTTGTCAGTGTGTATCTGTGTCTGACAAAAACAGTATACCCTGCACTCAAGTTCTGCATCACTGTTCCGGCCTTCCACCAAGGGGGCGCTCTGTGTGTAGGATGGACACTGCTGAATCCACCAACGCAGTATCAAAGAAGAGAAACACAGGCAGCACTCCAGGATAATGAAGGTAAGTTTTTTTCATGGGTTCACCACCTCACCAAAAAATAAGTGCAACGTTTCGGCTCCACATAGCCTTAATCGTGCATAAGGGATACATCATAACAGCAGCGTTTAAATAACCCCAAATCAAATTAAGTTACTAAAAGATTATAATCACATGTTAAAACATATGTATAGGTGGCATATAAAAACAAGACATGAAGTCTGCTCAGGATCTTAAAGATGCAGTAACCTATTATATAGACTATAATACATTCATCTATAGTTTAATATTCCATAACATGAAAAAAATCGGGTGTCCTGTCTAATACATCAAGTTAAACTGGCATTTATAAATCCATGAAGCAGGCAAAATTTCAATAATTAATTTGAGAGTAATTAATAATTAATTTGACTGTATTAATGAAGAAATGGAAATAGAAAGCTAAATTCTTTTCTCTATAAATAATCAATAATGAAAGGGAATCTCAATGGATAAAGACTAATTGTTATTCTAACATCTAAAGAGTCCAAATACACTGATGAATACAAATGAAATATAATTCATATGAATGACAAAAAAAAAAAAAAAAAATCACGTGTAATTCCGAACATTCCTTTTGAAGAACCACCACATACCAGGTGGGTACAAAAGGGTACGATGTAACTTCGAGAAGAGAAAAAAACTGAAATGAATCACTATCACTATAGACAGTATTGAAAGTCATGTTTCAGTGTTTGCAGATGACACAAAACTTTGTAAAATAATACAATGTGAGCAAGATATTACTTTGCTGCACAGGGATTTAGATAGACTGGGGACTGGGCACTCAAATGGCAGATGAAATTTAATGTTGAAAAATGCAAAGTTATGCACTTTGGCGTAAAGAATACACAAGCAACGTATACCCTTAATGGAAGCGAATTAGGGATAACAACACACGAAAAGGACTTGGGAATTGTTATAGACAACAAACTATGCAACAATGTGCAATGTCAATCTGCAGTGGCCAAGGCCAGTAAGGTATTGTCATGCATGAAAAAGGGCATTCATTCTCTGGACGAGAATATCATTTTGCCTCTTTATAAATCACTGGTAAGACCCCATATTAAATATGCTGTGCAATTTTGGATATTATGAAACTAGAAAAAGTGCAGAGGCGGGCTACAAAATTAATAAAAGGAATGGAACATATCAGCTATGAAGAAAGGTTAACAAATTCAAACCTATATAGTTTAGAAAAACATCACCTGAGAGGGGATATGATAACATTATACAAATATATTCGGGGCCAATACAAACCATTGTGTGGAAATCTATTCACAAACCGGACTTTACATAGGACACGAGGCCATGTGTTTAGACTGGAAGAAAGAAGATTTCGCCTAAGGCAAAGGAAAGGTTTTTTTACTGTAAGAACAATCAGGATGTGGAATTCTCTGCCTGAAGAAGTGGTTTTATCAGAGTCCATACAGATGTTCAAACAGCTACCAGATGCATACTTGCAAAAACAGAATATTCAAGGATATAATCTTTCAATGTAGGGTAATAACTGCTTGATCCAAGGATAAATCTGACTGCCATTCTGGGGTCAAGAAGGAATTTTTTTCCTAGCTTGTTGCAAAATTGGGCTTCAAACTGTTTTTTTTTGCCTTCTTTTGAATCAACAGCAAAAAACAAATGTGAGCTGGCTGAACTTGATGGACACAAGTCTCTTTTCAGCTATGTAACTATCTAACTATAAATATATACCTAATTACAAAAGAGAAGGAAAAGAAAACTCCCTTAGGCCATAAGGTATCTAATGTATGAATCCAAAAAGATTCTCTCCTTTTAAGCAAGCCCTGACAGTTACCACCTCTCTGTATCTGTCAGTATGCCTGACGGTGTATGTGTGTGTGCGTGATAATGTCTGTCAGTGATTGTGTGTGTGTCAGTATGCATTTGTGTGTGTTAGTATGTCAGTCAGTTTATATGTCTAGATCGGTATCTGTAAGTAGTCAGTGTGTGTATCGGTGTATTTGCATGTGTGTCAGAGCACCAAAATTATATATAAAAACCACATTCAAAAAACAACACTACACATAAATGCACACTTGCGTCCAAACTCCAACACCACAAACAAACACATTCAGACAAACATACTTCATACAAAACCATGCTTACATTCAAATAAGGCAAAATACAACCCTGCAAGCATGGGAAATTGGTAGAACCCCACCTGTAAATGCATTGTTGGAGTTCCACAACAGATAGGGTTTTACCTTTTGCCCAACCTTGCAATTGGAGGGAGGGGGGGGGGGGCAAATAAAATTCTTGCACCAGGGATCTTTATACTTTAGTTCCGCCGCTGTGTTGACTTGCTAAAACGCTTTATGTTTAAAGAGTATGTCCTTATTTATTTTGGGGGGTTTTTTAAATCATTTTCCAAAAAGTGCAGATTTTAATAAATAGAAGCAGACCCTTTCATAAATGAATGGTGTTACACCCCTCTCCCTTTCAAGCAGACCAGTCCTGTTACTTCATGGTCTGCTTAGCACAGTGGAGCTAAACTCAAGAGACAGCAATTGGGGCAAGCTTAGAAGGGGAGGGTTTGTAAAGGCAGCAGACAGGAGAACTGCAGTTTTGTTTCATTTTTTGTTTTTAGATATTCCTGTTAATAAAATGCATAATGGAATAAATGGATGTTTTTATTATAGGGGTTATATCTGCTAAACAGTGATTTTATATTTGGACAGTGTCCCTTTAATCTCAGCGAAGTCTATTTTGGCCTTTATTCATTAACTGCCCATAGGTGTCCCATGTGATAAGCAGAGTCCCTGTGGCAGCATTACTGCACCTAGAAGGCAGCCATGTCTGTCACGTGACAACACCCACCTGTGGAAGCTCCTGCCGCTCCCCCTCCTCATCACAGCCCCGCATGCCACACAGCTCTTGGGCATCGCAGGCAGGTACCGGTCTGCCCCTCCCACTCTCACTGGCCGCGAGACACACACAAGTAGCACTGCATCACGTGACGCTCCCCAACACAACTTCCTATCCAACGACGGACGGGCGGCCGTCCGTGACGTCACTAGTGTGTCCCCCAGAGTGAGGCTTGAGCCGCAGACAGGCCGTGTGCGCATGCTCAGGAAGGCGAAACGCTAAGACTGACGCTTGGCTGCTCCGCCCGGGAAGTTTCTTCTCTCTCTCTAGCTTTCTTGCATTCATTCATCCTTTAGTACATAGGAGAGGAGATGGGTGCGCGGTGTCTCGCCTGGTAATAGCTCCCCCTCCCCCCGTGTGGGACAGAAGTTCAGCTCGCTGTGCAGTTATCCGTGCCTGGTGTATGGAGCCGGGGGGAGTGCGCTGGGTGCTTGTGTTAATCCCATACTGAGCGGTAAGTTACTCCCTCACAGGCCGGGGGCTGGCACTAGGAATGACAGGGGAGGCCCAAGGTTAGTCAGCTTCACAGTGCATCATGGGAGTTGTAGTTCTATAGGAGTTGGAGCTCTGCCTTCCAAGCATCTTGACTTATAATATCCTTCATCAAATGTGCCAGAAGTCTTAAATGCCAGTTATATTTGGCTAAAGGCTTCTTTCCATGTAGTTGTCCTGCCTGTTGGTCTGTGCAGTCATTAATCTAAACCTGAAACAGATCTTGGGGTGTGTAGAGTATCGGATACTGGCATCGTATAAGGGTATCGGATACTGGCATCGTATAAGGGTATCGGATACTGGCATCGTATAAGGGTATCGGATACCGGCAATCGCATCAGTAATCGGATACCGGGCAATCGTACCAGGGCATCGGAAACCGGCATCGCACTAGGCATCGGATACCCGCATCGCATTGCGGGGTACGGGACACCGGCACGACTAGGTACGGGACACCGGCACTGCATCAGGTATGGATACCGGCATCGCATCAGGGCACGTGGAAACCGGCATCGCACTAGGCCATCGGAAACCGGCATCGCACTCAGGTTAACGGAAACCGCATCGCATCTGGCATCGGAACTGGGCACGCACTTTCAGTGACGCAAACCGCATCGCATCAGGGTACCCGGAAACCGGCATCGCATCAGGGTAATCGGAAACCGGGTAATCGCACTAGGGTATCGGAACCGGCATCATACTAGGTATCGGAAATGGCATCGCATAAGGGTATCGGATACCGCACTCCACTTTCAGGGCACGAGCCACCGGCATCGCGCATTGGCGGCATCGCACTGGCATCGTACAAGGGTATCGGATACTGGCATCGTACAAGGGTATCGGGTACTGGCATCGTACAAGGGTATGGGGTACTGGCATCGTACAAGGGTATCGGGTACTGGCATCGTACAAGGGTATCGGGTACTGGCATCGTACTAGGGTATCGGGTACTGGCATCGTACTAGGGTATCGGATACTGGCATCGTACTAGGGTATCGGATACTGGCATCGTACTAGGGTATCGGATACTGGCATCGTACTAGGGTATCGGGTACTGGCATCGTACTAGGGTATCGGAAACTGGCATCGTACTAGGGTATCGGATACTGGCATCGTACAAGGGTATCGGGTACTGGCATCGTACAAGGGTATCGGGTACTGGCATCGTACAAGGGTATCGGGAACTGGCATCGTACTAGGGTATCGGATACTGGCATCGTCCAAGGGTATCGGGTACTGGCATCGTCCAAGGGTATCGGGTACTGGCATCGTCCAAGGGTATCGGGTACTGGCATCGTCCAAGGGTATCGGGTACTGGCATCGTCCAAGGGTATGGGGTACTGGTATTGTATTAAGTGGTCTAAGGTGGTTTATTTAGTGATGAACTTTGACACACTACCATAGCAGTTGTGAACATGTGTTCTATGATACAATATGGCATACCTAAGGAGTGACTTGTGACATGGCTAGTATGACATGATTTACTACTCTAACAATTTTTGGTTTGTGCAAAGTGGATTTTAAATTTTAGGCCAAAATAACCAAATTAGATATATTCTCCAAATAAAATGTGTTTACCGTTTGGTTATTTTGGCATAACGCTTGAATTGAGGCTTGAACTCCCAACAATTTACTCTTTGGTGAATAACATTGGTAGTGATTATAATAGGAGCTCAGGGACTGTCTGTGATGTCCTAGCCACTTTCATGTTGATGTGGACATCTATGGAAACCATTGACTACTCACAATTGCTTGGTCATGATGATGTAATGCTTATTAATTCCAGATGGATTGGAAAAAAGTTTAGGCTAAAAAAAAAAAAAAATTTTTAAAGCAGGTGCAAATAAGTAAATGTATGGAAAACAACTCTCAAAAGTCTGACATGTTTTATTATATTGCATACTTAAAGGACCACTATAGGCACCCAGACCACTTCAGCTTAATGAAGTGGTCTGGGTGCCAGGTCCCTCTAGGATTAACCCTTTCTGCTGCAAACATAGCAGTTTCAGAGAAACTGCTATGTTTACCTATGGGTTAATCCAGCCTCCGCGATTCTCACTGTGATTTTCACAGTGAGAAGATACCAGCGTCCATAGGAAAGCATTGAGAATGCTTTCCTATGGACTGGCTGAATGCGTGCGCGGCTCATGCGCATTCAGGTGATGACGGGGAAAGAAGGAGGAGAGTCCCCACTGCTGAGGGAGCCTGAGAGAAAAGGTAAGTGTTTAACCCCTTCCTCACCCTAGAGCCCGGCGGGTGGGGGGGACCTAAAGACCCTATAGTGCCAGGAAAACAAGTGTTTTCCTGGCACTATAGTGGTCCTTTTAATTGTAGACTAATTGCACAATGTGAGATTCTAAATTTTGAAAGGTCTATCTAAACACATAGACCACTTCAGCATAAAAGGCCACTCCAGACCCGTAAAGCACTGTAGATTGCTGAATTGCTTTATATGTGAATAGTGGCCTATATTTTTCCTTTTACATAAAGTACAGATGTCAATAGATTTTTATTTTTTGCATTTTTATAATGTATATAAATTGCAATATCAACCTTCCAAAAAGGAATTATCCTCAAGGTGGTACATCCTTGAATTAACCTTTATATTCAGTGGGGCGAAAAATACCTATTGCCCCACTGACAATGATATACTGTGGCCAACCAGTTAAAATTAAAGGTACATTGTGGGCACCAGGTTCCTGGGCACTTTCTTACCTGAAGGGTGTTTAACCCCAAAGCTTTCCTCCTGCTCCGGATCTCCAGTTCCCCAGTGGCATCTGGCTTCTAAAATTGAAGTGCAAAGTGTTGTCCGGCAGGAGCATCACTGAAAGTTACCTAGCTAGAAAAAACTGCATTTGGGAGTCTGTAATTGGACAGCCACAGAAAGTCTGGGCTTGGTTAGAAGAGAAAGCAAAGACTTTATAGAAGAGAACTGCAGGTTTTACAAGCTGTTTTTAGGTAAATCCCCAATTTTTAAAAATGCATTATTAAATGCGTGCATATTTTCATTGGGGATATATCTACTAAACAGTAATATATTTATTTTTAATTTGGGAAGTGGAGTGTCTCTTCAATGTAGTTGGTTTGGTATTTAGATTATGACCCTGTAGTTTTATTGCTCAATTATCTGCTTTTCCATCGTTTAACCACCCATAGCTATATCTCCCTTGGCAGTAAATCACACAATCCTCCCTTTACACTTATTTGGAACATAGCAAGCAGGGCTCCAAAACAACTTTAGTTTAATGAAGCAGTTTTGGTGTATAGATCATGCCCCTGCAGTCTCACTGCTCAATTCTGTCATTTAGGAGTTAAATCACTTTTAGACAGCCCTAGTCCCACCTCCTTGGATGTGACTTACACAGTCTTCCTAAACACGTCCTGTTAAGAGATCTAATATTTATACGTCCTTTATTGCACAGTCTGTTTTAACCCCTTAAGGACACAACTTCTGGAGTAAAAGGGAATCATGACGGAATATTTCCGTCATGTGTCCTTAAGGGGTTAATTTAGAATTTTGTATCTTTCTCTGTTATTAGCCTTCTAGACCCTGCAGGAGCATCCCGTGTGTGAATAAAGTTTAATTTACAGAGCAGGAGATAAAAAATTTTTAAAAACAAATTAAAGGACCACTCCACACATCCAAAAACACTGCACAGTTTAGTAGATATAGGGGGCAGGGAGATAGGCACGCTCAAGTAGAGTGTGCACTAACAGAAGTCAGAAGGAATCCTCCCTGGCTGTTTGATTGACAGCCGGGAGGGAGTTCCTTAGTTCATTTATAAAAGTGCTGATTTCGCCTAGTAATTTGTACTTTTATAAACTAGGATACTCCTCACCCATAAAGAACTCTAGCAAGCTAAAGTGCTTTGGGGGTGTGGAGTGGTCCTTGAATATCTAAATGAAAATGAAACCATTTTTTGTTTCCATGCAGGCTGTGTGAGTCACTGTGTGGCTAGGGCTGCATAAACCGAAACAACAGTGATTCAATTCCTAAATGGCAGAGAATTGAGCAGTGAGACCTCAGTCATGATATATACACTACTTCATTAAGCTAAAGTTGTTTTGGTGCCCATAATATTCCTTTAAGGTCAGAATAGCCAAACTAAATGAAAATCTCCAAGTCAACTAATCTTCTAGGTCCGCCATTTCGGCACATATTTTGAATTCGCTATACTTTCCTGACAATTTGCAGTTTAGTGAATCGCGTTGAGTGTGCATTTACTTTAGAATTTCCGATTTCCTACTGTTAATTGCCGCTAGTGCAAAGAAAACAAGAAATCAAAGCTCCCAAGCTGAGGAGCACAGTTTGAGAACTACTCCAGAAAATAAAAATATAGGTCGCGCCACAATAGAAGCAAATGTTATAATATAATAAAACCAATAGTATACTAAAAGACAAAATATTTAAAAGGAACAGTCCTGGTAATAAAATACAGTAAGAATAAAAAGTAAAATCGGTCATGCCACAATAGACAATAAAATAATGATTACAGTAGTGTACTTACATAAATAAGATAAAATTAAATATATAATAGTCCTGATTTTAGGGGACCAACTTGATTTGCGGAGCTTGAGTGTGATGTAGGTCTGTTAGAAGTACAGATCTTGAAGTATTCTGATTCTCTTCGTTCAGTTCAGAATATTCAAATTAAAAAAAGAGCTCCAATAGTGTACACTGTATCCAACAGTGAGCATAAAATCTACTTCACAGCAATGGTATTCCTACTCACCTATTAAAGAGCTAGTCCAAGCTCAGGTGTAGATAGCATTCAGTGACATTGATCCTCCACTGGTAGGTGGTAGTTGATGATGTGTAGTTTGAAGTGAAGGAAGTCTCGATGTGAGGAAAAAAATACAATAAAAAAAATAGTGCTCTCTTTATATAGCAAATAAAAAGATAATAATAAGATTGTATATACTCACATTTTAGTGATCAGGGTATAATGCTCACTATAATAACGTGGGTGGTATAATCCCCACCTTGGGATTCTTGAATGAGTATGTACTGCGATATTCTTGGTGTCCAGGTTAAAAATAAAATACTAAATAATATATGTACAAAAAGGGGGTTATGGCACACACAAAGTTTTAGGGGCCAATATTCCTTTAATAGTACAAATTTGAAAAGCAATTAAAACAGCCAAGTTGATAAAGCCCTGTGTTGGTGAAACACGTTTTGGCTGTTTTTATTGCTTTTCAAATTTGTTTTTTGTTTTTTTTAAATAAGTTTTTTTTTTTTTTTGGGGGGGGGGGGTCTGTCATTCTTTGAACATATTTGTGTTCCTCTTATACCAAATAACATGGTATCAACTCATTTGGTGTGTTTGCCTTGAAAGCTCAAATACTAGTAAAAAAAAATAAAAAAAATTTGAGCGGGTACCCCATTTGCAAAAGCTGATTAAATTGTCAAACCGCATCAATATTTACAGATGTCCTGAGTTGCATCACAAGTGAATTTAATGGATGCTCTGCTAAACAGTGGTCAGTTTAACGTGAAAGTGGTTTTCAGAATTCTAGGAAAGTAAATTCTTATGTAAACATGAGAATAATATTGTCATTTTTTTTTATTCTAGTTTCTCAATCCTTACAGGAAGTAGCGTATATATCCAAATTTTGTGTGTGTGTGTGGTTTTTTTTTTTTTCTTCTTAAAGTAGCTATCTGCTATATCGATTCATTTTTATATGGCATCCCAGTTAATTATAGTTTGATTTTGCAGTGATGGCATCACAGAAAAGGAAATCATCCCTGGTTGGACCTACTGCCAAACGCCAGAAAATTGGTAAAGACAATGAACAACCTTCTGTTACAAACCAGCGAAGAAACAGTGTTTCAGGTGGGAAGTCCAAAGTCCAGCAATGCTCACAAAAGAACAAGTCCCAGAAATCTAAATCGCCTTCTGTTCCAGCAAAGAAAAGAAATGGTATTGCAAAAACTCCTAAAGCCACCCCATCTTCAAAAAGAAAAACTGCAGGGAAAAGCCCTTTGAAACCTAAAACACCTGTAAAAAAAACAAATGTGAGATCCACTTTGCACTCGTCTACTGTGAAATCTGTACAAAAAAAGAAAACTGCAGAGTCCAAAAAAGCCAGAAATAAAGATGTGCCTGCCAGGAAAACATCAGTGAAAGTACCCAAAGCAGTAACCAGTTTAAGAAGAAATGATACAACTTCAGTTACTACTTTGAAAGCCTCAAAGAGTAGTCGAGCTGGTCTGGCAAAGGAAACTGGAAAACAAAATAATAAAAACTCATCCCAAAAAGGTAAAAAGTTGAGCAAGATTCTTGTCTCTCCTCAGCCAAGAGTGTCTAAGAAGAAGGGTCAATGCCGCACAGGTAACCAAATAAATGAGAAACCGTTATTGTTGCCACGTGGGACAAAAAGTGAAAAGCTCCTGGAAAGTTCAGGCACAGATATTGAGTTGCGAAGGAAATCTGAAAGGATTATTCAGGTAAAATCACAATCTGTTTCAACTACTGAGAAGCAAGCAGGAGTTCACAAAGTGGCACCTGCTGACCCAAAGGAGAACAGTAAGCACAAACATGGCAAGCAGCTTAAATCATCTAGTGTAAGTGAAACAAAAGGTATTCGATCTAAAAAATTTGACCGGCTTTCGAACAGACAGCTCTTACCGCACGACGACTTTGAAAGTAAGAAGAGGACTAAAGTGATGCACACGACAGTTGCTAAGAATTCCCTAATTACAAGAAAACCAAAAAAAAACACAGCAGGAACAAAGAAAAAATCTAATAAAAATACTTCTAGTGAAAATTCACAAAGTGAAGAGCAGAAAAGTCAAAACTTTGACTTGGTCTCCGTAGATTCTTTGAAAAATTACAAAATCGCGGTCTGTGATTTGTTAAATACGTCTGTTGGTTCCACTCCTAGTTTTAGTGTATCATCACCTGGAAAAACAAAGACTGAAGTGAAAAAGCCAAAATCAAAGGTACCTTCAGCTACACCTGCAAAACGCAAAGCTAGTGCTATTAAACCTTTGATTAAAAGACAGAAAACTGGGCAATCAGGTGGTGATAAGCAAGCCCTGTCAGTTACAGATGACTCAAAAAGTAGAAGGGTTAGTATCTTGGACTTGTGCCATGAAATTGCTGGAGAAATTGAGTCCGACACACTGGAAGTTGTGAAAGAGGTCCAGAACTCTGAAAATGTTCCCAAAGAAGAGAGCCTGATAGGGGAGGAGATGGAGCAGGAGACATTACAACTGGTTTCTTCTGAAGAAAGCCCTTCTAAGTGTTTCTTTCCAAGCAGAAAATCCTCTCAAATGAAAGCCAAGATAGAGCAAAAAAAAAGACCTGCACAAAGAAACACAAAATGGAATAAAATCAAGCTGAAGAAGCGCAATAACTTTGGCCATAATATGCTTAGAAACAGAGCCGTGCTTCCGAGTTTGGCTTCAATTACAGCAAAACCTGTTGCCTTAAAAATAAGCCAGCCTATGGTAAGCACATTGAGTTCCAGTAAGAGCACAAATAAAGATTCTGATGCAACTTTGTCAACACAAACTGATTTTATAAAACCAAACCTCTCAGAGAACAGCAAATCGAGAACTCCAGACCAAGGAAATATAACGGAAAAGAGAGCAGAAAATGGCATTTTGGAAAACCATATTAATCATGAGTTAGAGATGACACTTGATGAGGTAAGGTTGTGTTTTAATGTAACATAGGTTTTGCAAGATTGTGCGTGCACCATAATGCCAGATTCAAATATTTGTTTTTGTTTTTTGTTGAGGACCACTAAAGGCACCCAATCATTTAATCTCAACAAAGTGGTCTAAGTTCATTGGCCATGCCGTTTCAGTACTCCGATGTAAAACGTTGCTATTATTGAAGTGTTTAATACTCCTCTGGTGGCTGTCTTCCCAACAGTTTTTAGGAATATTATATTTGTAAATATTATAGAAAATTACATTTTGTGCAAGTGATTGCAATATAATTTAATGAGCACTCCAATATTTTAGTTCAATGTAAATCTTAGATAGACAGACAAACCGTTAGATGCAGATTGGTGGTGCTAAATGAGGATTTGTAGTGGTTTAACTAGATGGCTAACCTACTCTTTGATGCCACATGAACATAACAGGATTGGGACTTTTACATTATATAGCTTGTTTACAAATGGATGATGTTTAGTAGTTTTTGTTTTTTTTCTTGTACAAGTTAAATCTCAAACCCTTTTTAGTTTTACAGATTTAAAAAAATAATATATAAATTCATGTTTGTCTAGCACTTTTGCAAGTTGAAATGTTTACTTTATATTGTGTTATTTACATTCCTAGAGCTTTAGGTTACATTTGGAGTCCAGTCCAGAAAACACTCCTTTAAAAAAGGGGGCATCTCCGTTAGTCGGCAAAGAAGCACAAGGTATGTGATTGCTATTCTGTTTTAATTTTATACACAGAGATCTATAGTTAAAATTATCTTCCTAAGGTATAATACAGAGCTTGACAAATCTGTGGGACCTGGTCAGAATCAGATATTTGAACTGGCTGGACCATAGGTTTACGTTTCTGGAGATCAAAAAATAAATCTTGTGCTGCTCAGTCCACAAAACTACACAAGATACACGTATGCTGATGAAGTTAACATTTTGTGTAAAAGGGTCGGTTTTCCACAGTAATAAGGAAGATCAGCAGAAAAGATAAAGGCTGTTTTTGATGCCGGTTGTATCCCTTTAAGATCTGCCTCTTGTCAAGATTGACAAGTGCAGGAAAAATACATAAGACAATTCCCTACTTTGGTGTTTTTAAGATAAATAGATTAGAAATAAAGAAAAGAACAGTCTGAAAGAGAGAAGCGGAAACAGGAGAAAGGTAAGTTTGAGGTGACAGAGCCACTTTAATAAACATTTAGATAAAAATTCCAGGGCGGACTTTACCTCTATTTTTATAATGCACTGCAGATTAATTTCACTGGAAGCACCATAGCCCATTTACTTCATTATTGCCCAGAGAACAGCGTGTATGGGGAGAGAGTGTTTTTTGTTTTTTCTTCTCTGAGAAAGCAGTAAATATCACATTGACACCTTTTGGATTCTCTCCTAGACTGTGTTTCCAAGCATCTGTTTCATAATTTCGTCACAGACCAGATGACTACATCTCCTGCAAATGGGTAAGAGCCACTGTGTGTGATGTATTAAGACTACAATCCTTCTGGTAAATATTGCATACATAGCAAGAAAATGTTAAAGTGCTTCTGTCATGGAAATAGAAAAAGGTGAAACTTTTTTAGTAATATAAAAAATATGCTGCTCACCATTTTGCAGAAGACTTACATTTTTAATCTGAATTTGAGATAGGTTGACACCTTTGTGCTGTTTTAATAGACTTCTAGACTACTGATATGCAGGTGGATTGTATGCACCTTTTAATCATCAGTTTTTAGTTCTACAACTCGACACACCAGTCTCCCTCATTACTACAGATTTCCATAACATTCTATTTAAACATACATTTATGTGAACAAAATTCTTTTTTTTTTTTTTTTCTTCTTCTGGATGGCGGCAGTACCCACAACAGGAATTTCTTCCTTTGTCTTCCACTGACAGGCAGTATTTTACTATTAAAATTTTTATTGTGAAGGTTGGGATCACCTTGTAGTTATAAACAGAGGATAACCCCAACAGTTCCCAGCTTTCTGACTGCACCTAAAGAGACAGTTAGGCAGTATTTCCCCTGAGAGGCCGTAAATGAGAGAGTAACGGTTGCAATATTGTAAAGAGCTCTATAATTTGAATGCACGCCGATATAGCGTTCATTACAATGCATGTGCATTGGAATCATGCCATCTTGACTCAAATTGGAATTTCTCCATGTATATAACTCCTTGTGACCACACATAAGCCTTCTGGTGCGATCTACATACCGAAAGTGTCATCACCTTTCGCCCTATGCTCTTTAAAGTAAGACGAGTGAGTTTTTGTTTTTTATGTTGCCGTTGCCTCTGGAGATTACTGGCCCTTAGTTGCTTTGTTTTTTGTTTTGTTTTTCCTGTTTGTCTTCTAGGATGTCTAACTGCTCTGAAAAGCTGGAATCCCCTTTGAAACCTGACAAGCCTGAAAGAAGAAAAAAAATTTTTTTACAAAAAACTAAAATTTTCTTGTATTATTCTCTTACCTGATGGTTTAAAAAGAAAACCGGGTAATACTTTTCAGAATTTAAATCTGCTACTCTCCAAAATTTGAGCCCACAATGCGATTCAGCTGAATTTTTGGGGATGAAAGAATTTTCATTTCTCAAAGCGGTTTATTGAGTGCAAAATTTTATTTTTTTTAAAATAAAATTATCAGATTTTGATGACTCCGTTAATAGTTCTTCTGTTTATTTGTCTTCAGAAGATTTTTCTATTTTTGAGGAATATAGTATGTCTAAATTTATTAAGGAAGTCACATATACAATGGAAGCAGAAGAGGGTAAAGATTCTCAGAAAATGAAAACTAAATGTTTTCCATTGCATCCTAAGTTTAAAGAAATTACACGTGAGTGTGGAAAAATCCTGAAAAGAATATATTTTACGAAACATAATTTAAAAAATTTTTTTTTAAATGTTTTGATTTAAAGTAACATGAAGGTGATGCCTAACGTAGATGTTTCAGTAGCTCAGTTAGGGGAAAAGACTATACTATTCCTATCAGTAGTACAGCAAACTTGAAAGATACAATGATCAAAAAATCTGAAATCTCTTTAAGGATAATATTCCAGTAACATCCAATGGAAATATATTTGAGAAACAAACTTTTTTTACCCAAATAGACATGGGGATGCCAGGCCTGTAGGAGGCAGGCTCTCCTATTTTCTAAATACCTTGCAAAATACCTCCTCGGACCATTAGGTTTTAAGAATTATTAATCAGGCTGCAAAATAGAATTTGACGTCATTCCTTCCCAACATTTTATATGTTCAGATGTTCCTTCACAGGAACTAGAAGAAAAGCTTCTTTCCTTACGGTCATGGAATGGTGGGGGGAAAGCATCATGGTAGAAGAGATCCCAGATAAAGAAAATTCAGGGGATATTACTCAAGGCACTTTCTAGTGAAGAAACCAGTTGGTTAATTCAGGGCAATCTTAGTTTTAAAACAAATGTACAAATTTGTAACAAGGAAAACATTCAGATTGAAGAACAATTCATCAGCAAGCCAACTCTAATCAAAAGAGGAGATTTCCTAGCATCACTGAACGTAAAAAATGCATATCTTCATATTCTAATCTCAATAAACAGTTGAAAATCTTTTAGATGGACAATAATAATTATTGTGTTGGCACTCTATTACAGGGTGGTGCAGGTATTAGAGGTAACCCCCTATTTTTATTTTCACCTTTTTTATTATTTATTTTTCAATTTTTGTCGGCTGATCAGTCTGAAAGAATTGTCATTATTGCTTAATTATTTGTGTATTCACCAGACTATATAAGAATTACCAGCTTCATCAAAATTTTATATATATATATAGATATTATGGAATTTTGTCTTGACTACTGTAGATGAATTAACAGTGTGTGTATCATTCTGTATATTTGGCAATAGTGGTCTTGGTTGATTTAAATTTTTTGTCATTAAGTGTATAATAAATTTTTTTTTTTTTCTTCAGCATATCAATTCTTTTTGATGCATGTTATATGCTATTGGGTGCGATATTAAGTTATTTGTTTGAAAATCTTTAAGATTCACAATAAGAAAAAGCATAAAGATTATGTGCTATCCATTCACAGCACTGCCTTTCCGCCTTTCTTTATCGCCGAACATATTTAAGAAAATTATGATAGTCATTACAGCAGCCTTACCTGGACAATTGGCTCATTGTGGCAAATTCAGAAGACTTTTTTTAAAAAGGAACATCAGAATTTTCTTCTTGTTTAGAAAATCATGGCTTGATCATAAACAAAAAAAATCACACAATTCACCTACACTAAAAAATCCAGTTCCTAGGAATCATTATAAACACAAGAAGCATGAAACTTATTCGTCAAGAAAAGTAAAAAAAAAAAAGACGCTTTCAAATTGTCAGAAGCACGTCTGTTCAGTCATACAATCCTTGAGAATTGTAGTGTTGTTAAATTCTACAATTCCTTCTACAAAGAATTGTTACAAAAATTTGTACCTCTCAGATAATTTCACCACAGTTGTATACATAAACAAGCAGGGAGGCATGAGATCCACACATTTACTAACTATGTTAAAGAATTATTATATGGGTGGAAGATCATGTTCTAGGCATCTTGCCATTCGCATAAAAGGCTAAGACAACTGTTTAGCGAATGCTTTAAGCAGAAGTGGACTGTGTCAAAAAGATTGGTCCCTTTCAAGAAACACCTTTCAGAAGATAACTTGGCATTTTGGTGTTCCAGAAATAGATCTTTATTGCTTCATATGTCAAGAAGAAGACCCAAGAATTTGTTTCTGTGCACAAAATAGGGAACCTGAAATTCCTAGATGCATTGTCAATCCAGTGGTCCTTCCAGTTTGTTTGTCTTTCTTCCGCTTATGCTAATTCCAAAGGTTCTGAAAAGTATAACAACCGACAGGACGAGTTATTGCCATAATCCCATTTTGGGGGGAGAGGGGCCTGACTGTCATGGAGGCTAGACATGTTTTGGACGAGCTCCTCCACAAGCACCACAATTGCAACTTCCAACTGCACACTAATGCCCTCTTGATCTGGGCCAGAACAAGAGAAAAACAAGCTGCTGGACCTTTATGCTAAGCGGGGAGGAGGTTGGAGTTGCACCGAGGGTTTGTCAGCCCCACCACGGAATATGCAGCCTAGTAAGCACCGAGCTGGAGATCTGGCCGATCTCCTATACTGGGGGCCATGAAACCTGTTAACCCCCACCCACCCTCACCGGCAGGGGTGATCCCGGTCCACTCCTGGGAGATTGCCCACCTCAGACAGGGAAGCGAGCAAGCACCCTACCTATCAGTGACCTTGCCAAGATGGTGGAAGGCGCACGCTCCACAGCCTCCAGTAATGATCCCAGCAACATACTACTGCATCAGCCTACTCCGTCACAGCTAAGCACCTCCTCATATTGGGGGCTCCCTCAGGAGACAGCGGCCCTACATGGGGAGAAGGCTTCCGCATGGCGGTGGAAAAAGAAGCGCGCTTCAACTAAGTGCAGTACGGCACAACGGCTTGCCCCAAACTGACACACTGCTGGACCATGCGAGCTATCCACAGTTCGGCGGGTATACGGCATAACGCGTCTGGCCCCAACATGGCGGAGATATCGGAGAGGAAGAGGGGCAGCAGGTGGACCCATCTCTTCCTCACACCTCCACTCAGGATGGCCAGGACTGTGATCTGCCCATGGAGGGCATAGGATGAACAGTCTGATCGCTTGCACCCTCACCTTACCAGCAATTGTTTACAAGCCACGTGCCACTCATAACCTCTTTTTAGTTTTGTCTTAACATTGTGAGGGCCTCCCAGGGGAAATACCTGGAGTTATTGAAACTTTGTATTCTGTACATCATACCCTGTCACGTGAACATATTTATCAACTTTTCTTTCTCCTGTACTGCAAAAACTTTGCCTCAAAAAAAATTTGATTGACAAAAACCCCCACTATTGATTAGACAAAATTGCCTCAGAAGACGCTTTCTTCAGGCAGAAGTTTCTGCAAGCCATAATTGAATGACCCACCCTTCTATTTCACTTGTATGATCCCTGTTGTTGGTACTGCCGCTATCCGTATGGGAAAAACAGAATTTCTTTACTCACAGTAAACTCCTTTTTCATAGGATTAGCAGCAGTGCATATTTGTCACCTTGTCCCCCTCCCCCCCCCCTTTGTTTGTTTATTAAAGATATTTTGTATTCTATGATGTCTTGATTATTACAGGAGACTGTTGGTTTTATCCTTTTTTTTTTTTTTTTATACCTACAAGGGGATGAAGTGGGGTGGGGAAGGTCCTGACCTCAATTAAAATGTTAAGGGTAAAAAGCTGCCTGTCTTTAGAAGACAAAAGAAGAAAATCCCTTTTGTGGGTACTGCCTCTAATCCTATGGAAAAAATAATTTTAGGTGAGTAAAAAAGAAACAAAGTTTTTCTCTCATGTAATGATTTCCTTCCTAGAAATAATTTATATGGTTTTTACCCACATACTTGATGACACATGATGGCAACTTGTTTTTGTTGCCTCTGTTTCCAATGATTGTCAGACAGCTTTTAGTCCATTATAACACTGACTTCGCTTCAAAGGTAACCTGTTCTGTAACATCTAGTGTGCCAGAGGATAGCCATCACTGGACAATCTGTTTGTGTTTACAGGAGGACAGTGACAAAACCGTTATTGGCTGCAAAACCTAGTACATTGACATCAGAGGCAAATCTGCAGAAAGAAATCAAGAAGTTAAAAGACGCGGAGAAGGATAGCAGCAAGCAGCCCATAATCGTAAGAATCATAATATTCTACTGCTGTTTATTTAATAGCAATGATTGTTGTGGGGGTGAGCATGAATAGGCACAAAGGAAATGATTGTCTCTGTTGCGGTTATTTGAATCATTGATCCGCTGCAGGGTGTATCTAGGGAGGTATCTAAATACAGACACTAAAGGAAGTTGTGGTTTGTTCATTAAATAGATTTTTATACTTCATCGTTCCACGTCTGGTGTTTGCCCTTAGAGATAAATGAACAGCAAAAAAATACAATAAAAACCATTGAAGGCAAAATATCTTGAATTGCAATGTAAACACTAGAGCCTGCTGTAGGAGTCATGCTGCTAGACGTCCCTGGTGCTGTCCTGTTAAGAGTCAAACCGTTGTTGAATGGTGTCCCACGGCACCCATACTCAAGCTCCCTCTTCAGATATCTTCCACGTTGGATAATCGGTTTTGTTCTTAAAAGTGCATTATATAGTCACCAGAACTACAGCAGCTTATTTAATTTGTTCTGGTGAGTAGAATCATTTCCTTCAGGCTTTTTGCTGTAAACACTGTCTTTTCAGAGAAAATGCAGTGTTTACATTACAGCCTAGTGATAACTTCACTGGCCACTCCTCAGATGGCTGTTAGAGATCCTTCCTGTGTCATGGCTGCCTAAAATGAATCCAAACATTCAGTATCTTCGCCCTCTGCATGCAGACACTGAACTGTCCTCATAGAGATTCATTGATTCAATTCATCTCTATGAGGAGATGCTGATTGGCCAGGGCTGTGTTTGAATTGTGCTGGCTCTGCTCCTTGTCACTCTCAGCCAATCCTATGGGCAAGCATTGTGATTGGATCAGACTACCACTTCTAATGATGTCAGGAGGTAGCTAGCTATTCTGAGGCAAACAGAATGCAGAGCTACAGCTTCAAGTTTGAATACAAATAAGATTTTACTATATTTAGGTAGGCATCAGGGGCTCAGGGGGCTAGATGGTGGTGTTAACACTAGAGTCAGGAATACATGTTTGTGTTCCTGACCTTATAGTGTTCCTTTAATTCGATGCAGTTTGAGAAAAATTACTCTATCAATGCATGCCATTTGCAAAAATAGATATCAGGGATGTTTCATTATGTGAGCCTTGTGGATAGAGGGCAGTCGCCAAGTTCAACAAGTTGGTTCTTTTCATAGAGATTTTGGCGTCGTTATACTGGGTGTCAGTCTTACAGCCACTAGAGGTGTATCATTGGACAAATGCAAAACGTTCTCTGAAACAATAACATTTTACATTGTCTAAAAAGAGAAACTGCGTCTGCTCAAAAAACATTTCATGAAGATGCACTTTGGGGTTGTTTTTTTTTTTTTTATATCGTTCAGTAATTGTAACTTATGAGGAAATGTTACATAGACTCTCAGGCTCTTTACATAAATTCGACCGAGCTTGGTCACAATGGCACAAAGTTGTAACAGGACTACGGTAGATCCTATTGTATAGGTGGAAGCATCAATGTGTAAATATAAGCATGTCACTTGTCTTTTCTATCTCTGAGGATGCTGTCATTACTTTTGCACTTATAAGATGTAATGGTGCCCTTTGACTGATAAATTTTATTTTCAGTAGAGAACTGATTTAAAAATAAAAATGATATATATATTCCTTTACTATCTCTGTTCACTCCAGTATTTCTTTTTTATATTCCTTAATAACTCCTTGATAGTTCTGTGAATTCTTACTACCAACAACTGGCTTGGAGTGCAGAAATATTTATTTGTACTGTTTAGCAGAAAATAAATACACTTTTTTTTTATTTATTTTTTTTAAATGTATTGATTTTTAAAGTTGATTTAGATTTTTCTCATTTATTGAAATTGCAGTCCCTTTTAAAGTTTATATGGAAATAAGAAATTAAACCAATGGTTTGTGTACAGATGAAAAGTCTGAATATATAAAAGATAGTCAACTTCTTACATGGGTAAATATTGCATGTAGTGGTCAGTAACTTAAGGAGGTTTGTACATTTCTTCCCCTTCAGGACGCAGGTCAGAAACGGTTTGGCGCGCTATCATGCAGCATCTGTGGAATGTTATACACTGCATCAAATCCTGAAGATGAAACCCAGCACCTACTGTTTCACAACCAGTTCATCAGTGCTGTAAAATATGTGGTAATAATAATATGTCATAACGATTTTAGCATTTCTATCCCAGCCGTAAGTAAAAATATCAATATTGCAATTTAGAAATAATCTAGTTCTTTTGCTGATCGTATTCTTGCCTGGATTACTAGAATTGTTTTGACAGAAGCCGCTTGCTGCTGTCCCTCGCTTACTGCATTTAGAATTTCTATAAACGCCTTAATTATTTTGTTTGAGTTGCAGGTCATGTTGACTTTGTAGAGCTAGTGTCCTCACAAAAAAAATATTGTGTGCCTGATCAGGCTTCTGTAAATTCTCACCCAGGGCTGGAAGAAGGAGAGACTTGTGGCAGAGTATCCTGATGGAAAGATCATCATGGTATTTCCGGATGATCCAAGATATGCGCTTAAAAAGGTTTCCTCTACACTCTATCAAATGTGTCCGAATGTGCTGAAGACGTGCGTGTGTGTGTGTGCATGTGTGTGTGCGCGCTCGTGCAGGCTATATTTAATACTGACATGTCTTTTTATTCATTTTAGGTTGAGGAAATCCGAGAAATGGTGGATAGTGATCTAGGTTTTCAGCAGGTTCCCCTGAGGCTCCATTCCAGAACAAAAACACTTTTATTCATTAGCAATGACAAGAAGGTGGTTGGGTGTTTGATAGCAGAGCACATTCAGTGGGTAAGTATACATTTAACAAACTCTGCAGTGTGTGTGTTTGTTTTTTGTTGTTTTTTTATGTTTACAGAAAATGACAGGTGACTCCTGCAAACATATTATTTTTTTTTGTTTTTGCAGAATTGTCTGTGTATGTAATAATATATGTACATATATACCTGGCTAATTTCCTAAACTGTGCTGAATTGATTTCTAAACTGAAATAGTAAATGTCAAAATTCAGGTAATGGGGCTTATGTCATAGACTGTTTAGTGAATTAACCCCATGGTATAAAAATGAGAATTTAAGTTTTATAACACCCCTTTTCCCCTTTTTGATAGTGGAAAAAGTCAGTTAATTAGAAAACCTCACAGCTTGTATATTACAAAATGCAGTCTCTCTGCAGTGGAAGGTAGACTGGATGATCAAACACATGCTTACATAAAGAACATATTCTTATTTTGTCATTGTGTGTTATGTACCTCATATGTCTGTGACTACACCCTACCAGTGATCAGGCTCCAAAATCTGCCTAACTAATGTTAGTTCCATATTACAGGCCCTATACACCTGGGAGAGCTAATAACTTTACATAAAGCACAATAATAGAAATATTCATATGTGGCTAATTTACTCCACTTCTATTCAAGCAGAGTTGCAATAAAATGGTGTGCACACAGTAATCCTAATGCTGTGAGGATAACTTATTTTTTTTATTACAGATGTCAATTAAAATAGACTAATCTGTTATAAAAGAGGAAGCTCTGCAAATTAATAAGATACAGTACTGTATGTATACTATACAGACATATATTTATAGTAAATATTAATCTATATAATGATGATTGTGTACACTTTCAAAAGGAATGCTTGGGAATAGGAGCAGTGCAAATGTGTTACTTTTTGGTTCCAGAGAACTGAAGGTACACATGGAACATGCATCTCTCAGCATTGAATCAATGCTTTCCTATCGGATTTTACTGACACTGGATGCTTTAATGCAAAGCGTGAGGGCTTCCAGCGTCTGGCAACACAGTCAGGTAAACTCCCGGAATCGCTTCCAGTGGTTGTCTGGTAGACCGCCACTAGAAGGTGTCGAAATACTGCAATGTGAACATGAGCTGAAGTAATCTGGGTGGCTATAGTGTCCCTTTAAACAATAACCATTCTTGTGAAGGAACAAAGGTGAAATATAAACTTTAAGAGTTATTACATTTTGGTTGGCCATTGGATTGATTAAATAGTGTATCCTTGGGGTCTGAAGTGTGAGAGATTCCCAGCACAATGTGAATCAAGGAGAAAATTCACAAAAGTTGGATAGCAGGACATTGTAAGTAGATGCTAGAACCAACAAAACCTTAGAGAAATGCTGGAGGTCATAGAGTACATTTGACCTATGTTAGTTGGGTTCATAATACCAGCAACTTCTGTTTGTTTAGTTTTTTTATTTTATGTGCATTTTCTTTGCTAAGGATGCATGAAAAGCTATATATTTGCTTTGATCTAGATAGAGGTTATCACCTAGTTTATTCAATTTTAAGCCTGTTTTTCATTCAGGATCTTCTAACATGAGCACAGGCAAGTGAATGTGCATCAATATATTTCCTTCCAACAGTTCTGTTTATGATCCTGACCAGGAATAATCTATATACTGTTGGGAGTACGTGCTTTCTAAATCTGATCTGTTAAGGTAGCAAGACTCCGACTGACAAAGGGAAACCTGTTCTTGTCTTCTAGGGCTACAGGGTGATTGATGAAAAAGATCCTGGAGATAATTTGGAAAGCGAGTCAGCCATTTGTGAGAGGGTAAAAGCCTGGTGCTGTTCAACTACACCTGAGCCAGCCATCTGTGGAATAAGTCGTATCTGGGTGTTTTCAATGATGAGGCGGAGGAAAATTGCCTCCAGGATGCTTGAGTGTTTAAGGTAAGGATGTTTGAAACCATATACATGTCAAATGTCAGCTAAGCTTACTTTTGTACTGCAGGTCTTCACAGCACAGAATACATTGTAACGGTAGACTTCTCCAATGCATGTTTTTTTTTTTTTTGATCAGGATATAAAAACTATAATAAAGGCACCCTTTGTAATTTACCGCTTTTAAAAGAATACATTGATAAATAGAGTTGTCCAGAACCAACCAAAATGTGTTCCCAAAAGGTGAGTTTCCAAGCAAATCCATCATATGATTATTAAGTCATGACATGGTTTTAGTTTTAGAGTATGAGATAACTGGTAGTTTACTGCACAAAATATTTAGTGTTTTAGACTAGACCAGGCCTCTCATTTGTTCCAGAGTGACAACGGTTTGACTGGAGGATGCAGTGCCCAATAAATGTCCAGCAGAGTAGATGTGTGAAATAGTATTGCGTATATTTATTTTTATTAGATAGAGAAATCTAGGCTGATTGACCTAATCTCTAATAATAAAAATTAACTGCATTTTCTGAGATTCCTGTAGTTATTATAGTTTATTATAGTTTAAGATTGAAATAAGTAGTGTCTATAGATATTTTTACTAGTAGAGAACATACTTTCTCATCATTGTCCTTATTTGCTATATATATTTATGTATGCCATTGCAACCTACTTTGTGAGAGTATTGTCTCTTTAATTTAGACTTTTTGGGGGTATTTTATCATATTTAACATTGCTAATATCTTATCTATTGCAGAAATCATTTCATATATGGCTCTTATCTGAGTAAAGAAGAAATTGCATTTTCGGACCCAACACCAGATGGCAAACTGTTTGCAACACATTATTGTGGCACCAGTCAGTTTCTTGTGTACAATTTTATCAATGGACAGAATCCGATGAGTTGAAGCAAGGACTTCACAGCTGAAATAGTTCACAGAGCCCTGTTTATTTTTAGTATTCTCCTAAAAGTGAACTCAGGATATGAACACCCAAAGGGCTGTTCGGTTTTAATAAAACTGGAAAAAAGATTCAGAAAAAAGCTTAATTTTTTTTAAGCAAATATTTTGCTATCTTTTTTTTCAACAGATTCTAGTTTAAGTATTTTCTACACACTAGTCTTGTATCATGCAACATATTGTTTTGTTTGCAGCAGACTAAACTGTAAAAATAGAAGCCTTGATGATAAGTGTAAACTGAAGACCTTTTATTTTTGGTATATACAAGTACAGCTGCTTATGTGTGGTGACCACTTTTTTTTTTTTTTGTCTGTTGAGTGCCAGACAGTAGGGCTTGTGCTGACACTCTGCTTAAGGTATATCCTGCATAATTTATGCCAGTCTTGTCATAAAACTTTAAATTGTACAATCATAGTCCTCTTGATACAACATTGGTTTGCAGTGAACAATTTAACCTGCAAGTGTGGAATTTTTAAATGTTTTCTTCTTCTTCCTACCACGATCTATAGGAGTCCTAACATCATTATGTTCAGATTTCCCCTTTAAACCACCCATTTAGAGAATGTCAGCTTGTAATATCAGATGGCATGTGTGACATAGTGAAGTTCAATTCCTGGAGATGGTTCTGTGGTCACAAAGTGATTTTATTCCTTTACTGGTCAGCAAACGTTTCACGACTACCCTAAATAGTTTTTAGGGATATAATGTATGCATTGTCTTGTAATAAGTGTTTTTCATTTGCACATGAGAAACTGGTAGCTCCACTGTCTGAAATGTTACTTTTAGCAGCATTGTTCAATTCCTAGTTCTGTGCTGTGTATATACCTTTTTAAAGACTTCAGTGTGAGACTTGTCTAAGATTCAGCGACTCTTGTTTTAAGAGTTAATACTGTATGTTCATAAACTGCTGTGGCCTTTCTGTAAATGTGTAGAATATGAATAAAAAGTTGCCTTTTTAAAAGAAAATAAAATTCCCCTGATATTGTAAAACTCTCAAATGTCCACATATGCCACTCTGTCCAATTGTTTAGTGATTTAAAGGTACCCTATAGTAACCAGAATATCTACAGCTTGATATAGTTGTTCTGGTGTCTATAGTATAGAAAAGGTATTGTTCCTTTAAAATAATCTACTGACATGTATATAGCTTTAGTGTACTTTGATATTGGAAGTAGCAGTAGTTTAAAAACTACAACAGCAGAAGTGCAATATATTATCCTTATTCAGTAACTGAGTCTGCACTTGTGATATAGTAAGTACCTCTGTATGAAACTTCTTCAGACCTCATATAGCCTGTGTAATAAACATTTGTTTAACTCTGGGGTTTCTCTAAAGCTTTACATAAAATACCTAGAGGTTCTAGCCATGATAGCAGATATCTTTAATCTCCACCCAGTCTGGACACATCTACTTCTCAAGTCTTTATTTTCTTTGTCACTTAATTCTGCATCTTGTCACATTGATTTGACATATTGGTGCAGGATAGTTAAAATTTAAGGTACAAGGATGGAGGAAGCTAAAATTGTTTGGAGGGGGGTGCACTTGCACTCTGAGCTCTGTGCTGCAGTAATAAACAAACACTATTAAATTTTTATAAATCTTTAGTAAACGTCTATAACTTTAAGAGGTCTTGGAACTGTGCTGTAGTAAAAAGAAAAAAAGGTTACATTCTTTTGAAACGTTGAGTTACTGACTTAACATCGTGAAAGTATATATGGTTGATATGAAGTTAAAGGGACACTATAGTCCCCAAAACAACTCTAGCTTTATGACGCAGTTTTGGTGTATAGATCATGCCCCTGCAGTCTCACTTCTTTCAATTCTCTGCCATTTAGGAACTAAATCACTTTGCTTATGCAGCCCAGTCACACCTCCCCTGCTCAGTTAGTAGCTCGCTTAGACCCTGCAATAGCCTCCTGTGAATAAAGTTCCATTTACAGAGCAGGAGACAAAAATGTTTAAAGTAAGTTACATCTGATTAAAAATGAAACCATTTTTATTTTTTTTTAAATTCTTTATTTTTACTCAATAGAATCAGCAAGTGTACATCAACTTTCAGGCTTACGCAGAAGCCAACATGTTCAGCATTTTGGGATCATTGCAAAGTTTGCCAAGAAAATAAAACACAAAAAGCAAACAACAAAAACAAAACAAAACAATGTGTGCTCCGTCATTTACTGAATCCACTGGCACCTGCCGTCTATCGAGGTGTTTTTAAATTTTTTAATTACCCCCTTCTAGGATATACATCAATGATCAGGCAATTCGACAGTTATACGGTCACTTTCGGGCTAATATAGAGGCCTATTAAATTACAATTTAATATAAGAGAAAGGTAGTCGTTGTGGTTATCGTTTGCCTGTAATTGTAACTTAGTTTTGGCTCTCTCCGTTTGTCGGGGAAACTTATGGTAGGTAAAGGTACAGGCTAATCTGCAAAATTTAAGTAGCCATCATATATGCTGATCAACTTCCTAAGTGTGTTACCTTGTTCCTCCAATCATTTGATCTAGCCTGAAAAAACAAATCACATAAAACGATGAAATAAGAGAGAAAAAGGAAGAAAAAGAGGAAGTAAAAAGGTTTAGAGAGAAAATGAGAAGTGCCTAGTCCAGGCTGAAAAGGAAAGAGGGGACTGGGGGGGAAACGGCGGGCCTACCATCTCTCCGCTGGCAGCAGCACCCTATCCGGCGGTATATCGTTGTGGTCAGCACCCGCTGGGGTATGCCTTCAATCTCCACTCGATCCAAATACGCTATTGTCCCATGGTTCCCAGAGTTTTTGGAATGTTACGGCGGTCCCTCTCACCCTTGCTGTCAAATCATCCATAATTCTACATTCTTTAATTCTGGAGATAACCCCTGCGAAATCCGGGCCCTCTGAAGTGAGCCATGCTGTCGCTATCGCTCGACGCGCGCACAAAGTAATCTTGTGTACTAATTTCTGTTCCCGAGTGGTCCATCCGTCCACAGATCTATTTAATAAGTAGGTCCAGGGGTCTATCCTCAGAGGCTTATCAAATATCTGCTTCAATAAATCCTCCACAGACTTCCAGAATCCGCGTATCTTTGAGCATTGCCACCACATGTGTAAATACGTCCCTTGGTCTCCGCAACCCCTCCAGCAATCATCCGTGTCTAGTTTGTGCATCCTATGTAATTGAATTGGGGTGGTATACCATCGGAACATAGTTTTCCACGCCTGCTCCTGTAGGGTGACACACATTGAAACCTTAGCATTTGCCTCCCAAATCTCTCGCCACTCCAGCCCCTCCAAGGTCTCACCGAGGTCATTCTCCCATTGGACAGTATACGTTAGTCTTCCCCAGTCTCCATTTTCTTCACTGAGGTGTGCGTACAATAATGTGATCAGCCCCTTGGGGGTTACCCCGTCCGAACATATTCTCTCGTAGAAGGTGTGAGTCTCCATTGCAGCCTTTTTAATGGTTGGTTTTTGGGCAAAGTCTCGTATTTGGATGTACCGGAAAAAATCCGCTGGAGTCATTTGATTACCCAATTGAAGGTCCGCAAACTGAACGATCTCTCCATTATGAAACAGCTGATGCAACCGTTGCAATCCAGCACGTTCGATGTTGCGGAAGTGCCTGGGGGTCATACCAGGGGGGAATTCTCTGTTCCTAAGAAGTGGGGTCATAGGGGATGGGGATGATGCCAGCTTATATTTGGTGTTACACATGTCCCATATGCGTATCGAATTGAGAATCGCTGGGCATGTTATCCGTATTTCCGGTCTGTATTCTCTGGGGACCCACATTGTGAACTGGGGGACGTCCACCCCCACCATCATAGATTCTATATCCACCCACTGCCTCTCCTCAGGAGCGGAGTGCCACATGGCTATCTGCGTTAGTTGTGCCGCTAGGTAATAAAAGAAGAGGTTCGGAAGGCCCAAGCCCCCTCTATCTTTGCGCCTATACAGTACCTGTTTGGAAATTCTATGTCTCTTGTTCTGCCATATAAAGTTCCCTATTGACCTTTGCAAGGGAAGCAATTGTGTCTTCGTGACTCGGATGGGTAGCGCCTGAAAAAGGAACAGTAAGCGCGGGAGGATGTTCATTTTTACGGAATGTATCCTACCGATCCAGGAAATGGGTTTGTCCACCCATTTGTCTAGGTCCTCCGTCAGCGCTCTAAGCATGGGGGCGTAGTTAGTTGCATATAAACGTTCTGGGTCAGCCGTTATGTTGATCCCTAGGTACCTTAGGGAGTCTGTTTCCATACGGATTTGGTATACCTCCCGCAACCTAGCTGTTTCATCTTGTGACAGGCATATCGGGAGCGCACTGGACTTTTGGATGTTTGCTTTATAACTGGATAGTCCACCGTATTCTAGAATGACTCCCTTAAGTGCGGTCATCGATTCTAGCGGAGTCGTGATGGTTAAGAGAACGTCGTCCGCGTAGGCTGATACCTTGAAGTCTTTATCCCCCACTCTTACACCCTTAATGTTTGGATGTTGACGTATCGCGTGAAGTAGAGGCTCCAACGCCAAGACGAAAAGGAGGGGCGAGAGCGGGCAACCCTGTCTCATGCCATTGTATAGCCGAAATGGGTGGAATGGGGCACCCGATATCTGTACTTGTGCCCGCACGTTATCATACATTGCTTTCGTTGTAGTTAAGTATTCCTCTGGGAAGCCCATGCACTTCAGAACTGGAAAAAGAAATTGCCACCGAACTCTGTCGAACACCTTTTCAGCGTCTAAGGATACCACTAACGTGGGGGTCCTTGATGTCCTTTGTTTCCAGATCAGATCCACGTTCCTCCTAGTGTTTTCAAACAATTGTCTACTTGGGATAAACCCAACCTGATCTGCATGGATGAGAGAAACCAGCAACGGGTTAAGTCTGTCGGCCTGTATTTTCGCCAAAATCTTCAGATCGTGATTGATCAACGAGATGGGCCTGTAGTTCTCTGGGTATAGAGGGTCCTTTCCGGGCTTAGGCAAGAGAACTATAGTCGCCAGTGTCATATCAGATGCCAGTTGTCCGCCCTGCCGTAAGCGGTCAAAAAGTCGGACCAATTGTGGTGTGAGTTCTTCTCTAAATGTTTTGTAGTATGAGCCGTCGAAACCATCTGGTCCCGGTGCCTTGTTGCCGTTTAGATTCGAGATAGCCTTGTCAACTTCTTCATCCGATATGTTCGCTGCCAGAGAACGTGTTGCCTCTCCACTCAACTTAGCCAGCCCTAAGCCTTCTAGGTATCGTATGATATATTCCTCCTCGCGTATCCCGTGCGGACTTCCATCCGGAGTGTGGTTATACAACTTTCCGTAGAAGTCTTCAAAGATCTTAGCAATCTCCACAGGTCCCGTTCTTGTCGTGCCATCAGGATGTTTGATCGCCGTTATGTGAGTCCTTCCTTGCCTTGGCCTAAGCGTTCTTGCTAAAAGGGTGTCCATTTTGTTCGCCTTTTCGAAAAAAGTCCGTTTCGACCAGGTCATGGCTTTTGCCGTGTCATCCAATAGTAAAGTGCGGATGTTCCTACGTGCTGCTTCCAATTGGGCGAAGATGTTTGCTGATGGCGCTGTTTGGTGCTTATGTTCCAGGGTGCTAAGTTGACCCAGCAAAGATAAACCATTTTGTTTTTATGCAGGCTCTTAGTCACTGTCAGGGGAGGTGTGGCAAGGGCTGCATAAACAGAAACAAACGTGATTAAACTCCTAAATGGCAATGAATTATGCAGTGAAAATTCATAGGCATGATCTAGACACTAAAATTGCTTCATTAAGCTAAAGTTATTTTGGTGACTATAGTGGCCCTTTAAGTAGGTGATAGTAACAAATGGTATAACCCAAAAATAATTCTCTTAATCATCATAGAGGCTTTAGGCTTATGTCCCATAAATGGTACACTACACTACAGGAGTAATGGGGAACCAGAGTAACAAAATAAAAAGTGGAAGAAACTGTTCTTGCACAGGTAAATTAAGGGTTAAAACATGTGAACCTTAGATTGCAAAACATTAACCCACCAAGGCCAAAGACCTGGCAGGTTTATCTCAGGTGGGACTCAACCCAGAGCCTGTAACAAAACCTGGCTTCTGATACTGAAGTGTGGGAGCCACCAATGGTAAGTGAAGTGGAGGTCTCTGACATGTTTAGTGATATGTCCCAGATACTATCACAAGTGCAAGATAGATTTTCTTATTTCCTGGAAAAAGTACCAAGGGCGTGTTTTTCTAAAATTCTAACAAAGCCTTCTTTGACATGCTTTCCATGTCTGTGACCCGACAAAGATCTAATCTCTAAAAGGAGGTAAACAGTTTGTGGCAGCCTAACCTGCATGGTAACCTGGAGTGAGGGTGAAGATATGTGGGAAGCCACATCAGGTACCCTTATGTGTTTATTTGCAAGAATAATCCCCTAAAATGTTATTTAGATAGTATGATACTCCAGTCAAGCTGTCTCATGTGGGCAAATCTACATCTGACCGACTTCTGGTCGCGCCCCATCTTAGCTGGCTGCGCTCTATAACTGCTTCCCGCCACCTTGAGACAATCCTTACCCATCTGCACTATCCGGGCAGTGCAGTGCTACTCAGGCCGATCTTGCTACACCTGGAGGAGTGGACTGAGCTCCGTTTGGCCACACAACGTGGAATTGATAGTCTCCCTGCATTGAGGAGGCGGTGGCCGGGAGTCCAGGCCTGTGTGATAGGCCGCATCCACCTAGGCACAGCGCCTGTCAAGATTAGCGGCTTTCTGGACGCATCAATACCTACCGAACTGGGGATGCCTGGACACTCCATCCTCAAGAGGGTGCAGGATCACAGCGGTGGAAGCCGCACCAGGTACCACTCCAACATGCTGGACAGCTGCTAGCAACCCTCCTCCCTTGCTCCTCTCTCTGCTTTGCACTGCTGGCCGTGTCGTGTAGCTCCTGTCCGTGCCTCTCCAGTCTGAAGGAACTCAGGGCTCATGACAGATCCTTTATGCCCTGTCACAATTCACTTCACCCTGCCTTCAACCTTGAAATTAGGGCTTTGTTGTGGCTGGACTCCCTATGCATACCTTGCTTTACTATATTATTTTATACCCAATGTTCCTGCTCTTTATTGCCCCTCATCACTGCTTGGGGGTTACTGCTGCCCCTCCACACTGGTGACCTTGCTAATATGCTATCTATCTGCTTACATCAGCCTGTGCCACTTTGAGGAACTGTACACTGATGCTTGCTCATCTGTTGCGGTCGCCTTGCAGTCCCACTGACTCATCCTGCTTAATAGCCTTGTGGTGGCAGAGCTCCTCAGGCACTGCAGCTCATCCCCTGGACTCCATCTCTCAATAGGGGCACACTTAAAAAACCCTGTTGCTTGCCAGATATCCTGTTTGTTTATACCTAGGCAGTTTTTGCTTAGTTTTCATTTTGTCTACACCATGCTCCTGCCCTAAAACAGACTGGTTTTACATTGCTCACATCGATATCTGATACGTTGCCTAACGTTCCTAACCAGTCCTGAGTGGTTGACAGCGATTCACCTACCAACCACACTCCCAGAAACTCCATCCGGCGGTTCTTTCTTGCTCTCTCTTTCACTCTTGGCTTCTCTACTTTTCCCCCATGCTCACTACTTATTCTCCTTAGGCCATTCTTATCTTGTTTCACAAAACGTATATTTAGCATAGTCGTCCACCACTGACAACAATCCAGCACGGTATGCTTGACACCCTGTCTCTTTTTCTCTTTGCCTTCTAACATTATATTCACAAAGATCACATTTGCTCTTAACATCAGGCCCCTCTATTCTAACACCTTGCATTTCCTTACCTATCTTTGCTCCACCACCATGGATAAGTTAATTGACAAAACCCCATCCAAGAGAACACAAGGAAAAACTCAAAGACCCTATACCAGCCTCTAC